ATGCTGAATCTAGAGAGTTTAATGAATGCAAGCACAAAATTACTGAAATTAACACACAATATACTCATGAAATGCATATTTTATATCACGTTTTTGACTATGTACATCTGAATCAATGATTTATCATAGTCCGTTTAAACAGGTTCAACAATGAGATCTCTTTAATATCTTAACAGTTTCTCTTAGTAATGACAGTAAATGGAGATCAAGCTGAGAGTTTTGGTTACGTCTCCTGATTGCTTTGGTAAATCACATTTATGAGATTATAACCCATAATGATTGAGACAAAAAGTAAATAATTACATTTTGTCTTTTGTATTCATTTTGACTTTTTATGTCATAATTATGTCTTTTGATCTTAATTTCGATATTCATAATTATGAAAAAAATGATATACTAAACTATAATAATAAGACAAAGCCATAATTATAGGATAAAAAGTGAAAATTGTGAGTCAAAATAATGAGATAAGTCATAATTATAAGAGAAAAAATAATTTTAAGATACTAAGCCATAATTATAAGATAAAGTCATAGTTTTCACATTTTCAGGACTTGTTTTGTTTGATTATGGATTGCTCAGCTAAACAGGCGAATAAAAGACTATCGACTTTTATTTTTAAGTGATAAAAAGTTATGACAGTCAAAATTACAAAGTAAGTTATAATTATGAGAAAAACATTTAATTTTGAGATACTAAACCATAATTATAAGACAAAGTCATAATTATGAGATAAAAAGTTAAACATATGAGAGTCACAGTGATGAGATAAGTCAAAATTATGTGAAAAAAAATCATTTTGAGATACTAATCATAATCAATTATGACAAAATCATAATTATGACGTTAGTAATAATTAGATAAAAAAGTTGAAATTATGAGTCAAAATGATAAGTCATAATTCTGGGCTAAAAATGTAATTTTGAGATTCTAAGCAATAATTAGAAGACATGGATTGTGAAAACCGGATGTTTTAACAACACTATTTACAGATCATGAGTTTTCAGATGACAGCCGGACAGAAGGACTATTCATCACAGTTCATGTTCTGATGATTATTCATCATTGAAGTTCTCAAACTCTCCCGGGAGAGATTCAGAAAACACAGCTGCACTCTCGAAGGAAACCCGAAACATCTCCAAACATCTGCTCTATGTATACATTCCTCTGCATTCAATCCCAGGTGTCTCACAATAGCCGGGAAGCTCAGATACGCCGTCGGACTCACACGAGACGCAGATCAAGTTTCATTCAGTGTGTGTTTATGATCTCAACCACAGAAACATCTCTGAAGTCCATAAACACACAGATGGAGATGAAAACTCCCAAACTCCCTGATTCCACCATCAGGACCTCCTGGTTTTCAGCTAATGACCCTCATCAGTGTGGACGGGCCTGAAACAAGCCATCACCCTCCCCATCCCAGCACTGTGGAGAATCAACAACTGGCCGATGACCTGAAATGAGTTTCACTGCCGTTTAAAGCCATAAAGCCAGTTCTCACACCCCAGACCCTCTCAAACACAACCATCAACACCTCCTCCACCTGATTCTGCTTCTCAGCCTGATCTTCAGATCTGTGAGGAGGAAGTGTGCCGGGTCTTCAGGAAAGCCAAAGATCTGTGGTCATGAAGTCATTAGAGAAACTCATGAAGGGCATTGCTCTTCTCTCTCTACACTGATGACTGCACCTCAAAGACCCCTCTGTCGAGCTCCTGAAGTTCCCAGACGACACCACAGCCATCCGCTTTTCTAGATGCACATGGACATTTGTCTGATCCTTGACGCGATCGCAGACAGCAACGCAAAGTTGATTCGGGGCTACTTTGATCTAATATTTGATGTTTAAAAAAAAAAAATGTTGTAGATTTAAGTAGCGATTATTGAATATATTTTGAGACAAAGGTCTTGCAACTGCAAAACAACATCTGGTCCCCACTAGAGATTAATTCAGGGTAAACCATTCTGCCATGTTTTAAACGTTTGCACTCTTTTTCATGGAAAGTCCAAACTATTTATCTTCTGTTGAAACCAACTAAACATTTTGCTTTTACCGATAAGATGAGTTATGATCTAGGAAATATGACCTGGTTCACTCTTAAAAACAAAGGCTCTTCATTGGCGTCGATTGTTCCATTAAGAACTTTTAACATCTAATCATCTGGAATCTGGAATCTTTCCATTCCACAAAAGATTCTTTGAATTTTAAAAGGTTCTTCATACTAAGAAAAGAAAAATGGTTCTTTTAAGGACTGATCACTGAAAGGTTCTTTGGGGAACCAGAAATGGTTCTTCTACTGCAAAAAAAAAAAAAAAACTTCTGGAACCTTTATTTGTAAGGGTGTTTAATATGTTTCTCGAGAGAGGTTTTAATGTCGTCCTCCTGTATAATACTGAACAGAGAGAAATGCAGAACGGTAGGGTCTGTTAATAATAGACTAAATGGACATGCATAATTCATGAATAGAACCCGCAGGTGTTCTGTGATTGACATGTAATTCATGCAAAATCTCAACATGACACACCTCAAATCATCACAAGCATTAGTCTTCAGCGCACAGACCATTGTGTTGAAATATTGTACTTCCGCTTGTTTTGAAAAATGCTCTTCAAATAAAAATACTGGATCATGTTTTGAATAATCTAAAAGTGTGTGTGTGTGTGTGTGAGAGAGAGAGAGAGAGAGAGAGAGAGAGAGAGAGAAGAGAGAGAGAGAAGAGAGAGAGAGAGAGAGAGAGAGAGAGAGAGGAGAGAGAGAGAGAGAGAGAGAGAGAGAGAGAGAGAGGAGAGAGAGAGAGAGAGAGAGAGAGAGAGAGAGAGAGAGAGATGAGAGAGAGAGAGAGAGATAAAGGGTCGAGGGTGGGAGGATCTCCTTCATTCAGCAGAAACTCTTCATCAGACTCTTCATCAAGAGAGAGAGAGAGAATATGTGTGTGTGTGGGCATGTTTAGATACTTGTCCCCACATAGTCTAAACTTTTTTTTTAGAGATTACTTTATGGGGACTTTTTGCTGGTCCTCATAAGAAAAATCGATTAATAAACATAACAAAAAGTTGTGTGTGTGGGGGGGGGGGGGGGGGGGTTTAAATATAAAAATGCAGTAAAGTTTTGTGTGATGGATTAATAAATGTAAGTGTAGGGGACAGAATCTACAGTATAAAAATAATTTTGTCTATGGAGGTCCTCGCAAGTATAGCTAAACAAAAGTGTGTGTGTGTGTGTGTGTGTAAGCAGACACAGGGGTCCATTGTGTTTTTTTTGAGTGTCTTTACAAACACAAATCCCCCACTTAACTCTCTATTGAAGCAAACAGTGAAATGTGACACCGGGTCTGGTGTCTGAAATCAGACCGTATACAGGTACTAAATCTCTAAATCATCCAGCAAATATGAGGAAACAAAATCTAAATCTGAAAAATCAAGTGCCGCTTCACTGTCTGTAATAGAGTCTCACCATATAATGTCATGTTATACACTGTTGTTGCTTACTGTAAAGTATAGCCTATAAGAAGGCAATTCACATTTTGTTAGTACTACAAAACTCCAAATGTAAAAAAAACAATGTTTTATCTTTTTATCTTCTCAAAATTACATATTATTGCTATAACACACAATCAATGTCTAAAAATAGTTCCTTAAGAGTTTACACACTGATAAAATGGTCAGAATGTCCTTTAAAACTCTTGTAAAGTGGCTTTTGTTCTTGCTGTAAAAGACGAAGAGAGCTGGAGTCTCCATCTGCTGGTGAACAGCTACATTACAAGACAGAAGATTTCATTTTTCAAATATTAAGAAAAATATTAATGTTACAGTCATCGTATTATAAACCCCTAACAGCTACATTTTTAAAAGTAATATGAATTTGGGCCTATGATTAAAAAGAACAAAGAAACTATTTGTTTTACCCAAATAGAAGTAGCCTACCAGTTGTTCTTAATCAACAAAAAAATTAAACTTTTTGATTTTAGAAATAGGCTGGTGAAATCAAAAGTTGAATCTATTTTAAATAGTAATCTGTATGATTAGGCTACTAGTTCAATGCGAAAACATATTTTAAAAAATAAATAAATTGACCTTATTATATGACTGAAACCTTATCTGTCCTGAAATTAAACGAGTCGCGTCTGATTCAGTATGATGCAAACTACATTTCCCACAATGCTCAACTTGCACCGCTCTGCGTCATATCCTGGAAATGATACAAAGTTCAAAAGTGTGTAGTTTCAGAGAAATGTTCTGATAAATACATTGGAATGAATAAACAATGACGAACAAGATCAGTGTCTCGTCCTCTCAGCTCGTCTGGAGAGTTTGTAATTTATTCATGTCACTGTTTTTCTCGTTGGCAACTTACGTGCAGGTAAACAAGGGTTTTAACAGATTATCTTTAAATGCGAATCTTGATTAATATAATAAAGATGGTCATTTAATTATCAGATTAACTTATTGTTTGTGTCAGATAAATGATCCAGATGCCGGTTTGTGGATGGTAAGAATTCACTTTAACCGAGAAAATGTTATAGCCTACTTCTATAAAACAAAATAGAAGTGTTTTAATGTGGGGGTTTTTCATAATAATTTTGCAGGTTGGCTATGCTATTCCAGCTGGATTATGTTTTTCGATTTGCTGTCATCAACAAATAACAGGTAAATAGTGTTTTTCATTGATCACAATAAGACGCGATGCTGTCCTCTAGTGTAGTAGAAGCAGAAATACATTTCACATTTCATTGGTCCAAAAAAAATGTGGAAAAAATATTTTATACTCACCCTCAAGTCACCAGAAACACATTTGATTTTCCTCGGTCAAGATTTAAGTGTTTATTTACTGACAATTTACCTATTGTAATACTATGGTGTCGCGAGTGTGAACTTCCAGAAAATATTCTTGAGAATATATACTGCGAGATTTTCGGTGAATGAAAACATCATTAAAGGTGCTGCAAGTGATGAAGACTCTCCTTCCGTTCTGTGCTTTTCCAGAGTCATTATTATGGAGGAGAATCGCGGATCTGCATGTGCTCATATCCTCTGCATTTGGAGCCATTCTTGGCTGGAAACTTTGTAAGGAGGGAATTACAACAGACATTTTTCAACAAGAAGAAGGAAGGTAACAACAGAATTGGATAATAAAGATATCTAATGATAACTTCATTTTTGTTGGTCTTGAAGTACAACTTTATTTCATGTTCACTCTTTCCTCATGTCGTTCCAAACTTGTATGAGTTTCTTCTGCTGCGGAACATAAAAGTATGAATGAACATGGATTTATGAATGTAACTTTATTGTGTTTTTCTGTCCTTCTATCTACACTATATGGACTAAAAGTATTGTAGTATTTACCAACAGCTACTTTAATGACATTGCATTATAGATACATTAATATGGAGCCTCTGGGAAAGTTTTCCACAAGATTTTGTTGTGTTTTTGTGGGAACGTCTGGCCAGCAGTCTCCTTCCCAATTCATCCCAAAGCTGTTGGATGAGGTCGAGGTCCGGGCCAGTCAAGTTCTTCCACACCAAACTCATCCATCGATGTCTTTATGGATCTTGATTTGTGCGCTGGATTCATGCTGGAATAGAGCAGGACCTTCCCAAACGGTTCCCACAAAGCTTAATGCTGAAGCATTAAGATTTACATTCACTGCCAAACAGAGAAACATTATCCGTCCCACTCCACGAAGCTCCCGCCACACAGGTTTTGTGCTGATATTAATGCCTGTAATACTTTTGAACCCTGAAGCGCTGTAATCAGCAGAGCGTTGGAGACCTTTACGCTGCATGTGCCTCAGTGCTCGATGGTTACAGATGACCCTGGAGTATCTAGCAGGAATGAAATTTCACTAACTGACATATTGCAAAGGTGGCATCCTATCACAGTACCACTATCTATCATCAATTTGGAGCTTGACAGTCATGAAGCTTCTTTAAAAATATAATGATAAAAGTTGTACAGGTTTGGAACAACATGATGGCTTTGAAATAAAGGAATAATAATGTCGTCTCTTAGGGAATGTTGTGGACTCCTGCTGGTGGTTTTCTGGCTTCTGCTGTGCAGACATTCAGGAAGGTACTGTAAACCATCTGATAAAACTCCAGTTTCATATTTAAATGCACACAGATGGTGTTTAACGCTGTTCTTTTCCTTTATAAGACTGATCTGTGATGTGGTTTCTGTAGTGACTCTTCACGTCTGTGTCCTGTAGGAGTGCGGTCGGCTCGGTGAGGATCTGCACTGCTGTGGGAATCACTGTGTTTCCCTTCATCACATGGATCTATTACTACATGAACACCGAGCTGAGGAAACACTGGCCTGAACACTGTAACACTGCTCTCTGATCAGCCGGCACAGGACATGAACCACAACACAAACCCGTCCAGATCCTCAGTTATACAGCGCTCCAGATGTGCGGTTTTATTCACTTGCATTCCTCTGCTATTTTGTGGATTATATTCTAACACAAAGATGGTGCACCGTGACTCTTTGACTTCTCTGAAATCTCTATGACTTCCTTTCTCAGTGGAACACACAAAAAAAGATGTTTAGCACAGTATTAAAGGTGGATGTGCCACACGCGCATTATAATTTATACTGTGTGTTTAGATTTATTCCGAATATTTGTTTTGAATTGAGTTTTCAGAAACATAAATGTTTGCACGTGTTCTGTTTAGATATCATTAAAAACATGTTTATGCATTTTTAGCAACAACAAAAAAAAAATGACCTGAAATTAAAATAATATTAAAAGACTTTTATTTCAGCTAGTTTGCAAGCCAGGATTTCTAATTTACGAGAAAACGCAATATTGAAGTACTAGAATAACTAAAACGGAATAAACTAAAACTTCATAAAAACTATAAAGATATGGACATTAAAAAACAATAACAAAAATAGCTCAGTTCAGCATATAAATGAGTCTTTACAACCGTAGCACTGCATTTGTATTATTTATTTTTCTTTTTAAGGCTTTGGCAATTGAATATAGTTTTTAGTTTTTTTCTTTGGTGTCTTTATATTTGTATTATGTACATGAATACACATGCATACTATTTGGCATTATAACAAAAGCAAATAGTACATTGTGTTAAAACTAAATAAGTTTTAACACAAAAAATAACAAACTTTTATCTAAAATTAAAATTAAACAGAAAATATAAAAACAAAATCTAACTCAACATATTAACAAAAACTATAACAGTATCTCAGTGACAATATTGCATTGTACTAAAAACAGTTTTATACTCACTAGATGCAAATCAGCGGAGACTGAAATGAAAGACGATTCTCAGATCGCCAACTGTACACTCGCGAATAAACAAAAATACATATTATGAATCATTGTGACTAAGATAGTATGTTGTTATCCAAATTCATCTATGCAAATAGACTCTTTATAACAGAAATGAACTCACTTATCTTCAGCATCAGTGTTAAAACAACAACATATCCAAACAAACACACAATGATACTGTGAACTAATGCAAGTTCACACAATGAAACTGTTGCTGTCATTTATTCGTGGGACAAAAAAAACATTAGGTTTTGCACCATTAACATTTACAACAAACTTAAATACAATTTATTATGTAAAATAAAAAAAATAAAAAAATCTCTCTCTCTTAAATAAATATATATAGTAGAGATCTCGTTGATTTTAATGTGCTATAAACACAATCACAACTCAAAACTTCTGCTCCAGTCCAGCATTTACTGAAAGTAAACTTCAACAATGGCACATTCTTGGACTTCTGTATATAATATTTACATATTAACTTACAGACTAAGTTTCTGAACACGAAATCGGCTCGGTTAATGAGTAACATACTCAAATAGAGAGCAGAAGTGATATTAATAAGAGTGACATGAGGAAAACCCCAACCATGAGACATATTCATGCCGTCCATGCCAGCAACTTATCAAGAAAACACTGTACAGTATGAACCCAATATTGTATAAAGTATATAAGATTATATATAAGAATATAAAGTATGTTGGTATCCGGACAGCTGACAGTAGCCATTGACTTCCATAGTATTTTCTTCCTATTATGGGAGTCAAAGGCCACCGTCTCACCAGCATTCTTCAAAGTATCTTCTTTGTGTTCAACAGAAGAAAGAAACTCGTACAGGTTTTGTGAGTAAATGATGACAGGATTTTCATTTTTGGGGGAACTATCCCTTTAAGCATAAAGCTTCTGTCTGTCAAAGGTTTGGATTGTAAAGTGAGTTTGTCCATTTCTTTACAATAAATAACACTTGATTAGGTAACTTTTTGAAATGCAATGACATTCAGACCTTTTAAAGCTGATCCCTCGGCTTGAGCCCTGAATATTTGAGCAGTAAACAGTGGATATATCTGTCAGATTCACTCATTGCACAGATTGTTGGACAGAATCAGGCTGTGTCTCCATGTCTCCCAGCGTCCTGTTCTTGAGTCTCTAACATCGGCCTCAACTCAAGCGATTCTGCTGCATTCTGGTTCTGGTTTGATGGGTTATGTGGCGTTTCATCAGACACGGCCTCAATCTGTGTTCAGGAGGAGACACACGAGTTAAACAATATCCACATGACAGCTTTCTGCTGTAGTATAACCACTTTATTCAAAAGAAAGTTTATTGCTTATTACAAACGCTTGACGGTGACACTTGTAATCTGTCATCCCAGAAACCAGTTTATTAAAATAAAGGTAAAAAGGCAACACAAAGTACTGTGTGAGGCTGAAACACCCGGTTTCCAACAGCTTTCTGGGATTTTCCATCAGGATTGGGGCAACAGAATTCAGTCAGAAGTCAGTCTGACACAAATGATAATAATTTACAGACCATTTGTGAATTAAATGAAATAATTTCTTCCTCAGTATTTTTGTCTTATTTTCCAGTACAAATATCTAAACATCCTTAAATCAAGATACATTTACTTGAGAAGGAAAATCACATAAGATAACAAGTGCTGTTTTCTGAAAAAATTATAAAATTAAGTGACTTTACTTAAAAGAGAAAATATCTCTCAACGGGGTCAGAAAAATAATCTTGTTTTCCCTTTGTCTTAAGTTTATTTTTCTGACCCCACTGGCAGATATTTTTCCTTGTTTAAGCTTAAATCAATTAATTTTGATAAAATTTTCAGAAAACAAGAGTAATTTTGCTTCTCGGGTAAATGTATCTTGACTTAAGAATGTTTAGACATTTGTAAAGGTGTTACAAATATATTTGTAATACCTTCTACACGATATTTTTACACGAACAAGACAAAAATACTGAGGATAAAAATAATTTTTGGCAGTGTAAACACTGAAACTAATTTAGTCCGTAGGTTATCTGTTGCTTATAAACTAAAAGCTACGTGTCTGGAAAACCTAAAGGTGCAGCTGCATCATCATCATAATTTCATCTATAATGCAGGCTTAGTGACAAATCTCAAATAAATTTAAGATTAAATGAGATATTCACCTGAGAAGAGTGATTCTGCTGCGATCTGCTGGCTGGATTCTGTGTTCGGGAAAAGACAAATCTCATAATATATCGATCAATATCAAATAAATATTAAATATTATATGAAACTTTAAATATATAATGTGTGTGTGTATATTACTAACCTGAAAACGCTGCTGAACTTTTTTAATGACTGAAAAAAGGGGGAAAATATATTTAGTGAATTTCATTCTCAACTAAAGCACTACTATTATACATACATATCAGACTGTATTTAATAGCTGATTCATGGATTTAGAAAAGAAAGCACTAATAATTCACCTACACCTTCAAAAATGAATCTTTTTTTGAAGTTGAAGAACGTAATTTTTGCTTCACCAGTGTTACACAAAATAATGACTGTCTGTTTTCAGACAGGTTTCTCAAACCGCTATAGCAAAAAATCAGATACAGTGTCTTTAAAACACCTGATTTACAGCAAATCAAGAAACACATACAGAGACTAAAGATCCGCCGGTGAGATTTCAGTGTTATTTACACTAGTGGTTTGGACAGATAAATAGTTTATACTCACAAGGTTCGAGAATGATTAACAGCAGCACAAATGAGGCAAAGACGCATTCAGAGGAAAAGACAACTTTCCTCAGATCCTCCATCGCACGCTCACCATTAACTGTGAAATGAAAATATTATGTTAAATATAAAGTTCGATCACTTTGAAGGCCCCGATATACTTCAAGCGAAATCGAAGAACAAACTGGTGAGGCGTCATTTCGAACCAAATTAGGCCAAACGAAGTTTGTTTTGTGTTTGTGTGGGGGGTTCGAAACAGCTTCCCGCTCTTTTCCCACAGCCAATGGTCGTAAGTTCCGTCGTTACCAACAGAGTTCAATAGAAAAATTGCAATCTTAGTTGGCCAACGATGCTTTTGGGAAACGCACCCCTGGCTAGTAAACGCCTTCAAACTACCATTGGTCGGTGATGATGATGTAACAGGTGGGCGTGGCTCTGAGGCCCCGCCTTCTTTGATGTGTAAAGGCCCTGATATACTTCAAGCGAAATCGAAGAACGAACTGATTTGACGTAATTCCAAACAAAATCAGGTCGAAACGAAGTTTTGGAAGTTCGAAACACTTTCCGGAAAAGTTTGCTCCGGCTGGTAAACACCTTCAAACTCCCATTGGTCAGTGGTGATGATGTAATAGTCTGTTCAGTCCGTCGAGGTCAGACGTCCGCGAGTGAAAACATGAACACACTGTTTTGTGCTTTACAGTAGTAGAAAATGAAGTTGTAATTCTATTTTAAAGAGACAATGACACTGTTTTTCATGTTTAATACCGTAAAGCCACTTGGTTGTAAGCAATCTATTGTATAAATGACGTGACTTTACTAGAGTGCTAAATTCTAGATCTGGTGCAAACATCTGTATGATCAGATCAGATCAGCTTTCTTAACTGCTGTTTTCTCCCCGCTGTCATCTTTGTTGTATGTGTATTTTGTTATTGAGAGGAAAGCTCACATTTATTCGTCTAAACGCCGCTCTCAGAAGTGCCGGCGTTGGATGTTCACTAACAGTATATCGTGTGAACGTATTTCGAACTTCGTTTCACCCCAAAGCGAAGAACAGAAAAGAACTTCGCCGTGAGTATATCGAGGCCAAACCACACAAACTTCTCTAAAGTATACTAGTTATGTTATATCTGTGCACTATTTCACAAATCCTAGTGAAGCGCCTTTAAAAAAAATTAGGTGTGAGAAAAAAACGCTCGAATCTCATTAACATGCTGTGATGTCAGTCTTATTAAATGTGGAGATGGGATCACACACACATTTAAAAGATGCAGCCGTAAATATTGGATTGTTTATACTTCTGTTATATATGAACTTTGATACACATTACAGTTTTTCCACTATAACAGTAACTGGTTACGAAAACTCACCCATTTTCATTATCAGCTTGGTCATCAATGCAAACGAGTTCACTAGAACAACAACCACTTGAAGGGTTGGTCAAAATCCCTTGCCTCTTCAAATACATATATAATCATATATCATTTTGAATGGTTATATACTTCCTTTATAAAAATCAATAATCAAATATATTCATTATCACATAATAATTTTTATATTCTTGTGCTTGTGAAATTATATTTTCTTAAATGCATGGATGCAAGTAACCAGTTTCTTTTAGATGCATTCCAATCTTACTTTGAGATTGCACTTAGTACACGCAGGACACGAAGGCCACGGAACCCACAAGGCCGTTTGTCTCTTTCTCTGGGATCAGTAGAAAGGTTAGAGGGTCCTAAAGGCAGCGTGGGCACATATGATTCTTCGCTGGACATATGGTCAAGCTATATTGAGCGTTACTATCAAACTTGAATTGTTGTATTAAAATGTATTCTTTCCAGTATATTTCCTTCCTTGGGAGTAAATGTCAGTTATCTGTTTTTCTCCCAAACGAGTGAATGTTTTAGCATTATGTTTTGGTATACTTAACTGATAATAAGGAGCTCAGACTCTCTTCAGCCTTGATGGGAGCTGTTATTTGCTAGTGTCTGTTATTTGTGTGTGTGTGCGTATGACATTCTATGTAGGTTCTGGACGTTCGGACCAGACACCCCGGCGCCCTTCTCTAACCTGCGAGGCCACCACAGACCTAAATCCAATGAGTGGACGACAACTATCTTTACTAATGGCGATAGGCACCCCTATCTCCTCACATGTGTTAAATTGTTTAGGCTTTCATGTTTCTTAGCCAATGAGAATCATTCAACCTGTAAGCAATGACGTAGCTTAGACCTTGGAAATGGTATAACTGCTGTGATCTTTGTAACTGTAAGTGGGGCGGCCTACGAACTCCTGTGTGAGTCTTGAAGCTGACTTCTGCTGATGAAAATGCAAACTATCTTCAGTAAAACTTTTCTTTAATTTTTTATAATTCTGACTCCGGGTCTTCATTCTTCATATCTGGTTCTGGGTCTTTGACTGTATACCCCTTACAGTTATGGTGGAGGATGCGCAGGCAATTATTCTCGGTGACACCCCTGGCAAATCAACAAACAAGGTAGTAAGCTTTTGTTAATTGTTAGGGCTGTCTGACTGGAGGAGATTTTGAAGGAGAGCGGGAGAGCTTCACTCCGATGAGGCGAGTGAAGCTTCACTCCGATGAGGCGAGTGAAGGAGTAAGTTAATTATACTGCTGAGAGTATAAGAAGTCGCTGAGAGCGTCGTTAAGGGTAACGGCAGCAGACAGCGCAAGCGAAGCGTGCTCTGTGGGGGCCCCGCTGGGCATTACTGGTGTAGCACCACCCCAGCAGAGCACGTCCCTGGGCTAGAGGTCCAGTGGCACCGTAAACCTGCTCAATCTCTTCCACCTCAGATAGGGGATCCCCGAACTTAGTGAAGTGAATCAGGCAGTTAGGGATACTAACAATAATAGGGTTGTTTGCCAGGGATGCATCAGGAACAATTCCGAGAGAAAAATTTAAAAAGTTGTGACCCAAATTGGCATGGACCAGTATATGTAACTGTGATTTTGGAGTATACTTTGCAGTTTCATCACGCAGAAGCCAAGCTGTGTTGTTCAAAGATCGCCGCCTCCATTTCTGCAATAACTTCAGGTGAGTATGAACCATGATTAAGATATGGCAGAAAAATGTAATAACTTAATCAGTAACCTGAAGAGTCCTGAAACAAATAGTGAGTCAGGAAAAGCAAACGCTGTAAGCAGCTGTGCTCTAAAGCCCTCACTTTAAATAAATTTGCAGAAATGATTAAGTAAATGGTAGTCAGGATTTTGATTCTGATTGGAAATTTAAACAACTTGACTGGCTACAACCAAACAAAGAAACAGAAAAATTTAAATGTTTAGCCTCGTATTGCTTACGATGATTACAAGAAGCAAGTGAAAGAAATTCTGGGTCAGGGATAATTTCCCTGGACAAGCGACTAAAGTTAAACAGACACTTTGTGAAAACAACTTAGAATATTTTGCAGCTTATGAAAATTAATGTTCTGCCAATAATAATGATGAAGATTATGATTGGGTTATTATGATTAAATCAGCCACTGGTGGACTGTAAAAGAATACAGAGAACTGCTTAATCAGTAGCTCTGTTTGCATTCCTGAATGGGACACACTGTTTCAAGGGTGTGATGCTGTAGTTGAGGCTGAAACAAATTCACCAGATGACAGAGAGTGTCTTGATTGTGGTCAGTAGGGCCATTTAACACGTGACACATTTCTGGTAATAATGTGAGTTTGAAAGTAGATCAGTGTTTAAATGACGATATTAAAGTTGTCGTCTGAGAAAGAACAAGAGATAAAACAAGGTCAAAAGATTGAAGTCTTAAAGTGAATCCTTTTGAAGAAAAGATCTATAATACTAATTTTTATAAGTGAATTGATGAATACAGGTTGATGTAAAATGAATGACTCCAACAAATGTGAGTTGCAGAATATATCAAAGTAACTTAAAGGATGATTGTGTTGTAATTAAACATTTTAAAAAGGTTTTAGATGATATAGAGAGACTAATCTCACAGATGATTTACAATAACTGCAAAAGTATCACAAGCAGAGAGTGCTTGCCTCGTCAAACTTAGTGTGTGAATCCTAATTGGAGATTGATAAACTCCAAGAGAAATCTTAAGTCAAATATTAAACTATGGTTGAGAACTTGACAATTAAAATTGAGATTGAGAAATGTGAAACGTTATTGAGAACTAGAATAATTATTTTTATGTAAGAACAAATAAGCAGAAGCAGTACTGGATTAACAGTTGCTAAATGCTGATTAAACAAACAGCTTGAAAAGTTGACCATGAAAGAACTAGAAGCTGATGTTTAGTTTTCAAAAGATAAGTTTGTTATTGGCTGTAATGAAACAGTTTGCTTATCTGAATCTGATGTGTGCTGTGGCTGAAACTGCCAGTGCAACAGACTCAATCTGAGTGGAAATTTGTAATGCCTAAATTTCCTGATGTGTGGGCAAAAGACAAATATAAATAATATGTTTATTTGAAACCGTATGTAATATCTGGCAAAGATGCCTTAAGCTGGGATAGAGTTAAAAGATGATAGATAAATGTTTGATGTTAGAAGTATATGAGAGAGCAGTGTACCATCCAATAGAGTCTCAGAGTCTCTCTCATTCAATGAGTCAGCTAAAAACTGGTATCTGTGATAATGTGTAAAGCACAGTGTTTCAGTTGAAGGATCATAGACACAGAGATGTTTTAAAAATAAAACTGAATGACTTTAAAGAAGTATTTAAAATAATAATACAGATAGAGATGACATTTTGATTAGGTTAATTTAGGACCAGTAACTTCTTTGTCTGATCTTAGTCCCCACCATGAAACGGGGGAGGGGCCGACGGAAATGTACACTGAATGTACGGTTGTGATCTAAATTCACTGAGTATAATCCAAGTAGCTAGGTTGCTGCTTTTAAGATAGTTAATGGATTTAAGTGATTAAATACTGTTGTTATTAATCTGTCTCCCTATGTGAACACTATTAGGCAATCCGAATGGCTCTGGTGACTCTTGAACGTGCCTTTCCTAAGCTCTAGAAAACAGCTGAGTTCTGTTGAAGCAAACAGCCTGTGATGGGAAAGAGCGGTCACCAGTGGGCACGAGTGGCTACTCAATGACGGGTAAGACCTTCTATTGGCCAGACAGGGGGCAACCCAAGCCAGAGTGGATCACGTAAAGTCACTGGGCATCTCAAGATGGAGGTGTTTATGTGAGAAAGGTATGAGAGTGGAGCGGATGACTGTGAGGCCAGCAGCATCCTTTATCGTTAGGGCGGATGAGCTGTGAGGAGTTACAGACAGTCTGACCCCGAAACGTGAGTGTTCCTCGAATACCAATCACCAGAAACCGCATTCATTGTATGGCTTGTTTTTTTATTGTGACAAGCGTCTGCAAATATGCCAGGGGAAAACACCCTGATGGAGATTATAGATAAAGGGCTAACAGGAGTGGGCGAGCAGGAGCCAGCTGAGGCCATTGAGTGATTCCCATTAGTTGTTGTGGAGACAGTAGCAAAACTTTTTATGTACTGGTTTGCCTTATGGGCAAGGAAAATCATAGTGTTGATTTTGAACTAATAGGTCTATGACATAGTTTTAACTCCTGAAGGTCGTTAGACATGGTGGTGGCTAAAGATGAAGACAGCTTTTGTAGATTTGAGAAAAGTCTGGATAACAAGGTGAATGGTCAAAGGTTATTGTAATTAATTTAATATTACATTATGTCTAAGTTACAGCCTTAGAAGGCTGTTGAAAAAGATTATTTATTTATAGTGAGAGAGACTGCTTGAGCAGAGGAAGGGATGGTAACTGTGTCTGTCTTTCCATTATTGGCCTGCTAGAGCAAGCTGAAGCAAAATAATGATAATGAAACAAAACAACCCAGCTGACCTTGTTAAATTCTAATGAATAATGAACAAGACATGCTTTGAAACTGGTTGGGAGACCATGTAAAATTAGGTAGAAGCTACCGGAAAATGGGAAGTTTAAAATCTTATTTAAAATTTAAATCTTTTAGCAATAATATAAAGAAAAATGAACATTGAAAATGAACAGTTAACATATGTGTGTCTAGTATGAGTGCGTGTGATGGTGACAGCACTTTATGTCTTGTATGTATTAGTTTGGGGTACTATTATTTCCTGATTTTGAGGATATTGTGTCATTAACCTCTGGAATTAGTGTTTTATCATTACAGATGGGTTAAGTGAAATGACCAACTTTAAAAAAGTTGATAATTCTAAGACAATCTGATGAAAAGACAATGCAGAACATGGGACGAGCTTTAATTGGAGTGGTTTTCCAGCTCTGTCTGCTATTGGTAATTATGAATGCTTTTGTCATTTATGATATTGAACTGAATTACTCTCTGGATTAGTATTTTATATAAATTGGAATTGTAAAGAAGATTGCCGTCCATTCTGGGGTAAAACTCTTGTCTAAATTCAACTGAGGGTCTAAATTTAAATAGACAACTAGGTGGGATCATAAGGTTAAACGTAGGGAAAAAAAAAAAAATATATATATAGACTTGACGGCAGAGAGACAAAGTGGCACATTGGCTAAGTCACTATCCAAATTATCCAGAGTGAGCTCCCTCATTTTTATTGAAAGGCCGGAGGGCGAACAAAGGAGGAGTGAATATAACTTCTAAAAAGAAAAGGTTTTATTTCTCAATCCATTAAATGTATGTATGACATTAGATGTCTAAGAAAACTACAATTTAATAAAGGTAAAAAGAGAAAGCAGCTATATGGCTGTGGGCTGGGATCTGAGTAACATAATATTTTGGTTTCTGTAAAACTGTAAAGATAAGTGGAACTGAGACAAATACTGTGAGAAGTAGTTATAATGAAAAATAAAGTTGAAGTTAATGATAAGAAAACAAGAGTATTGAAGAATTAATAAAATACCATGATTTCCCTAACGAGGGAACTTTAAGTGTCACTAGGCTGACAGTGGTGAGAGACTCGGATGCAGAAGGAACTGGCATGTAGGGCAAGATGGAAGAAATATAGTAGAAGAAAATGTATGTTATGAAAATACAATTTCTGATAGGATTTATGGAAGTCAAATTAAGTTTAAATGGTATGAAAAAGGTTAGGGTTAGACATTGTATGATTGACAGGGATTCAAGTGATATAAGGATAAGGAATGAACAAAAGCTTTATTAAGCAAAATGGGGAACGATCCTATATTTTAGTGGTAAAATAATGACTGAAATGATGATGTGAATTTGTTTTATTTTATTTCTATTTTTGAAACAAACAAAAAAGCGTATAAGATGTTATACAATTAAAATGGTACATGCTATGTGACTGTAAACTGAAGGATGATTTCAGTAAAGACTTAAAGTGCTTACATCGATTATTATGGGTCTTAATTATTAATATTTTATTGTTTGTTGTTTATTTTTAGTTAGACAACCATTGTGTTTTAAACCTAAAGGGTCTATAAAAGGGGTAGTGAAAATAATGGATTAACCATCCAACTTTGTTTATAATAAAAGGATTTGGAAATCATAATTTTATAAAAAAATAAAAAAACTAGTGCATATATTCTGGTATTCATGATTATAGACAATGTCTTTATTTAGGATCTGAGTAGTGACTGTGGATCTAGCCCATGCTAGTAGGAATACAGCAATAGTGCTTGCTTATTTAGCCTGGCTTCCAAAGAAAAAATATGTACTTGTTTCGTAATCAGTTATGTGTTTTATAAAAATTTTAACCTGACTGATAAACTGAGGAAGAATGACATTGATGTCCTGTTGTGAGTGGAAGGTGGGAGAGCCTCTTAATGGGGACTGGAATTTTTAGTATCCAGCATGTCCATGACGAGGTGAAGAGACAAGTGTGACCCGGCAGGGGAGCATGCGTCACCACTCCTCCCTTCCGTAGTGACCTCACTGGTTAGACCAGACGTGGCGGTATTGGACCCCACATTGGTCTAAAACGGGGGACTGAAGGGTTGGTCAAAATCCCTTGCCTCTTCAAATACATATATAATCATATATCATTTTGAATGGTTATATACTTCCTTTATAAAAATCAATAATCAAATATATTCATTATCACATAATAATTTTTATATTCTTGTGCTTGTGAAATTATATTTTCTTAAATGCATGGATGCAAGTAACCAGTTTCTTTTAGATGCATTCCAATCTTACTTTGAGATTGCACTTAGTACACGCAGGACACGAAGGCCACGGAACCCACAAGGCCGTTTGTCTCTTTCTCTGGGATCAGTAGAAAGGTTAGAGGGTCCTAAAGGCAGCGTGGGCACATATGATTCTTCGCTGGACATATGGTCAAGCTATATTGAGCGTTACTATCAAACTTGAATTGTTGTATTAAAATGTATTCTTTCCAGTATATTTCCTTCCTTGGGAGTAAATGTCAGTTATCTGTTTTTCTCCCAAACGAGTGAATGTTTTAGCATTATGTTTTGGTATACTTAACTGATAATAAGGAGCTCAGACTCTCTTCAGCCTTGATGGGAGCTGTTATTTGCTAGTGTCTGTTATTTGTGTGTGTGTGCGTATGACATTCTATGTAGGTTCTGGACGTTCGGACCAGACACCCCGGCGCCCTTCTCTAACCTGCGAGGCCACCACAGACCTAAATCCAATGAGTGGACGACAACTATCTTTACTAATGGCGATAGGCACCCCTATCTCCTCACATGTGTTAAATTGTTTAGGCTTTCATGTTTCTTAGCCAATGAGAATCATTCAACCTGTAAGCAATGACGTAGCTTAGACCTTGGAAATGGTATAACTGCTGTGATCTTTGTAACTGTAAGTGGGGCGGCCTACGAACTCCTGTGTGAGTCTTGAAGCTGACTTCTGCTGATGAAAATGCAAACTATCTTCAGTAAAACTTTTCTTTAATTTTTTATAATTCTGACTCCGGGTCTTCATTCTTCATATCTGGTTCTGGGTCTTTGACTGTATACCCCTTACACACTGATCCGATAAGGTGCACAATGTGTCTAAAAGGAAGATCTGTAAGGCAGAAATAAATAAATAAATATGAAATAGGAAGGTTGCAGCCATTTTTAAAACATGTAAGTTGTTAAAATAATCAATACTGTACCCAGGTCACCAAATGAGTGTTTGAGGACCACAATTCCCCAGAGAACTTGAAGAAAAGCAGCTACGCAGACCCATCCATCACAATCTACAGTTGGGAATAACCATTAACACTTTACACTATCAACATATTGGACATTTTAATGCAATTGAGGCCATTATTATTGTACCTTTTTCTTTTTTCAGCGCTATGAGGTACGAATAGACCATTATTGTGTTCACCACTATCATGAAAATCAACCACGCCGCTCTCCTAGACGAGCGCAAACCTGAAAATGGTGAAAATGTGAGAACGTTTATCTATTACATTTTAAAATGGTGGAATAATGTGATTTCGGATCATCTCAGACCTGACAACAAATGCTCGGTAAACAACTCATACTCTTAGTCAACAGCAAGCCGTTTAAAACCATTAAAGACAAATACTTACATTCCAGTTTTTCCACGCATGCGTCTTTCCAGTTATATCTGGTCAAGGTCAGGAAGAGTGGAAAAACTCCAACAACAAACAGTGCTGTAAAGAGAAAAAAACAAAACACAGTGCTTTAGAAACAAACAGACAACACAATTAAACTATTCTTTAGTAGTAGTGAGGTGCTTAGTTCAGCTTTAATCTTTTATTCACTTTCTAGCAATAAAACATACAAAAAATGGGTATAAATTAAGCTATGATTTAGTAGGATGGTTTAGGCACGTCTAAAAACGTCTCACCTCCACTGGCAGCTCCAAAAGCGTAGAAGAGGAAGATGAGCTGTAATGGAGGAAGAACATCATGGCCGATGTCAGACACGAGGTCTAACACAGCACGCATGCGGCCATCTTTGTTTCTGATCAGTTCAGCCAATACTGAATCAACAAATAGGAAGAGAATTAACAACATCTCATTCAAAATAATCATGTACAAACAGTAAAACAACACGTACTGAGAAATACACTGGGCTAAATAATACAATTTGAGGTTGAATGAAAAAAATCCTCAATAAGAATAACCCAGCAATGAAGTAACCTCCTGAAATAAGTTGCAAAAACAGCTTATTATGTTGTGTTGAAGTATATTAATGATTTGCATTTAAGTCATTTGCACTCAATGAGCATGAATAATTATTCATAAACAAAAAAGTAGAATCAGGGGGTCAATGTATCACAGCAAAATCCCCAGTGTTAAATTAACACTCTGAGTGTGGACTCATATAAACACTGAAGCAGTGTTAAAGTTAACACTGAAGCAGTGTTAAAGTTAATGAGATAATTAAGTGAATAATTGAGTGATAATTGAGCATCATTGAAGACACCTGATGTTAACAAGCAGAATCACTGAAGGAGAAAACCGGAATTTTAAGTCACCATTATGGTGATCAGTATTTGCTTTAGTTGGGCTCTTGACCCTTTAATCAATAACTTCAGATTTTGTTTGGCTGCTGTACGTGAGTTATAACAGCCAGATTAACATATAGAAAAGGTGATCTGATGGTGTTGGTTGTGTTTTAACATAATCATTATTTCACAATCATTTGACCTGAATCACTGAACTCATATATAGGCCAATTTCTGAGTTAGGTTTACTTTATTAATTATAGCAGCACTGTCCTTGTATGGCATCATATTTTTAGCCTTTTCAATGAAACCAAATGATCACAAAAAAAAACACATCAAAAATGATTTAGGTTGGTGCACACAGACATCAAGATTTAGCATATGAATCTCAGCAATGGTGACAAACAGATCACTTCTGAACATAAGCTCATTATTTATTCATGCAGCAATGCATGATTGGAGCCATGAATGAGTTTTTATTGGTGGCACCCAGAATGCACAACAACATGCTTTAATAATTGTCACCATTGTTGAGATTCACAGGCTGATTCTTGATGTCTTTGTGTCTAAAAACTGTATCAAATAAATGATTTTTTTATTTATATGAGACGTGTATAAAATAAATTTCTGTGGATTACTTTGTAAAAGTTTAAAACACTATGCTGTGCAAGAATAGTGCTGCTATAATCGATAAACTAAACCTAATTTGGGCTCTTTATGAGTTCAGTAATTCAGGTCAAATGATTGTGAAATAATGATTATGTTAAAACACAACCAACACCATCAGATCACCTTTTCTATATGTTCATCTGGCTGTTATAACTCACGTACAGCAGCCAAACAAAATCTAAAGTTAATGATTAAAGGGTCAAGAGCCCAACAAAAGCAAATACTGATCACCATAATGGTGACTTAAAATGACGGTTTTCTCCTTCAGTGATTCTGCTTGTTATCATCAGGTGTCTTCAATAATGCTCAATCATCCCTCAATTATTCACTTAATTATCTCATTAACCTTAACACTGCTTCAGTGTTAACTTTAACACTTCTTCAGTGTTTATATGAGTCCACACTCAGAGTGTTAATTTAACACTGGGGATTTTGCTGTGTAGGCTGAGATTTAAAGTGATATGATACAGAAATACTTACAGAAAACGATGTTCGTGATGCATATCAGAATCATAATTGCAAAGAGGATTGTTATCAGGACTCGATCAGATTGTTCATAACTCAGACTTTTTTCCCAGAAAGACTGAAAAAGAACTAAGACAAAGAAAGAGCGATCTGAGCTTGTATTGAAACCGTTTCGAGTTTTGTTAATGAGAGTATTATTATGTGCGGTCCAATATTCAAATATGCCTACCTGAATAAACAACGTTTGCAAAGAGGGAATATTGTAGATGAACAATGCAGTGCATAGCTGTTTTACGATTGCCTGCAAAACAGAAAAGGTCTTGGTCTCGGCAATTCTGGAAATCATCACATTAACTCGTTTGAGCATCTCTCTGATAAACTAAAAAGGCAGAGGATATTTACACTAAATGGAAGTGTACATAGTTGTTAGATGCTATTCATACTTAGTGTAAAGAGTGGCAGATACTATTTGCACCTAAATGTATTGTAGTATATTAAAACAGTATGAATCAATACCATATTATGACATACTGAGTCGAAATAATGACAGAAAGTCATAGTAAAGTCGATATTTTGACTTCTCGTAATTATGACTTTATTTCATGATTTCGAATTGTTATGTCATAACTTCAAATTTGCATTGCATACTTTTGATTCATGTCATAACTTAGACTTTATTTCAGAAGTATGACTTTTTAAGTCTTAATTTCAAATTTGGAATATTATAAATTTGACTTAGTATGTCAATTTCGAAAAGCTCATAATTGACTTTTCATGTCATAATTTCAACTTTTTAAGTGCAAATAGCGATAGATTCTATTTACACTATGTAAAAATATGCAATAGTAGTTAGATACTATTTATACTTATAAATGGTTGCAGTTACAGTTACACTTCAGTGTCGTTGTATATTAAGTGATGCCCGATATATCGGCATCGGCTGATATATGTTCATTTTTAATGTTATCGTTATCGGCCCGATAAGAAAATTTGGCCAATATATTAGAGCCGATTAATAATGTATTATATCCATCAGCTGAGACACTTCAGATCCGCACTGTTCAACATGAGGGTTTTGAACTGCTTGAAATATGATTGAAATCACTTTGAAAAGGAAAATACAGTAAAGTGCAACATGTGCAGCGCAAGTCTATCATATCGGCTACATAAAATAATAATGAGAACATTATAATTATGTGTTTGTGACGTGTATTTTAATTGTGAGACTGTTGTTTTTGTAATCAGGCTCTAAAAAATTATATAAAAATTTAGATTTAGATTTATCGGCCAATATATCGGTTATCGGCTTTCAAGTATAAAGAATTATCGGTTATCGGACAAAATTTTTATATCGGTGCATCCCTATTAAACGGTATGCAATAATAACATAGTGTTTAAATTGTTATTTTTATTTGAATTATTAAATGAATGGGACAATAAAGCCCTCCCTACACCTAACCAATCAACTATTTATTATTAAACACACGTTAGACACTTTATTTTTTCTTCATTTTTATTGAAAATAAATGCCTTTCTGATCTGAACTAAAAATGATTTAAAATGGACAAACCTGGGAAATGTTCTGAATGTGGAGACACCCATAACAGCAGAAGCGGCCTCAGCAAATAATGAGCACAGCAAGCAACAGTCTCACTCAGAAATCCTTAGAAACAACAAAAACAGAAGATCTAATCGTGACCATTTACTCTGTTTTACAAAACTATGAATGGACCCATTTTACAATTTAAAACAAAACAAAACCGGCATAACTAAACATTGCCAGCTTCCTCATTATTAGATACATAATTATTACCAGTGCAATACTCACCTTCAACGACACCCCAGAACCAGAAGGCAAAAAACATAAAAAGGTTTGGTACAAAGACGGAAGAGATCTGAAGAAGCAGGGCTGCATCTAGAGAGAAGTACACATACAATAACTCAATTTCAGTCCGAAATGCTTAATTGTTGAAATAATTATTTAGCATATATTAGTGCAATTCAATTAAACTTTCATACACAGTACCTACGAACAAATAAACAAGAATATTTAATGCGCAAACATACTTGTCTTTTGTAATCTGTGGATTTGATACCATAGAGAGGACAGCAGCAGTGCGGATCCAGATGCAACGATACAGAGAATGAACACAATAATGTGTAAAACTGAGAAACCTGTGAAACAGAGTTACAACTAAATTACTGCAAGGTCACATTTCACAGATTTAGAGCCAAAGGTGGCATCACTATTTTATTTTAACACATAGATAGGTATGTCTTAGTATTAAAGATACTTTCTATTTTTCTTTTTGAATGTCCTATGATTTGGTCATTGAGATTTCAATGTGGCTGTGGTTGAAAACTAAATGTGGGTGACTGTGCATTCAGGGAATACTTATTGTATTTAAAGAGGAACTTCTGAAGAACAAATAACATTGAAACTAGAAATGCACCTTTATTTATTCACATAAAAGCCATGTCTGGATGTTTGAGAGTCCAAACAAACATTATAGGAATAAGGAAAATATGGTTAGCTTCTTCTATTTCTTCTTCCTCAAAGTGATACTGTTAACCAGTGGTGGTTGAAGGCACAGAAAATTGCTCATCTCTGACTCAGACACATCATTCATCCGCATATTCTGTCCATCCTCCCTGTTCATGTGCCTTTTCACCACATTAACACCAAAACTAAAGCACACGGTTAATCTGTCAATGAGATGCGTGTGAAAGTTGCACTAGAAACAGTTGGCGCTCTTCTTTCAGAATCCCTTTTAGCCCAATTAACTTTTGAATTTGACAAGAATATATTCATAAATTAGCTAACCAAGATGGATAAATGTGCGAAAAAGATATTCATTAATTCATGATATAGAATGTAAAACGTGTCACATGTGCACATGGTAATGTTTACGATCATCTTGTAAAGCGTTACCAATCGGAGAATGTATTCTCCCAATGCATGTGCCATGAAATGCATTTAATATTTTGGCTTTCATCATTAGGCCTATTTATGCTAGTATTTCTTCAGACAAAAACATTAAAAGCCCACTTAGGGGCATCAAAAGAGCAAAACATCTGTAGACTTGACATGGGTTTAGTATGGGTTTGCCTTGCAAACATTGCACACCATGTTTGCTGGGTTAGATGTTGAATTTCAGATCACTTCTGAAAGTGTGCTGTAAACTGTTAGCCTGGAAAAAACCCAGACAACTTCCGGCAAATTTAGAGCTCATTCAAGCCCATTTCCAATCCGTCGAAATCGAGGCACCAATCAGAAACGTTGGGGCGGGCTTTACACGATGACGACAGCGCTGGGATTTTGAAGCAGATTTTGTAGCCTACATTACAAAGATGGATCCCGCCGTCGAACATCACTCGTTCCAATCAGCTATCGCGTCTGTTTTAAGCGATTTGAACGTTTCCTTTTTGTTAAAAACCGAGCAAAGAACAACACTCGGAGATGTGTCTCCGCCGCTCTGCATACGCCATCTCCTTCATCGCTCTGATTGGGTTTAGGTCTATCCGCGACGTCCGTTGGTGACGCCCCTCTGGAAATGATTTGTCTATGACGCTTTGCCAGACCATAACTCAGTTACAACTGAGAATGGTCTGGTTTTAAATAGGCTAGTAAACTGTTACACATGATGGAAAAACAGAAAACTTTTTATGCGTTTTGGCCGTTTATTTACACGACAACTGCGTTTTGGGGGCCTGAAAAAGCAAACTTTTGAAAACTTTTCAAAGTGCAAGTTTTTGTAAACGATACCAGTATTGAATTGGTGAAAATAGTGACGTCGGTCATACGCATGTGTGTTACGTGTTCAGTCTATAGGTGCGTAGTGTTTCTTTACAAAGTGACAGCGCCATCTACTGGACTGGCATCAATAATACAGCGCTTTAGTCGTGTTCGTGGATCCGCGTGAACGAGGATCGCTTTGACAACGTTGTCGTCTGCACGCGAAAAACGCGAAGGAAAATCTTTTCTGTTTTTAGTATCATTGTAGTGTAAACATACCCCGAGTTGAGGACCTATCAGCCTGTGCCATTAAGAGTTTCATGACAAAAACTAAAATTTTAGCAGGCGAAAAGTTGGTTGTTTTAACACAGAATGACCGCTGTGATGTTTTACGAGTGAACAAATATGGACAGCTCTTAAAGGTGTAAAGCTTAACGACATGCAACCAATCACAGTGCATGACAGTTTCTCAGACTGTACAAAGTCTATTATTTTCTGAGACAAGTACTAATGCAGTTAATGATTGATTGGCTGTTGCTTAAAAATAATCACAGAAGCATTTAAGCTGTATATTGTTAACTAGCCTATATTGTAACTATCTGAAAAAGCCTATTTGTGTACATGCACAACATCATTGGTATGACATTAAAATCCAGCAACTAGATGACATGAAGCACATCAGATATTAACATTGATTAAAATAACATTGAGCATAAAATTGACAAATCTTATTAAATTTTATTAATTTGTATCAAGAGATTTGCTCACCCAGTTGCTCCAGAACTACAGTCGCATTGGATGAAAAATTCCCAGCGATCACGTGACAGATGTAAACCCCTTTATCCTCGGTCCTGACACTCTTCAGACTGAGAGAGAAGTTTCCTTTGCGCATTTCATCGGTGAAGAACTCAACTCTGTCTCTGTATCGCTCATCTACTGGTAGAGTTTTATTCTTTTCAAAAACCAGGATGTTTTCATCTTCATCCGTCTTCCTCCATGAGACCCGTTCAATGTGTTCAGGTGTGATGTGAGAGTGTACAGAGCAGTTCAGAGTGACGTCTTCACCCACAAACGCAGATACGGGATCATCTGATCCTGATACACTCAGATACTCTGGAAGAACACATAAAACATCAACAATATCACAATCAAGTGGAATTAATTTCAAAATGTTGGCCAGAGATCTTCACTCACCAACTGCTTTAATTTGCACCAGGGCTTCATCAGATTCCTGCTCAGTGTAAACCTTACATCTGTAAAAACCCTTATCTTTAGCTCTCACGCTTTCCAGACGCAGGGAGAAGTTTCCATGTTTGATTTGATCAGTGAAGAAATGAGCTCTGCCACGATAATCCTGATACTGGGCGTCTGGTCGACTCTCATAATCTTGGTACACATGCACAAGTGTATTAATATCTGTGCGTATCCAAATCACCTTCAGTCCTTTCAATGGTAAGGGTTCATCAACATAACAGGGCAAAACCACTGAAGATCCCAGAACAACAACCAGAGGACCAGAGGGACCTTTCACTAAAAACCCTAAAAAAAACATAGAAAAAAAAAAAAACATTCAGATGAGTGAGATGAATGAAAGGTTACTTTTGAAGTCCCAATCTTTCGATAGGCTATGTTCCGCGATCCACGCTGATTTATACAGTAGCCTACCTGTTTTGTTAAAAGTTTTAATTATAGTACAAGGATAGCCTAAATATATACAAGTAAATACTTACCGTCACAGATCATAAATAGAGCTGCCGCGAGCATGCATTTATGTAAGTGCATGTCCAAACACAAAATCACGCAAAACACTTAAGCTGTCTATTGTGAATGACTAACCAAACTGTTGCTACAGACATTGTGTGAAGAAGGAGCGGTCACGTATCGCGATCTATGTGTGCTTTCACTTTCGCTCCTGAAAGTTTTAAACTGTTCAATCACTTCCGGTAACTGCGAGGGAGGAGTGGACATCGAAGAAGAGTGCAGTCAAAGAATAGTGTGATGAAATTTGATCATACAAATATTAAAACAATAGCCTCAGAAACTCGAGCAAGAATGTTAGCATATCAATCAATCAATCTGACATGATCATAAATCTACTCCTTTATTCTTGAGTCTAACAACAACATCTCAACATCATGACTCATGACACATGAACAATATGACCAATATGTTGAGATGTTATTGTTATGCAAAAAAGCTGTGTAGGATTTATAAATAGCTAACTGTGTTTAATTTTAAATGAGTTTTTTTATAAAAACTTGAACTTGAACTTAAATAGTCAAACATAGTCAAATAAATCAGATATTTCGCTAATAGCCTACTAAAATCACATGTTCTCATACTTTCCATATGATGATGTAAATCAAGAACTATTTTCTTCTCAAAGTTACTGGGAACTCCGTTGTATTGTTTACTCTGAGGAGCAAACAAACAATAGGTGCATTACTGCACGATTTTAATTGTACCGACTGCAGAAATATTGCTGCAATGTTATGTTCCCTCAGTGAGGACCACATGGTAAGGACTAACTAAATACTGCATTAACTGACTGGCGCGTGCACGTGGACTACACTACCCACAATGGCCTATTGTAAACAGGAAGTGCGTCACGGAATTTCAAACCAGTAGAGCTCACACGGAATGATCAGTGTTTCAGAATAACATAAATAATAGTGTTTTGTTTATAAATCTTTCTCTAAAACTAAAGTGCGGCTTTATGTGTCGGTTTTGGTCGCATATATTCACGATCTTTAACTCTGAGGAACTGATTCATCAACACTAAAGCTCGTCTAGTCCAGAACACAGACAGGATTTAATTTTTACACTTGAATCCTCAGATCCGGATGCTAATCATCCAGACAGAACCAGAACCAGCGGCCGAAGCGGGTCTCCAGCGGGTCCAGGGCAGGATTTGAAGTTTGAACGATGATCAGCTGATCTCAGCGCTCGTGCTTTTGTTGAGGCTGCGGTCCCGGTTTCTATTGGTAACGGGCACGCGCACAGATTTCACCATAATAAACACTCCGTTTCTCCTTCTGGGAATCAGAATCAGATATGGTAAATATCATCTCTCTTACGTATATAAAACACAATATACACGTAAAACGAAAAAGTAATAAATACAATTTAATACTACAGTAGGCTACTGTACAACTAAACAAACACGTGGTGTAGAGGTTACAGATCTGGGCTCGTAACAGCTCGAAGGGTACCACTATTTTACTGTTACACAAGTTACATGTTGTTATTATAGTAATTACAATAATAAATTATGCATAATTAATTACATGGAACTGAACTTAATCCTAACCTATAGTAAGTACATAGTTAATTATTATTACTCAGTAGGCTATTTATGTATAATTACACTGTAACAAGGACACCAAAATAAAGCGTAACCATTCAATCCACATAGGGTTTAATCTGTTAATTACTAAACCTGTAATAAATAAATAAGTGTTAATTTATTAACAGTATTTAATATGTCAATATTTTGGACTTCTTTTGTAATTAAACGTTGTATCTATTTAATGCTACCATGGTATTTAAATATACAGTGTAGCCTAATATATAGTGTATTGTAAATCATTGTTTTAAAAGAATTTATACAATCCTGGGCCATGTGATATTATTCTGAGGTTTAATAAAGCACAATAATAAAATGATAGTAATGTAGTAGTATAAAATGTATCTCATCTTCATCTTTTTCAGACGTCAAAGCAGAAGAAGGGTCTCAGAGGTGAGTTCAGTCAGCCGGTGTGTGTGTGTGTGTGTGTGTCTCTCTTATGTGTGATTGTTGTGTGAGCTGTGGTGTTTCCTCGTCTCTCAGGCTCTATAGATGACGTGTTAGGAGATCTGCTGGGTGGTGATGATGATGAAGGTCCGGTGAAGGTGCGAACGCCAGCGCTCGTGTCCAGCAGACCCTCGGCCGTCCTCACGTCACGCAGCGGGAAGAGGTGTGTGTGTGTGTATGTGTGTGTGATGATGGATGATCATCATCTAGTATGAGTCTCAACAGTCTGAGAGATGAACTGAGACACAAATAGAGTCCGTCACCTGTGTAAACGTCACGTAGAGCTGCTGTGTGTGTGTTCAGGTCGCTGCTGGACGATGATTTCTTCAGTAAACTGGCAGAAGAGGCTGAGAAAGATGAGGAGGTGAGACACGAGCTGTGGATCAACACCTTTAAACACTCGGCATGTTCATAAAGCACTTTAAAAACTACAGAGTAAACTTAAATGCTGTACAATTAAAAGAAACTAAGATAAAACAGGCAAAAATGTATAAATTAAGCATAATTACATGTGACAAACCCAAACTTAACTCTAAACTTAACCTAAACTTCGTTAATTATTATTGCTCAGTACTTAAATGCATAATTACACTGTAACAAGGACACCTTAACATTAAATTAATAAATGCATAATAAAGAAATAATACAGGCAGCCCATTTCTAGATAAATCGATCAGATGAAAGTCCAGATTAACTTACTCAGTGTTATTTTAGCATCATTGATATATCATTATAGTGTTTATTACAATGTTGGATTAGTTTTTGTTTGTGTATTTTCTATTTTAATTTTGTTGTGCATTTTTGTCATTTTTATTAGATTCGTTTTTTAATGAGTCTAGTTTTGAGGAAATTTACCTTTAAAAGTAATGCGTTACAATATTGCGTTACTCCTTAAAAAAAGGAAGTACCGGTAATAAATTTTTATGGAAAGTAATGCGTAACTATTTTTCTTAATTTTTATTTCAGTTTTGGTTATTTTAATACTTCGAGTTAAACTAAACGAAAATGAGAAATGTTGCCTTGTAAAGTAAAATAAAATAAGTTTGTTAAAAATATTTCAGTTAATGCAACAAATTTTTTTAATGGTTTTAAACAATGTAAACTAAATTTAAACTGTTAGTTAAGTTAAAATATTTTCCATTTTCATTTTAACGTTTTAGTGATTTTGTTGTGTGTTTTGTTCATTCTTTTATTACATTTATGTTTTTTTTATATATAAATAATTTTACCATATTCATTTTTATTTCCGTTTTAGTTATTTTAGTACTTTAAGTTACATTTAAGGTACTCAAGTTACATACATTGCCTTGGAAACTGAAATAAAATAAGGTTGTTTAATTATTTCAGTTAAAGTTTTAATTTTATTTCAGGTATAACACATTTTTTTACGGCTTTAGTTGTAATTGTTGATAATAACCCTGCGACAGTGCGTCTAAACTTTTACGTCTCTTCTATAAAGACTCTTGATCTCTTCTATTGGACATTCCCTCAGTGTGTGTGTGTGTGTGTGTGTGTATTTGTGTCTCAGGTGTCTGATGTTTCTGAGGCCGATCCTGCCGCTCTGCTGGACAGCATGAAGGTAAGCCAAGCTGCTTTCTGATTGGCTGAAATTGAGCTGTGACATCATCAAACGTATGACGTCACTCCGCCTTTGTTCACTCCAGGACATAGACGACATGGATGCGGATCTGTTCAGCTCGAAGAAGAAGCCGAGCTCAGCTCCGGTCCAGAGGAAAGAAGTGAAAGGAGGAGATAAGAGCAAAGCCACAGGTACGTTTCCTTACGAGTGAGATTTGAACAAGAGATGCGACTGTTTTTAAAGTGTCTCGTGTGTTTTTACAGAGGAAACGGTGAAAAAGCCCAGTTCGGCTCCGGCATCCACCGCGAGAGCTTACAAGAAGTTCAGCTTTCTGGGTAAGAGCAGAACCCACGCCTGTCTGAGCGTGTTAACAGGCTTCATTAGGGGTTTGATTGTCTCCATTTGCTCCATTTTCCTGCTGCATGTGGTTCAGATGATGAAGGTGGGGGTGTTGATCCTCCTCTTCCTCCTCCTCCTCCTGATGATGAAGGTATCACAACAACGCTTTTACACGAACCTCCGTGAGATAGACCACTGAGAACCCGTTCTTCACGTTTCACAGGTAACATGGACGGTTCGTTGGATGATTTACTGGACGATCTGGAAGACAAGCAGAAGACGATGAAGAAAAGCGAGCCGCCGCGCTCTTCCTCACCCGTCGCTGCTCAGAAAACAGAGAGGAAGAGGGACGAGCTGACGTTCGATGATGAGGATGATCTGATGGACGCTCTGGGCTTCAGAGAAACACACAAATCAAATGGAAACGCACCGACAGTGAAGAAAGAGAGGTATGTTTGGACTCTGGAATCCTGGGAGATTTTCCTCCCTTTGGATGAAATCACTAAAAAGTGCTGCTTTTCTCATCAAAATAATAAAATTCAAGCCACTGGGGACGATCATAAACAACAACCCTGTTAGTATAGATTGAGCAAATAATAATAACACATTTATACATTAATTATTAATATTAAATACTTTTTTATTACATATATAGTACAAGCAAACAGAAAAGATTTCAGGTTCGTTCAATAATAAGTGTTGCTTTTTCCATTTCTTATGTACATTTCTAAATGTTTGGATTATATATAACAGAAAAGTATTTAATACTTATATTAATACAACAACTTCTACTACTACTACTACTAATAATATTGTTATTATTATCACTATTAAGTACTTATCTGTTGTATATAATCCAAAGAATCAGAAAATCAAACATTATTAGTATTTACATTGTATCATTATTTACATATTTTATTTATATATAATTTATTTTGGCTCATTCTATAACCAGCGCCGCTTTTTCCATTGCTTAAGTAATTTTTATTTTATTTATATTATATTATATTATTTTAATTTATTTTATTTTAGTCTCTTTCAATAACCAGTGCTGCTTTTTCCATTGCCTAAGTACATTTTTATTGTTTATTTTTTTTATTATTATTTATTCATTTTATATTTTATTTTATGGTCATTCTATAGCCAGCGCCACTTTTTCCATTGCTTAAGCAAATTTTTTTTTTTTTTTTCTAAAAAAAAATAATAACCAGTGCTGCTTTTTCTTTCTTTCTTGCGTTGATTGTCTTTATATATATATTCACTTTGTATGCAGTCAGTCAGTTTGAGTGCAAAACCATTAAATATTAAATTTATCTTGAGATGGCATAATTCAATTTATCAACATTTAAAGCCAATGTTTGTCTTATATAATTCTACAAAACACATAGTTCAGAAATAGAAAAGGCATGAACCCCAATGGTTTCTTGTTTAGATAATGTACACACTGCTCCTCCGTCTCTGCTTTTTGTGACTGTGTGCACTGAGAAGCACGCGCCTGTGATGTGTGTGTGTGTGTGTGTCCTCACCAGCGATCCTCCTCTGAGAGCTCGCACCAAACTGGACGAGATCTTGGGCCGAGGGACGTCTCCTCGTCTGCTGGAGAGACCCGTGACGGGAGAGAAGAGCTCGACGGGGAGAGGTCAGGATCTCAGATTACTGTGAAGGCCACGGATCACTCAAGACACTATTAAGAGAGAATGATTCAACGACACACACAAATCGCAGTCTTTCATTGATGTTCTAGATCACATCACAGCTCAAGCAGTGGAACATTCGGTTACACTTTAGTTTAAGGTGTCATCGTTACAGTGTAATTATACATTTAAGTACTGAGTAATTTTAATCAACTACATGTTCTTACTATAGGGTTAGGGTAGGATTAGTGTTTGGTCGAGGGTTAGTTACATGTAATTATGCATAATTTACTGTTATTACTACGGTAAGTACATGTAACATATGTAACAAGGACACTGTAAAATAAAGTGTCACCGAACATGAACTCATTGATTGTGTACATGAATGCAATACAAGTCACTTCGCATCAAAGCATCTGCCAAATGCATAAATGTGATCAATGAATGATTGGACTCTGTGGATGAGCACTAACCGCTGGTCCCACTGTCTGCAGCCCCTCTGGTGGACGAGGAGGACTTCACCTTCGGCTCGTATCAGCCCACGATGGCTTCGACTCCAGAGGGACGTCAGTCCCGGAGACAGTCTGTCAGGTGAGTGCACACACACACACACACACACACACACACACACACACACACACACACACACACACACACACACACACACACACACAGACGTTCAAAGTGTTGCTCTACTTAAATCAAGACATGAAAAAGATAAGTAGTCTTATTTTCTGAATGAAGGTAGTTTAAGAAGTCAGAAAAATCATCTTGTTTCCTCTGAATTATTTTTCTGAGAGGATTTTGCTTATAAATGTATCGTGATTGGTTTATATATTTGTACTGCGGGGAAAGACAAGACAAAAATACTGTGACTTTTGGTAGATTTTAGACACAAGGGCTGCTTACACCAGCCAATACTGTCAAACCAAGAATTATTCAGACACTAGATGTCATTTTTGATATTTTTTTACTAGTGTGTGCACTATAGTTAATTTATGTAAGTGAGGAGAGCAAAATAAAGTAAACTGTGACATATAATACCCAAAAATTCTTCATACAGTAAAATTTATAAAAATTTGGGACCAAAAAGTATTCAGACACTTTGACCTGATCATGTTTAAGTGTGTTTTATTTATTGCTAATGCACCTTTTTACACACAGACTGAACAGAATGAAGCATTGCTTGGTCACTGGTTGAGCTAAACTGGCATTATGTATAATAGTGTAGTTAAATTTATCAGCTGACAGATATTCAACATAATTCATCTGTGTTCAGTCTAACAGAAGGACGGACAAAACCAGTGAAATATCAACTGATCTGATAATATTTATAGTTATATTATAGATAATAGATAATAATATAGTTCTGCTCATATTTCATTACCATTTTCTATAAACTACAGCGAATAAACTGTGATAATGTGAGAAATGTTGTCTGAACACATCTTGGTTTGACTGTATATCGGTTTATCACTGTATTGATTCATTTTATTTGCATAAATCAGTTTCATTAAAGCTAAAAAGCTTGTGTTTGGTGTCAGATTCTCGACTGAAGACGTGAGCGCTCACTCGCCCGAACACAAACCCAAACCCTCGTCACGTGCCGTCCGGCCCCGATCGGACTGGCTCGGCCTGAAGCGGGAGGAGGAAGAGGAACAGATGAAGGAGGAACCCAAACAACCTATCCCAGAGGCCCTGAAGACTCCAGCGTCTCCATCATCACCGGCTGGAGAGGAGACGCCCGCACCCGCGTCTCCTAAAGCCATCTCGAGAGACCAGGACTGGCTCTCTGGAGCGCTGAGCCGCAGGAAAACACAGCCCGTCAGCCAATCAGAGGCGAGAGAGAGCAAACAGGAAGTGACGTCGGGTCCGGCTGAGGAAGTGGACGTGGTTCTCAGGTGAGGGTTTGTGAATGAATGTCGTGTCGGACTGGATGGAGATGCAAAGGTTTGCTGTAATGTGTGTTGTGTCCGCAGCTCTAAACCAAACGCCTCTTCAGCCTCACGAAGACGAGCAGACGAGCCTCCCGTCCCGAACACAGAGCACAGGTACAGTCCACGCTAACTCTGCTGTGGGCGTGCGATTCATGTGGCACTAAGTGTGTGTGTGTGTGTGTGTGTGTGTTTTCCAGCAGAGAGTCCACTGGCATCTCTATCCAACACAACTCAAGCACAGAAACGCAACATAAACCTGGTACAGTCAAACATTGCTCTCACTCAAATACTATTATTAAACTCTTATGAATTGCACAGTCATGGAAAACTCAAAGTTTTGAAAAGTCACGAACGTTTTACTGAAGATAAATGTTAGTAGTTAGCTAGAAATTGCTTTTTTTTACTTCTAGAACATGATTATCCAATGAAATCTATTAAAAAAAGAAATAGAATTAGAACTTTAGTGGATTATGGGAATGTTTTCATTCATTTCAGCTGATTTTGATTTCTACGGTTAGTTTCTATTCCCGTTACTAAAGTCCCTTCAGGAAACACCGTTCTATTCTGTTAGCAATTCAATTACAGAAGTGAATGACTTTAAACAAATTAAAATCAACAAATAATATTTAAATTTAACCAACGATTAATGTATTTAAATACTTATAATAATAATGCATTATTAAATATTACCATGACGTATATGTGTGTTCTTAAAACGAATTCAGTGAAATAAATAAAAAGTAATAGTAATAATAATATGTATTATGAAAATTAAATATTAACTTGATGTATAAATATTTTTTATTACATTTCAGTCATGAAAATGTTTTCACATTACATAAATGAGAATTTAGGGACCGTTTCTTAATTATCAAGAAAATGCATGTTAATGTGGAACATCTTATTGGTGCTAAAATGTGTATGATGTGAATGTGTGTATGATTAAAGCGTCTGTTGTTTCAGTGTTTGCACCAGCGGAGGACCTGTGTCCTGCTGCACCTGTGACCCAAACACACACACCTCTGCCTGCAGACAACCTACAGCAGCTGCTGTTACAGCAACAGGTCAAACACACACACACACACACACACACACACACACACACACACACACACACACACACACACACACACACACACACACACACACACAGACAACCTACAACAGCTGAACCTACAGCAAGAGGTCAAACACACACACACACACACACGTACAACACTAAACACGCTCTGATGTGGATTCATATTCAGCAGACTAATGTGTGTGTGTGTGTGTGTGTGTGTAGTTGGCTCAGTCTCATCTGTGGGGTTTGAGCGGCTCTCTGGACGTGAACGCACACAGACACAGAACAGACACGGACCATCAGCACGCAGAAGTGACAACACTGCAGAAACGCATCATTCAGCTGGAGGCACAGGTACACACACACACACACACACACACACACACACACACACACACACACACACACAATAAAGTAAATTAAATTAAAGCAATAAACCACCAGCAGACGCTTTACTCTGCATTTCCAGGTGGGAAGACATATGCTAAAACAGCAGTAACTGTGGTAAATAAAAATGTAACTACTTAAATCACAAAAACTATTCAAATTAAATTAATTGACATCAGAGAACATGTGAATGTGTTGTTAAATTATAAAAATACTCACTTCATATCTCATGGAGGCTTCAAGTAAATATTTTACTTTGAAAGAGTTTGGCTGATACAGCTGAAGGATGTTTATGGTTCAAGCAAAATAAGGTGAAACTAATGCATTAATACAGAATGCAACTGGTGTGTGTTACAAGTGTGTTTGTATCAGCTATTTTAACGTGTTTCGTCCGATCACAATGCAAAACAGTATGAAAAAATATGTGTGTGTGTGTGTGTGTGTGTTCAGGTGAGGAGCTCACAGCTGGAGAGAGATCAGAATCAGATGCTGTTAGAAAGTGTCCAGCAGAGGCACAAACAAGACACTGAGATCATGGAGAACATGCACAGGTAACACACACACACATACAGAAACACACACACACACACACACACACACTCACTCACACTCACACTCTCAATCACATACACTATCACTCTGTCACTCAAACTCTCACTCTCTCTCACACACATACATACACTCTCACTCTCTCACTCAAACTCACACACTCGCACTCTCACTCAAACTCACACTCTCACTCACACACACACACATACATACACTCTCTCACTCAAACTCACACTCTCACTCACACACACACACATACATACACTCTCTCACTCAAACTCACACTCTCACTCACACTCTCACTCACACTATCTCACTCAAACTCTCACTCACTCTCTCTCACACTCTCACTCACACTATCTCTCTCACTCAAACTCACACTCACTCTCTCACTCAAACTCACACTCACTCTCTCACTCAAACTCACACTCACTCTCACTCTCACTCACTCACTCACTCACTCAAACTCACTCTCACTCACTCACTCAAACTCACTCTCACTCACTCAAACTCACTCTCACTCACTCACTCAAACTCACACTCACTCTCTCACTCAAACTCACACTCACTCTCTCACTCAAACTCACACTCACTCTCTCACTCAAACTCACACTCACTCTCACTCTCACTCACTCACTCAAACTCACTCTCACTCACTCACTCAAACTCACTCTCACTCACTCACTCACTCAAACTCACACTCACTCTCTCACTCAAACTCACACTCACTCTCTCACTCAAACTCACACTCACTCTCTCACTCAAACTCACTCTCACTCACTCACTCACTCAAACTCACTCTCACTCACTCACTCAAACTCACACTCACTCTCACTCACTCACTCAAACTCACACTCACTCTCTCACTCAAACTCACACTCACTCTCTCACTCAAACTCACACTCACTCTCTCACTCAAACTCACACTCACTCTCTCACTCAAACTCACACTCACTCACTCTCACTCACTCACTCACTCACTCAAACTCTCACTCACTCACTCACTCAAACTCACTCTCACTCACACTATCTCACTCAAACTCACACTCTCTCACTCAAAATCACACTCTCTCTCACACTCTCACTCACACTATCTCACTCAAACTCACACTCTCACTCACACTCTCACTCACTCAAACTCACACTCACTCACTCAAACTCACACTCACTCTCTCACTCAAACTCTCACTCACTCTCTCACTCAAACTCACACTCTCTCTCACTCAAACTCACACTCACTCTCTCACTCAAACTCACACTCACTCTCTCACTCAAACTCTCACTCACACTATCTCACTCAAACTCGCACTCTCTCACTCAAACTCACACTCTCTCACTCAAACTCACACTCACTCTCTCACTCAAACTCACACTCACTCTCTCACTCAAACTCTCACTCACACTATCTCACTCAAACTCACACTATCTCACTCAAACTCGCACTCTCTCACTCAAACTCACACTCACTCTCTCACTCAAACTCACACTCACTCTCTCACTCAAACTCTCACTCACTCTCTCACTCAAACTCACTCTCTCACTCAAACTCACACTCACTCTCTCACTCAAACTCACACTCACTCTCTCACTCAAACTCTCACTCACTCTCTCACTCAAACTCACACTCACTCTCTCACTCAAACTCACACTCACTCTCTCACTCAAACTCACACTCACTCTCTCACTCAAACTCACACTCACTCTCTCACTCAAACTCTCACTCTCACACTCTCACTCAAACTCACACTCACTCTCACTCTCACTCACTCACTCAAACTCACTCTCACTCACACTATCTCACTCAAACTCACACTCTCTCACTCAAAATCACACTCTCTCTCACACTCTCACTCACACTATCTCACTCAAACTCACACTCTCACTCACTCAAACTCACACTCACTCACTCAAACTCACACTCACTCTCTCACTCAAACTCTCACTCACTCTCTCACTCACTCTCTCACTCTCTCTCACTCAAACTCACACTCACTCACTCAAACTCACACTCACTCTCTCACTCAAACTCTCACTCAAACTATCTCACTCAAACTCGCACTCTCTCACTCAAACTCACACTCTCACACTCTCACTCACTCACTCAAACTCACACTCACTCTCACTCACTCACTCACTCAAACTCACTCTCACTCACACTATCTCACTCAAACTCACACTCTCTCACTCAAAATCACTCTCACTCACTCTCACACACACTCACGCACACTCACTCAAACTATCACTCTCACACTCTCACACACTGAACCCATGGAGAACATGCACACACACTCAAACTGTGTTGAAAGAGCTATTCTTTACACGCATGTGTTCTGGTCTCAGAGCGCGTGTGAAGCTGCTGGAGGAATCGTCTGCTCAGCGAGAGTTGCGCTCGCGTCAGGAGAACGAGGATCTGGCGGAGAGACTGGCGGCCGTCACACGTGTGGCGGAGCAGGAGCGAGTCGAGATTCAGAACCAGCACCAGCGCAGACTCACACAGAGCCAACAGGACCGAGACCGAGAGGTGGAGAGACTCCGAGACCTGCAGAGGTGACGCGCACACGCACACACACACACACACTCACACAGAGCCAACAGGACCGAGACCGAGAGGTGGAGAGACTCCGAGACCTGCAGAGGTGACGCGCACACGCACACACACACACTCACACACTCACACAGAGCCAACAGGACCGAGACCGAGAGGTGGAGAGACTCCGAGACCTGCAGAGGTGACGCGCACACACACACACACACACTCACACACACTCACACAGAGCCAACAGGACCGAGACCGAGAGGTGGAGAGACTCCGAGACCTGCAGAGGTGACGCGCACACGCACACACACACACTCACACACTCACACAGAGCCAACAGGACCGAGACCGAGAGGTGGAGAGACTCCGAGACCTGCAGAGGTGACGCGCGCACACACACACACACACACAGAGCCAACAGGACCGAGACCGAGAGGTGGAGAGACTCCGAGACCTGCAGAGGTGAGGCGCACACGTACACACACACACACTCACACAGAGCCAACAGGACCGAGACCGAGAGGTGGAGAGACTCCGAGACCTGCAGAGGTGACGCGCACACACACACACACACACACACACACAGAGCCAACAGGACCAGGACCGAGACCGAGAGGTGGGGAGACTACGTGGAGGTGCAGAGGTGACGCGCACACACACACATACACACACACACACAGAGCCAACAGGTCCGAGACCGAGAGGTGGAGAGACTCCGAGACCTGCTGCAGAGGTGACGCCAGTGGCGGTTCTACATTGAATTACACCCCCCCCCCCCCCCCCACAAGAAAAACAACAACAACAATAAAATCACATACCGTTCATTTGAAAAAAAAAAAACAGTAAGAAAATCCAGTTATTTTGCTATATTAATCTAACTTTCAGGGAGGAACCATTAGCTCATTGGTTACTCGAATTCTATGCATGGCACACTTTTAGTTATGACTTGTTAAACTATACTTTGTCACGAAATAGAGTTTTTAAAAGTGAAAGTGGCCGAGAGATACATATGTAGTAACACAATACTTATCTCTTAAACAATTTCTAATAACTCTAATATTAACAACTATCCTAACTGTTTTAGACCTAAAATAGCTTAGGCCTTAAATGTCAGAGAAAAGGACAGAATCAGAGATTATTTTTTAATAGAAAATTGTACTTTGCATATTATATTGCATACTACTGTAAAAACACATAATTATATTTGATTTTAGTTGATCATTATGAAAATTATTTTCATTTCATGAATATAGTGACCAAAATGATCACGGTTAAACACAGAATCTTGTTCAAAAAGTAGGCCTAATACACAATGAAATCTATTCACCAAGTTAATAACATTAAAGATGATGGCCAAATTTTAAAGGAGTGTGTTTTATGTTATCTAATAACATGTAGGCCTACACGTTCAAATAAACTTTTGACAAAAAAGGTTTTATAAAAAGATAATCCTCACATATTTCAGCCTTTAAATCATCTTTATAAAAAGAATGGGTCAATAAAGATAAATTCCTGACATTTATAATGCACAGTAGCTTATTTTTTATTATTAATAGTACAATTCGGTCCGATTTTCCCATGGCTGTCGTTGCTATACAACCATGCACTGCGCTCTCCACAACGACAAAGAAGTTTTAGTAGCTAATGGATTTCCACCACAGAAAAACACTTGCTGTAGCTCTGCTAAAAGATTTATTTACGGAGAAGAGAAAAACACCCACGTGTTAGGGTGCACCCCCATACTGAAAAGATTAAAAATGTTCATCTCGCTGCTCCTGGAAAAAATGACCGCGTCGCTTCAATTATGAGCGCGCTTCCCGTGCGCCTACATTTGAAATAACGACCTCGAGTGCGCAAAAGACGCGATATGTGAACGGCCCCTTGGTGAGTTACCTCCAATCTGGAGACCCCCTTGACATAGCTTCTGTGCACGGCACCTTCTCAGCAAGCAGGGGCGCCATTGCCAATAATTGAATTGAAATGATAGAAAATAGAAAACCTTCGCGGCGCAGAGGATTTTTTTTAACTGCTCGTGCCGCCCCCCATGTGACATGAAAAAATGCCGCCCCGGGCGACTGCCCGGTTCGCCCGTGCCTAAAACCGCTACTGGGTGACGCACACACACAGACACCCACACTCACTCGCAGTGTTGGGGGTAACTCATTACAAGTAACTTGAGTTATGTAATCAGATTACTTTTTCAAGTAACTAGTGAAGTAATGCACTACTTTTAGAGTTTACAACTAAATATCTGAGTTACTTTTTCAAAAATAAGTAACCCAATTTACTTTCTTTTCTCATTTACTGACTGACAGCTCTCCTGTCCCCATGTTGAGACAAAGCGAAGTGCAGAGGCGCTGTGTGTAAACATGATGGTTATTGTTATTGTAGAATACTATCATGCAAACCTCCAATAACTAAATATGTCAGTTAATGGTCACTTGACGTTTAATTACTGTTTACATTTTCATTAAATTATTAGCTTTTCATAAAAAAAGAATAACTTTTGCTCAAATGTTTAAGCCCTTTAAAAGTTGATGATGGTAACAGAAATAAACGGACGAACCCACCCGAGTATAAAACAAGCTGGTTTGTTTGACGTGTGTGTGACAGGAAGTCCATCCTGGAGATGAAGAGAGATCACGAAGAGCAGATCCAGCACCTAAAGAAGCTGAAGGACGAGGAGATCGACGCCGTGACCAGCGCCACGTCCCAGACCAGGTGAAGCCCGCCAGCGATCACACACACACACACACACACACACACACACACACCCGCCCGTCAGACGCCTCTCATCATGTGTGTGTGTGCAGGTCTCTGACGGCCGTCATCGAGCAGATGGAGCTGTTCTCCCGCAGGCTGGGCGACCTGTCGTCTCGTGTGGAGAGTTCACATGAGCACACGGCTCAGGGGCTCGAGCTCGGAGCCAGACAGAGAGACCAGCAGCTCAGAGGTGCATCTGGACACACACACACACACACGCACACGCTAAACCACATCTGCTCATAGTTCGACTCGGTTTACACCTGGTGATGGTGTTTCGGTCGATCGGATCACAAGTGGATGAGGCAGACACATTCACGTTTACACCTGGTGTTTTATTCCATCTCTTTTGTCCACTTTCAACCACTTCTGTCCTGGTTTCTTCAATGGGAGGGTCTGTGTGCGGGTGAATGTGTGGGTTTTCAGATCTAATGGACAAAATAAGCTCACGCAGTGTACATATGAACACACCGGAGACGACGGAAAACACACGGAGAACATCAGCTTTAGTTTCTGCTCTGACAGACACAAGACCAGTCGAACACTGAGTGTGTGTTAGAAATCAGGAATGGAGAGAGAACATTGTGCTTGGTACATTTTTCATCTTCAAACCAAGCCTGGGCCTTCAGCCGACAGTTTAAATCCCGGCTGGCTAGTGGACTTCTCATAATGTTTACTCATTAGGTCAGTATGTGGAGAGAAGACAGGTCTTCTGTGGCTGTTTGAACACATTCGATCACATGAGCGTTTACACTACGGAAGCGATCCGGTCAAATGTGTTTTCGACTACCTCTAGAAGTGGTCAAAAGTGGACAAGCTCAAAACGTTTTTGACCCCGTTTACACCTGTATTTAGTGCCGTCCACCTGTGAGCTGATCGACCAAATCTTAATACCAGTAAACAGAGCATTTGAAGACTTTAGAAGCGCATGAAGAACTATAGGCGTGCAATTAAAATGCATCACATAATTTGTTTTTCCTTGATGAACTATGGAAGCTTTTTTCGCCACAGAATAAAAAAATTAAAAGGGTAACTGCGACTTTTTTACTCACAATTCTGAGAAAAAAGTAAGATTTGGGAGATAAAAGCTCACAACTGCAAAAAAAAGTCAGAATTATGAGATAAAATGATGTAATTACCCTATGTTTTTTTGTATTTTTATTCCTTGGCATAAACAGCTTCCAGAATCAAGGGATAGGAGACACAATTCTTTTATTAGAATACAAAAAATTATAATTATGTAATTATGTTTAAGCATAGAATTAAATGCCAGGTACAGTTTATTTTGTAACCAATAATGACCAGAAACATATGTGTTCTTCATAATGCTGGACTTTTAGTTATAAACAAGCCCGAAACACACTGGGACTCTTATTTTGAAAATGTCTGTTCTCATTCAAACATATGAGGGAGATAAAACATGCAGTCTTTCAACCATTTACAACACATTTCAATATATATATAATGTTATATATGAAATATATCTTCAGACCATGAAGAAAACAGTCATAATTAAATCAATAAGCAATCTATTAGCATTAAATCTGCAGTATTCAGTGATTGTAAAATCCTATGAAGCCACACAACCGTGCCATGTGTTCACTTTGAATGCGCAGCGATCGTATTTATTTAATGTTAACATCACCTTTTGAAATTGAATAGTCATATTAAACCATATTGCGATTCCTGTTTTACAACCTCAAATTTAAGACCTTAAAGGCACACTGTGGAACTTTTCAACCTTTATAATATATGACCAAAACCCATTGAGATGGTACATCGACTTACAATAGGTTGAATGACACGTCTGCCGAAGCCTGAAGGTGTCTGTATCGCTTTTCCTAGCACTATGTAACTTCGGGTTTCGGGTAGGAACCCGAGCACAAAAAGAACTACAAAATTCAATCGCTTTACGGCATACGTCACTTCCCCCACCACCCACAACTTCCTCAGATTCTGACGTGAGTGCTCAACTCGCGTTTGATTGCCGTCTGTATGTTTTCGTCATGGCCGAACCAACAGCTACAAGGAAGAAGGCAAAGGTTTTGTCAGAGGACACTAAAAAAAAGAAAAAGGCATAGTGACAAATGAAAAGCCAAGACGAGGATCACCATTGGTCCAGCGTTCGCTCGCTGGCGTGAGCTTCAGGAGGAGGAGGGGTGCCCGACCGATGCTGACGCTTGCCTGCACGTTTCCAAGGTGACCCAGATAAATCATATAAGTAGTGTAGTATTTTCTGGTGTTGGTGTTCAGCCGATGGTGTTATGAGTGTAATAAAATGCCCACAGCCCATTGTTCATTTCTACACACAAACACAGCCCGCCACAGTGCAGGGCTCGCACAAATAAAGTCGACTCATGTCAAATGTACATTAAATGTAGTGAACGTGCCCACGACTCAGTGCCCACAAACACTACACACAACATGTCCCACGGTTTCTGTAAAACGAAACCAACACACATAAGTTACAGTCAGCTCAGGCCGACGGTGTTTTTAGTGCAGTAAATGTGCCCGCCGTCCCGCGCCCCGCGCCCACATTCACTCACAGACATGTTAGCACTGCCCCACAGGGCTCGCCCCGCTCGCTCTCTCTCAGCAGACTGCTATAAGGAGGGAATCGAGCGCGGCCAGGCTGCCCGCCTCAAACACTACAAGCACACACAATCTAAAGACACGGGAGGCTGACCCACTGTCTATGGGATGACCGGTTGACTTTTGCGACAGTGCTGCGGAGCTTGTGGCCTCTAGGGACGCTAGACGTGAAAGTTACAGGTCGAGCGCCACTAGTGGCCAAAAGTTCCGCGGTGTGCCTTTAATCTTAGATTTTTTTTTTACCTTAAATATGAAAAAAATTAATTTAAGACGTTTTAAAAAGACCCGTGAGTACCTAATTCATATTCGCACGCGCGTTCCCGAACACCTTTTACAGTTCACACACATCTATTTTCAGTCGTAACTCATAAATGTGAGTGAAACAAAGGAGCTGATGTGAATGTGTGTTTGGCTCTCAGTGCTGCAGGAGCGTTTGAGTCAGCAGCAGCGCGAGATGAGCGACGAGAGGTCACGGCTCAAAGAGGTCATCGCCAAGATGGACACACAGCTGGGCGAGCAGCAGAGACAGCTGGAGAAGGTGGAGAAACTCCACCGCATGCACAACACACACTCAGTTACAGGCTCTGAACATGAATAAAACATCAGTCAGAACACCAGACTGTTTAACAGTCGCTTTTCCACCGTCGGGCTGAAGAACGGAACTGGCCAAGCACACATTTGAGCAATGTAAACACAAGTTAAGAATACAATTAAAAGAAATATTCTAGACGGCAACAGTGTCGGCCCAGATCCGGCCCACATCTGGGACATGTGGATTCCAAGGTATGTTTTAAGTGAACATAAACAGTTGATAAAGAAAACACTAATGGATATGTGTGTCAGCTCTTAAAGTGACAGCAGCCTAATATTCCTGGGCCGGATCTGGGCCGACACTATGTTGCTGTCTGGGATCTGTTCATCCTCCATAACGCGTCGTTATTTACATCTCATACCATCATACCATCTTGCTTAATTCGAGAGCTCTGTTATCAGCCCCACAGTGGGAAATTAAACCACATACGTACCCGTCTGGATCGGCACGGACGAGAGCGGTCGAGCAACGAGAACGGGAAAAGCGGCTCATGATGTTGCACTGGTTTGTGTGTTCAGGAGCGCTGGCGTGTGACGTCAGAACAGGCCAAAGCAGAATCCTCTCTGAGAGGACTGGAGGAGGAGAGACGGACCATGATGCAACACTTCAGCATGGAGAGAGAGGAGCTGGAGAGGGCAAAGGTCAGGCACAAAATGACATCACATCACTCATTAAATATGAAGAAAATTATAAATTCTATATTGGTTTTAGATACACATCGAATAGACACACGATACCAGCTGCTCTTTCTCTCTCATCTCTCCGACAGCGAGTTACACACAAACCCGTCTCTACTCACTCACTAACTCACTAGTTTCATTTGCTTCGGGTGAATATTTTTGGCTGTTGCAGGGCTTGAATTTTAGCCTGAGATTTCACGAATTGTACATAATTTTAGGGTGCTTTCACACCTAGATCGATTTGTTTTGTTCCGGAACAGATCCGAAACAGAATACTTTGTTCCGAATCAATTTAATACGTCACTCTGTTCACACCACACTGTTGTAAAGCGGTCCAAATCGCGCACCCTTCCAGGGCTTTCCTTACGCCATTACGTCACTACCTCATGCGTGCAGGTCGCGCATTCCATTGTGGGACATCACCATGACAACAATAGCCTAACACAAAACGAATCGAGGGTTGACTTGGTGCTACGAAGAGGTGAAATGCCTCATAGATATTTGGTCGGAAGAACACATCTCCCGGATGTTGGACACTACACACAAGAACACCGAAGTGTACAAGAAGATCAGCTATAAAATGAAAGAGAGGGGTTATGAACGGTCCTTCGAGCAGCAAAGGCGAAAAAACTCCGACAGCAGTACATAAAGGTACGAGACCACCTTGCCTATTGATTTGTTCCGGTTCGTGGGTCGGTTGTGTTCTCACTACAAACGAACCGCCCCAGGGTTCGTATGGAATCGAGCCGAGACCACCTCTTCTAGGCGGTCTCGGCTCGGTTGTTTTGTTCCGATTCAGAGTGCAATTGTTGTGTTCACATATGACCAAACGAACCGGGCCAAAAGGGAAACACCCCTTTGTTTCGGAACAACGTCTCCAATCGATCCAGGTGTGAAAGCACCCTAACTCATTACCACGGATTTTGTTCACACACCCAAAGTGTGGCACATAAAGCCGCCTCTCAGTACTAAATCGAGCTCTTTTTTCGCTGCTTATCACGCTTAAACAGTCAAATACACACAAAATAATGTCACAATGGCGAGTATTCACATAAACACAGTCGGTGTGTGATGTTTCAAGTGAATGTAAACAGTTGAGAAAGAAAACGCATGTGTAACAGTATAATGGATCAGTGCGTCCGCTCTTAAAGTGACAGCTGCCTAATATTCCTGCCAACAAATTATGAGATAATATAAAAAATATCTATATGGCAGTTTTTCCCCCATGATATCGGTTAAAATTGTGGCTAGTAACTTTGGAAAACCACATATGTACATACATACGTATATATATACACACACACACTAAAAAACGGCATAATTTATACCAGATTTATTGTACAAACATTTACATTATTTAGTTATAAATTCTAAATAATGTGAATATTTTACTAGAACAGCCCCTTTTCGTTTCTTGATAGTTATTCTCCAATCCTTTGAATCTGTTACACATCAAAACACACACATGCCTTTCAGTCAAATTGACGGGAAGTGCAGTCATGTTGAAACAGTTTGTTGTTGGACATTACATTTCGGCCATTTAAATAAAACATAGTCAATTAAATACCTACATGTAACTCAAGAAACAACATATAAAAATGATTTCTGAGAAGTAAGTAGTCGCTTGCGTTACTACAGGAAATAGTCATGTGATGACAGACATCTCTGCAAATCTTTAATGTAGTAATTAGGGGTGTAACAATATATCGTGTAACAATCTATCGCAATGCAAAAATGCAACAATATCTATCGTGGATAGTGACAATATATATTGTGTATTGTGTATAGTTCGCCCAAAATAAAAACTGATGTGTGTATCGTATAATAATATTGTGTCGTGACTCGTGAATCGTGACATGAGGGTATCGTTACACCTCTAGTAGTAAGTCAAGCGCTTTATTGACACCGTACAGGAACAACAAGATTATTTACAGGTTGACTGAACTTATAATACTTGCAACTCCTGATGATGCATGTCGTCGTCTATGATGTGTTCTGCAAAAGTAGAAATAAACACAGCCAGAGGTGTTGTGTGAGTCAGCTGATGGCCTGGTTAAGGTTCAGGGCTGATCTGACTCTCTCTCTCTCAGAGCGCTCTGCTGGAGGAGCAGCAGTCCGTCATGACACACTGCGCTGAAGAGCGCCGGAAACTGGCGGCCGAGTGGAGCCGGTTCCACACGCAGGAGAAGCTTCGACAGGAGCGGGTCGAGAGAGAGGCCAGCCGCCTCATGGAGAGAGACGCGCACAGAGAGGGATCCATCCTCAGCATGGCACAGGTGTGTGTGTGAGACTCACCATCTAAACCTTCACACACTGTATCAGCAGATCACAGGACAACAACTCAACGTGCATTCGTTCATGCTTTACAGCTAATATTAAAGCAATAGTTCACTTCAGAATGAACATTTCAGAATGGAATGAATAATATGAAATGATACTCTACATAAGAAACTAAAACTGCCAGTAGGTGGCGGTAAATGTCTAAACAATTCGTTCAAACGGCTGATTCATTCAGGAATGAAGTAAATGGCTCTCTTTACGAGTGAGTCGTTGAATCATTTGTTCACCCGATTGATTCAGTCAAAAACACAGATTCATTCAGAAATGAAACACTGCTGTGTGTTGCTCGGAAAAGCACAGTCGTTCTAATCTGGCTTTATAGGTGAAGACAATATTGTGTAAAAAAAAAAAAACATTAACTTGTAATAAATGAAATTGTGAAGATGTAAACTAATCTGACTGTGGCAAAAACAGCAAGTCTTTTCATTCTCAATCAGACTATTCTACGTTTTAATGCAACTGACTTAAAGTGAATAAGTTTTATTCAGGGTTGTTTGAGGCGAGGCAGAGCAATCGATCCCGGTTTTCCTCTGTGATACCCAGGAGCAGGCGGATCTGAAGCTGCGCGCCGGAGAGCTGAAGCAGAAGGAGGAGTCGCTGCAGAGAGAGAGAGACGGTGTGGAGACACAGAGGCAGGAGCTGGACAGAGAGAAGGAGAAGCTGAGCGCCACGGCCCTGCGGCTCAAGACACGCGCTCAGGAAGTGGAGGCGTTCAGCAAGGTGAGGCCCGACGCGCCGCGGTCAGCGTGTGAGTGACACACCTGATCACGTGACTCTGACGCGTCCGCTCTGGTGTGTTTGCAGCTGGCGTCCGAGCGCTTCGAGGAGGGAGAGCGAGCGCTGAGAGAGGCCAGACAGCTGGAGGCCGGACATCAGGCCAGACTGCGCAGCATTCATGCACAGCTGGAGCGCCTCCGGCAGCAGGAGCACAGCTTACAGCAGGTCACTGAGGAACACCAGAGAAAAACTCCAAACAGATACATAGACACAGTTCTATATTGATATTTAGAATTATAAATAAAAAAATAACATTTTATTTCTATATTTATTTCATAATTTTAATATATATATATTCATATGTTTTAATAAATATGTAAAATATATGTATATTTGTGTCAATATTTATTTTATAAATCTAAAATAAATGGCAGTTGCCTTTAAAAGTTGTTCTCTACTCCACAAGCTACTAACAAAACACTGCATTGAAGAGATTTAAGGATGAGCACAATATTTAAAGATAAATCTTTATCAGAGCAATATTTAAATAGCACAATATCAGGTAGTAGTATTAAATTGAACAGATATATTTACATTAAACCACTAATAAATAGCCTAAACACTGATAAACAGCAGCTTTGAACTAAATTTTTCACTATAAAAAAGCATCATGTCATAGAGCGACTCGAATCAATGAATCGTTTTAACAATGTTACTTGATTAAAATACACTGTGCAAACAAACCGATTTCACTGAGGATATTTAGCAGCATGTTTGACTGAAACCATGAGTTTGGTCTCCCTACACCACTATTTGATGGAAATGTAGCTTGTTACTGGTAAATCTGCACTGATGCCACACACTACTCAGTAGTGTAGTCATCTAGCTACGTAACTCTGATCATGTGACCTCTCAGGAGCGCTTGAGGATGACGGATCATCACAGAGACATAGAGCGACTGAGACACACTCTTCCTGTCAATCCAGTGACGTCAGCGCCTCTCATCGCAGGTAATGTCTTTGTTTACATCCTCACTGAAGGCGTTCAGCGTCTCAGACAGTGAGTCACGTGTGTGTGTGTGTGTGTGTGTGTGTGTGTGTGTGTGTTAGATTTCTCTCCAGCGCTGGCCAGCACACACCTGAACGCCGCTGTCGACCCGCTGCCCGCCGAACTACACGCCCGACTCGCCCTCATCAAACACACCGCTGAGAAGGTACGACAACACCCATTCAATTCACAGATGATAACGTCACAATGCACACTTAAAGGTGCAGTGTGTAATATTTAGCAGCATCTAGTGGTGAGGCTGCGAATTGCAACCAACAGACGTTACGGTGGCCGACAGGAAGTGATGTCATCGTCTGAGACAGCAGAGAGTAGCCAGTTAAGCAATGAGGTTTCTTTACAAAGATTAATTAGGAAATTATATTTACTATTAATATAGTAATATATATTTATATTATTCGGTAAAGCGGTTCATTATGTAAGGTCTTTATACACCATTGAAAACATACTGATTTCAGACACAGCCCAACTTTCAACAAGTCAAAATGGCTACCTTCAGTTTAGAAACAATATAAAAAGCCTTCATTTATTCATGGCTATTACATTTTAAAAACATTCACATATAACCGCACACAACAATCCTCATTTAAATGCGAAAGTAAAGCCAAAAGTTCCTGAATAATTGAAATAAATCATACTACGGTTCAGCAAAAATAAAAGAATAAACAAATACATGCAAGAATTATTGAGTAAAAAAGGGAAGATCTCATTCCCAAATTTCCCATTGATGGTAAAGCAATTAATCCAAAGGTGTAAATAAAATAAAGTGAAAAAATAACAGATATTTTTGTTCAGCCAAATAAAACCCAAATGTAATTCCAAAATGCAACTAAATATCTTGATTAAAAAATACAAAATAGAATGGAAAGATCTGGCCAAATTTCCCATTGATGTTGAAGCCAATAATACAATAATACAATAGTGTAATAGTGTAAAAAGTATGTACATGTGCATTAAACAAAAAAATAAGCTCAAGTGTGTATTATATACATCTATGAAATGATTAAGTGAATAATTCAACCATATTCAAATCAAACAAGCAGTTTCTGAGCGAATCCAGTGGAAAATCAACAATTCACTTCAGCAAGCATAAGTAAAATATGCAAAAATAAATGAATAAATGAAAGAGGAAAGATCTCACCATATTTCCCATCGATTTTAAATCCAATAGTGGAATAATCAGTCGATCAGACGAGGATTGAGTTGATCCAGATTAACAGCCATTTACAATCCACTTCAACATCATAAACAAAACATTATTGTCTGTTGGTGTGGACCACAATAAAGTCTAGTTATCGCTAGTTCTTGGTCTAGGACCATTGTTTCACTTTTACACACTGCAAGTGTGTGTAGAACATTTGATTTCCCAATGATGGGACACACTTATAGTGTTGCAAAAATGCTTGTTTACAGAGCTTTTTATTTTTATTTTCAGCACTTACTCATTTTCACCCTACTCATCTTTGCACCAATACAACGTGCAACACTTTACGTTTTACCACAAAATCATATTATATTAGATATTATTTATATATCTCACTAATTTAACTTACAGTGGAATGTTTTCCTCAACATCGCACGATTTCGGGGCATGCGAGCTCCTGAACATGATGCATGATGGGATACGCTTATCCTCGAAGCGGTATGCGAGAAAATGCAATTTGGCATTTTTAAGACATGGGACAGTCTTACGCACTTACTTCCTGTCGCATACACACACTCTCAAGATCACAAGAGTGGGTATCTGATCAGGCCCATCATTTCTGTGGCCATGAGTGATTATTATTGACCCTTACCCATAATCCTTAGAGGTCGTTCTTTTAGGGTGGAAATAGGGCTATTTCATGGCATGTTTGGATGAATTATTTAATTTGCCAAATTGTGCAGTATACAAATTCACATGCATGAAATACTGTGTGTGTCGCATTAACCAGATTTTGTAAACACAGTATATAGACTGCACTGTGATCTAGTATTGCGTTACAAATACAATTTTATGACATGAAATCAAAACAGCAAATGAAAGTGAAGCAAAATGGCATATTAATAATCATCTGCTATTGCAATAAATGGACAGATGTGCAATGGTCCAAAATACATAATTGTGAAGGGGGGATTGGCAATACATTTATTAAAGATAAACTTTTGTGGTTCTAATACTTGAGAATCATTTATATGATTATAAATGCAATTATGAGATGATCTAAATCAAATTACACATTAAAAAAATGAATCTCAAATTCTTTAAATCCGCAGTAATTGCAGAGCTACTCAAATCATTAAACACCAGTACAATCAACATTAAGTTGACAGCCATTATTAATATGATTATTAATATGCCATTAATATGCCACATCATTACAAGATGGCGCCGTGCATGTGGCAGCCTGTCGCAGCAGCTCTGAATGTTTTTAACCTTTTTTATCTTTCTTATTTGTTTAATTCTTTTTATCGATGTCTGAGGAATGTGTATATGTGTGGTCCTAAGTTCGAGAGTATCAAGAAGCATTGGATTATGATCATTTTTATTTTGGCGTTCTTAATTGGAACTTTGGGGAATGTATCGGGAGCACCAAACTTTTGCTCCATTATGTATTCAAGAGAACAACTATTGGCACTTCAGCACACCGCGATGTCATCTGTACCTAGGAGGGAGATTCCTGTGGAATTAAGAAGGATGAGAAGGGGGTGTAGAGCTGGAGTAAAGCAGCGATTGAAGAAAAGACGATATAAACCATTTTTACCCGCGATTATCATGGGAAATGTCCGGTCGCTTGGGAATAAAATGGAGGAGCTCACGGCACTAACAAGGATGCAACGGGAGTATCGCGAATGCAGTTTTATGTGTCTAACTGAGACTTGGTTGAGCGAGAGAACGCCGGACTCGGTTGCAAAATTGGATTGTTTTCATCTTGTGCGAGCGGACAGGTGTGCTGCGGAGACGGGTAAGAGGAAAGGAGGTGGGCTGGCACTGTTTGTAAATGAACGCTGGTGCAATCCGGGTCATGTCACGATTAAAGAAAAACTATGCAATAAGGATATTGAACTACTTGCGGTGGGGCTGAGACCGTACTATTTGCCAAGAGAATTTTCTTATGTGATTGCGATAACGGTGTATATCCCTCCTTCGGCCAATGTGACAAATGCCTGTGAATATATTAATACTGCTACAGCTAGGATACAGTCAAAATATCCCCAATCACTGATTACTATCTCTGGTGATTTTAACCAAGCATCTTTACATCATACTCTCCCCACGTTTACTCAGTATGTGGACTGTGAAACGAGAGACAATAAAATCTTGGACTTGTTTTACGCAAATGTGAAAGAAGCCTACAGATCTTCACCACTTTCACCATTGGGACGATCGGATCACAACCTTGTTTATATTAGGCCCGTTTATGTTCCGGTTGTGAGGAAGCAACCGCCAGCAATAAGAACAGTTAAGATATGGTCTGATTCAGCCTATGAAGCATTAATGGATTGTTTCGAAACAACTGATTGGGACGTTCTGTGTAAATCACATGATGAGGACATTGATAGCTTAACAGAATGTATTACAGATTATATAAATTTTTGCGTTGATAACACAGTACCTACTAAAAAGATCAAATGTTATTCAAACAACAAACCTTGGGTCACCTCTGAGTTAAAATTATTATTAAATGAGAAAAAGAGGGCCTTTCTAGCGGGTGATAAGGATGAGCAAAAGAGAGTACAGAGGTTACTAAAAGTAAAAATTAGAGAGGGGAAAGAGAGTTATAAGTTAAAAACGGAAAGAAAATTACAAAATAAGAATGTGAGAGAGGTTTGGAAAGATCTAAATATGATGTCCGGACATGAGAATAAAGTAAGGAGACACATTGCCTCTGGTGGCCAGACATGGGCAGATGAATTAAATGTATTTTTTAACAGATTTGATGTTGGGTCAAATGATTTTGAACATTCCCCATTAAGTAGTTTACCACGTAGTTCTTCATCATATTCACCTCCAGCTCTAAGCTCATCCTTTTCTCCCATCTGTGAGTATGTTCCTGGTTTTTCGATATCAGTTGAACAAGTAAGGAGTGGGCTAAGGAGAGTTAAGATGAAGAAATCTCCGGGTCCAGATGGTATTAATCCTAGAGTTTTAAAAGCCTGTGCTGATCAGATCTGCAGGGTTGTTCATTATATTTTTAACTTGAGTTTGCGTTTAGAAAAATTACCTGTTTTATGGAAGACATCATGTATAGTCCCTGTACCTAAATTAACAAATCCCACTGAGTTCTCGCATTATAGGCCTATTGCATTAACAGCACAGTTAATGAAGGTTTTTGAGAGATTGGTATTAAACCATTTAAAGTTAGTATTGCGTGGTGCTGAGGATAAATTACAGTTCGCTTATAAAACTGGTGTTGGAGTGGATGATGCACTTATTTACCTTTTGCATAAATCCTTATGTCACTTAGAGACCCCGGACAGCACAGTTAGAATTACATTCTTTGATTTCTCTAGTGCATTTAATACTATTCAGCCTTCACTACTACGAAGTAAGATGGAAAATGTTGGAGTACATCAGGGTATGGTCAACTGGATAACTGATTATCTCTCTAATAGACCACAGTATGTGAGGATGCAGGACTGTGTGTCTCAAGTAGTGAAGTGCAGCACTGGAGTTCCTCAAGGAACGGTTTTAGCACCATTTTTGTTCACTTTTTATACATCAGACTTTCAGTATAATTCTAAATCTTGTCATCTTCAGAAATTTTCTGATGATTCTGTAATAGTTGGCTGTATAAAGCACCACGATGAGAGTGAATATAGGGAGCTAATAAAGAGCTTTGTGGACTGGTGTGATAAAAACGGTCTCAGGCTAAATGCTAGTAAGACAAAGGAAATAGTGGTTGATTTTAGTAGACTTCCTCAGAAAGCGGTACCAGTAAATTTAAGAGAGTCAGAAGTTGAGATTGTAACAACGTACAAGTATTTGGGTGTATATCTGAACAACAAGCTCAACTGGTCTGATAATACAATGCATGTTTATAAGAAGGGTCAGAGTCGTATTCATTTGTTAAGACGTCTGAGATCCTTTGGGGTACGTCAGGTACTACTTAAGACATTCTATGACTCTGTAGTCTCATCTGTGATTCTGTATTCTATCACTTGTTGGGGAGGGGGACTGATGGAAAAGGAGAAGAATAAGTTAAATAAACTCATAAAGAAGGCAGGCTCTGTTGTGGGGAGTGTATTACCCACTTTAGAGGAGATAGTGCAGGATAGAATGATTGGGAAACTTTCTCTTATGATTAATCATGACTGTCATCCTCTTAATGAAATATCTCGAGCTTTTGTGAGTACCTACAGCTCAAGATTAATTCATCCACGCTGCTACAAAGAGCGTTTTAGAAAGTCTTTTTTCCCAACCGCAATTAGATTTTATAATCAGTGTCATGTGAGATGATATATATATATTTATGTATTTATTCTGGTCGTATATAATCATGGTGCTTTGAAAAATTGATACTTGAGAACAAGACTTGTTGCTGTTGTGTATGTTGTTTGTTGTTGTTTATTTATTCATTGAATTTCTATGCTGTTGTGACACATAAATTTCCCCCTGGGGGATTAATAAAGTAAATCAAATCAAATCAAATCAAATTATCACCCTAAATGGACAACATCTCACACACACACACACTAAGTGTTTCTACTCATTCCTCTAACAGGACAGAGACTTCCTGCAGGAGGAGCAATACTTCCTGGACACTCTGAAGAAAACATCATTCAACACATGACAGGAGGCGTTTTCATATCTTTCTACAATGTTTATTCTCATCAAATAAAGCAGATTTCAGTTATTCTCATGGTCTGATGTCACTCTCCAACACTCACAGCCACTTCATTTCTGCAGAAAGTGGGAGAAAAGTTAGTTAATTACATATAAAATAAGATTATAAAATAAATATATATTTTTTATTATTATTAAGCCTCAGGTTACCATAACTCAACATGTTTTTTCAGACAGGGATAACTTGTTTCATCACAGGCTTGAATGTCTAAACACTGTTCTTGGGTCAGATTTGTTCCTTTATAATCCCAGAAACCATCAGAACTATTCTGACTCAAGAAAAGCATTAAACTACACATCTTAAAATCTCTTTACTATAAACGCACTGTGATTGATACGTACCGCTGTGAATCAGGAGAATCAGGAGCTCATGGTGTTTCTGCTCAAGAGAAGTGTTTCTGTGTTCTGTGAAGAGAAACAGGAGTGAGACGAGTTTCACACGAGATCACCGCTGCAGATTCACACTGGCTCTGGTTTCCTCAGAATATTTGGCCATCAGTTTAGGGGAGTTCAGAGGGCATCTCCAGGCGGGCCGGGACTCGGGCACATGGGAGGACAGAGGGTGGGTGGGCCCCAAAATACCACAAGCCACGACCCAGCTTTCAATGCAGCATTTTCATCTCGTGAAGATCCAGCTGCACGTGTGTGTGAACAGAGAGAAAGTGAGGAGAGGTGTTTACTTGCTCAGCACTGAGTCAGCTCCAGACGCTCGCCTGAAGAGAGAGAGTTCATGTGATCAGATTCAGCAGTGATGACTTCATCAGCACATTGTGTCTCAGAAAGAAGTGGAACTGGTTTTGCCATCGTCAGTTATCACATCAGATGGTACTTCCTGTCTCATCACAGAACACGGTTAACTTTACATATAAACACATTACAGAATATACACTCACCTAAAGGATTATTAGGAACACCATACTAATACTGTGTTTGACCCCCTTTCGCCTTCAGAACTGCCTTAATTCTACGTGGCATTGATTCAACAAGGTGCTGAAAGCATTCTTTAGAAATGTTGGCCCATATTCATAGGATAGCATCTTGCAGTTGATGGAGATTTGTGGGATGCACATCCAGGGCACGAAGCTCCCGTTCCACCACATCCCAAAGATGCTCTATTGGGTTGAGATCTGGTGACTGTGGGGGGCCATTTTAGTACAGTGAACTCATTGTCATGTTCAAGAAACCAATTTGAAATGTTTTGAGCTTTGTGACATGGTGCATTATCCTGCTGGAAGTAGCCATCAGAGGATGGGTACATGGTGGCCATAAAGGGATGGACATGGTCAGAAACAATGCTCAGGTAGGCCGTGGCATTTAAACGATGCCCAATTGGCACTAAGGGGCCTAAAGTGTGCCAAGAAAACATCCCCCACACCATTACACCACCACCACCAGCCTGCACAGTGGTAACAAGGCATGATGGATCCATGTTCTCATTCTGTTTACGCCAAATTCTGACTCTACCATCTGAATGTCTCAACAGAAATCGAGACTCATCAGACCAGGCAACATTTTTCCAGTCTTCAACTGTCTAATTTTGGTGAGCTCTTGCAAATTGTAGCCTCTTTTTCCTATTTGTAGTGGAGATGAGTGGTACCCGGTGGGGTCTTCTGCTGTTGTAGCCCATCCGCCTCAAGGTTGTGCGTGTTGTGGCTTCACAAATGCTTTGCTGCATACCTCGGTTGTAACGAGTGGTTATTTCAGTCAAAGTTGCTCTTCTATCAGCTTGAATCAGTCGGCCCATTCTCCTCTGACCTCTGGCATCAACAAGGCATTTTCGCCCACAGGACTGCCGCATACTGGATGTTTTTCCCTTTTCACACCATTCTTTGTAAACCCTAGAAATGGTTGTGCGTGAAAATCCCAGTAACTGAGCAGATTGTGAAATACTCAGACCGGCCCGTCTGGCACCAACAACCATGCCACGCTCAAAATTGCTTAAATCACCTTTCTTTCCCATTCTGACATTCAGTTTGGAGTTCAGGAGATTGTCTTGATCAGGACCACACCCCTAAATACATTGAAGCAACTGCCATGTGATTGGTTGATTAGATAATTGCATTAATGAGAAATTGAACAGGTGTTCCTAATAATTCTTTAGTTGAGTGTATATGTATATACGATTCTTGTGTGGTTCATTATGAACACGTTTTAATGGAGATAAACACTTTTTTTTGCCCGAGAAAGAACTCGCAATCCACGTGCTGCAAGGAGAAAGAGAGCGAGGAAGAGGGAGCGAGTGCTTTTATACCCGTCTATGGGTGGGTTGTGGGCAATATTACCCTGCGCATCGATCTGCACTTCGGATTCTGACCGGAAATAGTAGATCCATCACTCCACCTGCCCTTACGAGAACCCCCCCCCATCACTCCACCTGCCCTTACGAGACCCCCCCATCACTCCACCTGCCCTTACGAGACCCCCCCCCCCCCATCACTCCACCTGCCCTTACGAGACCCCCCCCCCATCACTCCACCTGCCCTTACGAGACCCCCCCCCCCATCACTCCACCTGCCCTTACGAGACCCCCCCATCACTCCACCTGCCCTTACGAGACCCCCCCATCACTCCACCTGCCCTTACGAGACCCCCCCATCACTCCACCTGCCCTTACGAGACCCCCCCATCACTCCACCTGCCCTTACGAGACCCCCCCATCACTCCACCTGCCCTTAAGAGACCCCCCCCCATCACTCCACCTGCCCTTAAGAGACCCCCCCCATCACTCCACCTGCCCTTATGAGACCCTCCATCACTCCACCGGCCCTTATGAAACCCTCCATCACTCCACCTGCCCTTATGAAACCCTATATCACTCCACCTGCCCTTATGAAACCCTCCATCACTCCACCTGCCCTTATGAGACCCTCCATCACTCCACCTGCCCTAACGAGACCCTCCATCACTCCACCGGCCCTAACGAGACCCTCCATCACTCCACCTGCCCTTGCGAGTCCCCCCATCACTCCACCTACCCTTATTAGACCCTCCATCACTCCACCTACCCTTATGAAACCCTCCATCACTCCACCGGCCCTAACGAGACCCTCCATCACTCCACCTGCCCTTATATAACCCCCCATCACTCCACCTACCCTTACGAGTCCCTCCATCACTCCACCTGCCCTTATGAGACCCTCCATCACTCCACCTGCCCTTATGAAACCCCCCATCACTCCACCGGCCCTAACGAGACCCTACATCACTCCACCTGCCCTTACGAGTCCCTCCATCACTCCACCTGCCCTTATATAACCCCCCATCACTCCACCTACCCTTATGAAACCCTCCATCACTCCACCGGCCCTAACGAGACCCTCCATCACTCCACCTGCCCTTACGAGTCCCCCCATCACTCCACCGGCCCTAACGAGACCCTCCATCACTCCACCTGCCCACCCTCCATCACTCCACCTGCCCTTACGAGTCCCCCCATCACTCCACCTGCCCTTATGAAACCCCCCATCACTCTACCTGCCCTTACGAGTCCCCCCATCACTTCACCTACCCTTATGAAACCCTCCATCACTCCACCTGCCCTTATGAAACCCCCCATCACTCCACCAGCCCTAACGAGACCCTCCATCACTCCACCTGCCCTTACGAGTCCCTCCATCACTCCACCTGCCCTTATTGCCTCAGATTGTGAAGCACAGCGCAGCACAGCAACAACCTTGGGCACGAAGGCATAGCTCACCTCTGGTGGTCAGCTGATTCATCAGAATAAAGCTGCATAAAATGAGAACAGCTGTGCTGAGATGGCAGTAGGACTTGGGGTTCACCACTTGTAAATGCATGCTTGTAGTTTGAATAAAGCTTTGTTTCATGTTTTTGACTTGTATATGCATTTGTTTATTGTGATGGCTTGTTCTTTTACTAATTTATTCATGTTTCTTATTGTTTTTTCCAGTATATAAAATATAATTATTTAATTCATGTATGCATTAATTCATTGCTTGAGCTGAAAATTGAGATGTTTCACTGCATTTATCACCATGTAGTCACATCATGTAGACATCTAGCTATTTCATATGACAAAAGAAATTACATTTTGCTTGTTTTATTAAATTATATCATTTTCAGTGTAAAAAACGTAATATAATTAAGTATAGGTCAGCATTTATTATTATTATTTTGTTTAAGTTTTGGGGTGGACTAGCAATGCAATTCATTCTGAGGTTATATTAATTTTTAAGGAATGATACTTATATTTTTTGAGTGTAAAATCAACAGTTTTCTCCAAAGGCGAGATCTTCGAGCAGCTACCCGTCTCCTTTGTGCAGACATTACAAACGCTGTGGACAACCATAGGTAGGGCTGTCGAGTTGCTGATGTTATAAAGTGTTAGTGCACCTGTCGCTCATATAATTTTTTATTGCAGAACTTATAGTTACATAAAATCAGGTAAAAATAATTGTATATTTAACAATGAACAATCATAATGACAGAAAAAAAACAAAGATCATGGGTTTGTGTACATCATAATATGAGATTTTATACACAGGAAAAAAGAACAATGACAAGTCTAAATATCTTTAAATAGTTATTCATAATACATAAAAAAATGTTTTTGTTATTTATAAGGGATGAAACGAGAGGTACATTTAACAAGAAAAAGAGGAAAACAAAGGAGATTTAAGCCACTTTTGCTTGTGGGTAAACATTAAAATAAAGAAATTAACAACATATTCAAGAGATGACGATTTTAGGTTTTCTTAATAAAAAATTATATCGTTAAACATTAGTAGGGTTTAAAATATATCAACTTAAATCAACCCTAAATGTATTTCTCAAAATAAATTAGCAGTTTCTTCAACAAGACCACAAAATGAGCAAGTTTAATCAATTTCAAGATATTTACAGATAGATGAATTATACGTGTCGTTCATATCTTTTAAATTGTTGCACTTGTGATAACGTGTCGTAGGTCACATGAAAACGATGTCCGGTTCACATTCATACTAAACGAGATCATACACTCTTTTAGCGCTCGTTAAGTAAGTACTCATTGAAATTAAGTAGCTAATCATTGAGTATGTGGTTTCAAACGCAGCCTCCATGACAGTATTTCTGGAAAATACTATAGTACTCTTCTCTCTTCTTCTTAAAATATGTTAAGGATCATTGGCTTCTCTGAACAGTCTGTGTTGGTCAGTGATCATCTTGTTTGCTCTGTTACAGATGGAAAGAACCAAATCCCTGAAGAATTCATTCTTGAACACATATCTCACTGGTCCTTCCTGATGTTCTATTACTCTTGCCTTGATGTAACCTGTGAGGTGTTGAATGCAGCTCTTGTTATAGCCCATCTTTGAAATGTTAAAAGACTGAATCTCTTTGAATATTTGGTGATCAACATCCAAGACTAATGATCTTATTTGAGCTTCATCCTCTTTTGATAGAGCATAACCAAGCTGCTCTTTAACTACTCTGTGGATTATTCCACTTGGTTTTTTGAACTTTACATAATCATAATAACTGGGCACTGCGTTTACATGGACACTTATAATCGGATTGACGGCTCAATCGGACTAAAAAACCTTCATGTAATCGATCCGATTGAGCTCGATCCGATTCAAATTTTGATCGGATTGAAAGGGGTGGTTTACTCCTTTTGTAATCCGATCGAGAGAACATGTAAACACTTGATCGGATTGAAAACCGAAACTAAAAGGACTGCGCATGCGCAATGACGTTGAAATAGCGTAATGACGTATGACGCACGGAGCGAGCTGTTCTTCCTGTTGAATAAAGTGAATATAAATGAGTGTTCCGTTATTAAAAAATTCTCATTTCACTCAGCGTCTGTGAAGTGGAGCAGGACAACGTCCCAGCAATGCTTGTTTCAGACTCTCATCCATGGACGACTGGTTTTGGGCGCGGGGTTTTACTGCGTGATCAATATAAGCAGCACGGCAAAACGGTTCATGCTCATCGTCTCCAAATCATGACCAGAGGCGGATACATATATTAAGTCTGCTGTTTAAAACAAATAAAGCACCAAAATAGAGGAGAATAGTTATGCGCGAACAGCAGCATATTCGTGCAGTGCGCATGTCAAAAAATCAATTCCAAATTGAATCTTGTGACATATAAACGCGCACATCAACCCGATTACTTTATTTATCGTTCATGTAAACACCGTGTTCGAATTCATCAATCGGATTGATTTCATTCCGATTGAACCAGTGAGGATCTCTCTCACATCTCTCATTATGTCAATGTCTTTGATTGGAGGAGTGTCTGACTTGATCTCATTCACACTGCGTTTACATGGACAAATCGGATTGACGGCTCAATCGGACTAAAAAAACTTCATGTAAACACCTTAATCGATCCGATTGAGCTCGATCCGATTAAAAATTCGATCGGATTGAAAGGGGTGGTTTACTCCTTTTGTAATCCGATCGAGAGAACATGTAAACACTTGATCGGATTGAAAACCGAAACTAAAAGGACTGCGCATGTGCAATGACGTTGAAATAGCGTAATGACGTATGACGCACGGAACGAGCTGTTCTTCCTGTTGAATAAAGTGTCATATAAATGAGTGTTCCGTTATTAAAAAAATCTCCTTTCACTCAGCGTCTGTGAAGTGAAGCAGGACAACGTCCCACCTTGTTTCAGATTATCATCCATGGACGACTGGTTTTGGGCGCGGCGTTTTACTGCGTGATCAAGCAGCACGCCCGGCAAAACGGTTCATGCTCATCGTCTCCAAATCATGACCAGAGACGGATAAATATTAAGTCTGCTGTTTAAAAAAAATAAAGAACCAATAGAGTAGAATAGTTATGCGCGAACAGCGGCATATTCGTGCAGTGCGCATGTCAAAAAATCACGATGTCACGATTCGAATCTTGTGACATATAAATCCGCACATAAATTACTTTATTTATCGTTCATGTAAACACCGTGTTCGGATTCATCAATCGGATTCATTTCATTCCGATTGAACCATGTAAACGCAGCTGTTTCCAAAACAAATCAAACTCTTTCTTCAGTGTTTCTTCATCTTTAGCTTTGAGTTTTAAGGCAAGTTCTTTGCTCTTTTCATAGAGAGTGTTTTCTTGATGTGTCCTCTGAGCATCAATCTTTCTCTTCAGGTCTCGCTGCTGAAGAACCTCATTTAATTCCCTCTTGGTTTCTCTCACAATGTTCCCCTGAAGCTCCTTGATTTTGATTTCAAATGATGTTTTCCACTGAATCAGTATATCTTTATCTTTGTCTTTCTCAAAGAATCCAGACATTGAATTTTCCACTTCTTCTTTTGTCTTCTTCAGTTCTTCTTGAAGATCAGTTTTCTCAACCTCATGAATTGCTTTAATTTCTATTTGGTTGTGTAGTTTGTTCTCAGTTTCCATCATGGCACTGCGAAGACTCCAGGTCCACTTGCTGTATTTGGTCTCCAGTTTCCTGTAGGCTGAAATCTCCAGAGAATTTCTGAACCTGAAGACGAATTGTTCATTCAGTAAAGCCTTCCAGAGATCATTAATACAGTCTTTTAAGTCTTTCAGCATTAATCCATGTGATTTTGAGGCATGAGACATTATAGTTTCCTTTAGTTCTTGAATGTTCTCGCAGTAGTTTGGGTTTGGTGGTGCCATAGGTGGGCTTCCCTCCCAGAGCTGAGCAAAATACTTCACATCATTCCGAATATCAAATTTAATGACATCGCTAAAACATTCTGCATCACAGACTTCATCTTTAGCAGCAAGTTTTGTCATCTCATCCAGTTTATCCTGCAGTCATCTCCTTCCCTCCATGTTTTTCTCTCCAGCTGTGACCTCTGAAACGTTCTGATGCACAAACACACACCTGGGATTCAGGCCCCATCCACACTACTGCGTTTTAGTTTAGAAACGGAGAATTAAAACGAATACGATCTCCGTCCACACCAGCGTTTTAGCTGCGTATTAGAATTGATCTCCGTCCACATTAAAACGACTGAAAACGCGGATCACGTGAACATTCACCAACACTGGGCATGCGCGTGCCGTTGTAAACACAACTTCATTGATAAAATTATCCCACCATGCTCTGGGTTAACCCCAAACCGACGCTCCATGTACGGTCAACGCCGCCGCTGCACACGGGAATTGTCACAGATCGCTCGAATAATAGCTTGACTCCGGCGCATGTAGGCAGTTATAGCGTTGTAAAATGCAGAATTTACTTGTACAACAGCTGCTAGCAAAGATATACGCCATGACTGATGACACCCAATCATAGAGCCGAGCGTGAGCCTCTACTACGTCATCGTTTCTAAAGTCCTCCGTTTTGACCCGTCTACACTAAAACGCCCTCCGGAGATTCAAAACGAAAAACGGATCGGCAGCGTTTCTAAACTTCTCCGTTTTGGGTCTCCGTTTTTGCTGTTTTAGTGTGGACGGGAGGTGCAAACGTAGCAAAAGGTCTCCGTTTTTAAACGAAAACGCAGTAGTGTGGACGGGGCCTCAGTCTGACCTTCTTCATCCTCATGAAGGCCTGAACAACAATCTGAAGAATGTCCTGCATCTCAGATAGGTTTTCTCCAAATATGTTGATCAAGGTTAGATTACCAAGACCAACAACAAATGTGGCCAGTTTATTGTCATGATGTCTTGTTGATCTTCCAGCCAGTTCTAGAGCACGAAGACCCTCAGTATCAACAACCAGAATATAGTCAAAGTTCATCTGTGTTTTCATCTCCTCTGAGACTCTGACCAGCTGCATGAAAGCTCCTCTGGTGCACCTGCCAGCACTGATGGTATGGGATCAAAATCCCGCCAAATCTATTGCGGCCACGGATTAAAATATAATAAGCGTGAATAAAAAAATAACAAGCATGAAGAATAACTTTAAACACATAAAAAAATATTTTTCACAAAACTTAAACTTGTTCATGTTTTCTTTAAAATTATGTTTTCCTTGGTTTTATTACTCTGTAATTTGCGCTCTCTTTCATTTTCTGCTCATAATTAATTTTTTTGTATACGCTTGTGCTGTTTTTCTCTTCGCTCTTCTTTCCATGTTCTGCGCTTGCTCTTCCAAATGTTGCAGTTTGAGTTTCATGTAAATTAGGGCGGGCTTAAGCGTCACCATTGGTCCACTAGTTCTAGATTGACAGCACCTCCTCTAGCCAATCAATCGAAGAGGAGAGCTGACGTCACTCCAATGCGACTCATGCTGATGTTGTTTACTCGTAGCTGGTAGCAATGGCAAGCCATTTTAACATTTAACAGCTAGACTGGATATGTGTTGCAGATATCTGTAATTCAGTTTTGCCTAGTCAAAAAGAACATTTAAGATATCCGCAATTACATTCTTCCTATCCATAATTGTCATTTCAGATATCCACAAAGACATTCTTCCTAGGACAAATGACATCACTTTTGCAATTCATTTGTATGGGGTTTGTCATTACAGATATCTACAATTCAGTTACAGATATCCACTATGTGAATTACGGATATCTGCAACTGAATTGTAGATATCTGTAATTCTAGTTTAAGATATCTACAATTTGATTATGACTAGTACTAACTCCAATTCAAGATATCTTTAATTCACCTCAATTCGAGATATCTACATGTTCCTTTTCAGATATCTTAAATTAAGTTTAGACTAGGCGAAAGTATGTTGTAGATATCTGTTACTGGAATTATAACTAGTCAAAATGGCATTGTAGATATCTCAAACTGGAGTTAGAGATAGTCATAATTTAATTGTAGATATCTATTATCAAGTTATAGATATCTTAAAATGAATTTTGATTAGAGATATCTGAAATTTGAGATATCTGTAACTTTCATTCTGCCTAGTCAAAATGTAATTACAGATATCTTGAATTACAGTTTTGACTAGGCGAAATGACGTTACAGATATCTGTATGCAAATTAGGCTCGGCCGCATCCCACTTTAGGCGGGAGCAGAGCGTGTTGTTGTTCAAATCATCAAATCACATAGCACTATGGCAAGCCCTTTTAACATTTAAAAGCTAAGTTTGACTATCCGGAATTAACATTGTAGATATCAACAACTTCTTTCTGACTAGTCGTGATTACATTTTGGATAGTTGGAATTGTCATTCAAGATATCTGTAACGTAATTGTGACTAGTCGAAACGACAGATAGAGATATCTGTAATTCAGTTTTGACTAGGCAAAACTGAATTACAGATATCTGCAATGACATCATTGAAAACGACATTCAACTCGTCACACATCTTAAATGACAATTGCAGATATCTGTAATTCAGTTTTGCCTAGGCCGAATGAAAGTTAAAGATATCTCAAACGTCATTATAACTAGTGCAAATTATTGTGCATGATGTAATTTCCCCTCCCCACCATAATCAAAAAAGAAGTGAGTTAATTTCCTTATTTGGAAGAAGAAAGAAGCTGCATTGGCTTTAATGGAAAAAAAATCAAAAAACACCAGAAAATGTTTACATGTTTCCAGCATGACACAAATTGTATTCATTTGCATTAGCCTGGGGGTCTCTCAAAAATATTGGCAACATGCAATGTTTGCCATGCATTTCTATGTTTATGACCATGCTTAAAATTAGTAGATTATTGTTGACGAAAGATTTATGCTTGAGAGAGATTCACACTAATTCACTTTAATGAAGATGCTTACATGCATGCAATTCTTGCCATGGAAGTGCAATAACATTTGATTGATTGAACTTCCTTAGATGAGAAAAAACAGTTCTCAGATTAGTTTTTTTTTTCCCACAGTAAAAATCCATGATGAGCTAACAGCATTAAAAAGACGATTAAAAACTCCTTCACCCTCGACATGGTGCTAATTAAAAGTGAACAGTTAACAGGTGCTATGTGATTTGATGATTTGAACAACAACACGCTCTGCTCCCGCCTAAAGTGGGATGCGGCCGAGCCTAATTTGCATACAGATATCTGCAACGTCATTTCGCCTAGTCAAAACTCTAATTCAAGATATCTGTAATTACATTTTGACTAGGCAGAATGAAAGTTACAGATATCTCAAATTTCAGATATCTCTAATCAAAATTCATTTTAAGATATCTATAACTTGATAATAGATATCTACAATTAAATTATGACTATCCCTAACTCCAGTTTGAGATATCTACAATGCCATTTTGACTAGTTATAATTCCAGTAACAGATATCTACAACATACTTTCGCCTAGTCCAAACTTAATTTAAGATATCTGAAAAGGAACATGTAGATATCTTGAATTGAGGTGAATTAAAGATATCTTGAATTGGAGTTAGTACTAGTCATAATCAAATTGTAGATATCTTAAACCGTAATTCACATAGTGGATATCTGCAACTGAATTGTAGATATCTGTAATGACAAACCCCATACAAATGAATGGCAAAAGTGATGTCATTTGTCCTAGGAAGAATGTCTTTGTTGATATCTGAAATGATAATTATGGATAGGAAGAATGTAATTGCGGATATCTGAAATGTTCTTTTTGACTAGGCAAAACTGAATTACAGATATCTGCAACACATATCCAGTCTAGCTGTTAAATGTTAAAATGGCTTGCCATATAGCACCTGTTAACTGTTCACTTTTAATTAGCACCATGTCGAGGGTGAAGGAGTTTTTAATCGTCTTTTTAATGCTGTTAGCTCATCATGGATTTTTACTGTGGGAAAAAAAAACTAATCTGAGAACTGTTTTTTCTCATCTAAGGAAGTTCAATCAATCAAATGTTATTGCACTTCCATGGCAAGAATTGCATGCATGTAAGCATCTTCATTAAAGTGAATTAGTGTGAATCTCTCTCAAGCATAAATCTTTCGTCAACAATAATCTACTAATTTTAAGCATGGTCATAAACATAGAAATGCATGGCAAACATTGCATGTTGCCAATATTTTTGAGAGACCCCCAGGCTAATGCAAATGAATACAATTTGTGTCATGCTGGAAACATATAAACATTTTCTGGTGTTTTTTTTTTTTTTTTTGATTAAAGCCAATGCAGCTTCTTTCTTCTTCCAAAAAAGGAAATTAACCCACTTCTTTTTTGATTATGGTGGGGAGGGGAAATTACATCATGCACAATAATATGCACTAGTTATAATGACGTTTGAGATATCTTTAACTTTCATTCTGCCTAGGCAAAACTGAATTACAGATATCTGCAATTGTCATTTAAGATGTGTGACGAGTTGAATGTCGTTTTCAATGATGTCATTGCAGATATCTGTAATTCAGTTTTGCCTAGTCAAAACTGAATTACAGATATCTCTATCTGTCGTTTCGACTAGTCACAATTACGTTACAGATATCTTGAATGACAATTCCAACTATCCAAAATATAATTACGACTAGTCAGAAAGAAGTTGTTGATATCTACAATGTTAATTCCGGATAGTCAAACTTAGCTTTTAAATGTTAAAAGGGCTTGCCATAGGTAGCTACAGGTGAAGATAACCATCAGCTCAGCTGTCAAAAATCTTTCCGTGGCAGGACACGTTAAACTGTATGTCTACCTGGCGATCCGTTATCGTTAAATTCGTCACCCTAACGACGACGATCTGTCACAGTTGTATGGCAAGCCGTTTTAGCATTTAAACCTTTGTTCTGACTATCTATAAATATATTTAAAGCTAGTAACAATTGTATTTTGACGAGTGATAATTATAATTCGCCTAGTCAGAATGACAATTAGAGATATCTGCAATTATAATTGCACTAGGAAGAAATCCGATTAGAGATATCTGTAATATATTTTGACTAGTCAAAACTCAATTTAAGATATCTGTAATGATGTCATTGATATCTTTAAAAGACGCGTCGTTTATCCGCAAAGGTAATTAGAGATATCTCTAATTCGATTTCGACTAGTCACAATTGTATTTTAAGATATCTGAATTGTACTCGCTCCTAGTCAATCCACTGTTGCGTGACGTGAAACTACATTTCCTCAGCACCACCCAGAGTTCCTCCCCTCCTCCCTAGTTAACCGCTAACAACTTTAGTCTGCTTTTGTTTTCCGAGAGAAAAGATATGAAGTAGTTCAGGGATTATTAAACGATGGCGGCAGCTGTTCTCGACAAAATAGCAAGAAAGTGTCAACAAATTGAAAGAGCTCAAAGTCAGGGAAATTGTGGTGAGCGCGAACTTCGTGCGATAGATGACTGCTTAAGAAATGCACAGAGAATTTCGTATTTGCTACCTCTTGAGACGAATGAAGAATTGAACACAAATCTGGAGGAAATTCGAACAATGCTGTCAACGCATTTGCAGAGTGAGGGAACTACAGCTTTTTCCATTTCTCGAAGGAGCTCAGGTGAGTTTCTGGTTTTTAAAAACTAGGCCTATGTTCTTTATCTGCAGTAACCGCATACACAAGCGAGGCATCTCGGAAAGCTTGTTTTTGTCTTGTTTATGTGTTTGTTTATTGTCTTCTCTCTACTTTCGTCATGACGGTAGCCATGGTAATACAACTGTAACTTTCCCCTCGGTCTGCAAAGTAGTCTAACCAGTGTACATGCTATGTAACTATTCACTTACAAAATTAATACCGTTATAATACAATTCAAATATATATACCTATTGTACATAATACATATAACGTTAGTTAAAAGTATGACTGTACAACAAAATGTATGCCTACATAATTTTATTTACATTTTAGAAGAAAATAAGGATTAAAGCAACCATTATTTGAATGGCTACTGATAAGGTTCCACACACAGGCCATGTCAATCCATAAAAGTATTTGTGTGACATTCAGATGATCACACATCAATGAATGTACCTTATTTGCATTTAAAAATAACAGAAACACACTCCAACAGGTCAATGTTTAATTTTCATTTTTCAACCTTGTCTGGTTCCATGACTCATAAAAAAGAAATTGTATTTCTTCAACATTTGTACTAAATATTGAAAAAGTAATTTAAATCTGCCATCACCCTGTTTTAGGAGCTACATGTCAGTAATACAAATATATGTTACTTTCAATTGCAGGTAGCCGAGGTAGACCAGCCATTACAATAACACGTGACCAAATTGAATTTTTAATGAAGCAAGGTCACACAGTCAAGCGAATGGCAAGAATGTTAGGGTGCTCATCCTCATTTCTGTACAAGAGGTCCAAGCTGCTTGGCGTATCCATCAGGAGCAGAATGTCAAGAGTGGATGATGAAGAACTTGAAAATGTAGTGAGACGACTCCAATGCCAGTATCCAAATACTGGAAATGAGGTAAGTCTTGTTTGATTCCATTTTAAGGTCTGTCCTATCAGTTCATAAACTAATTATTATTATTTAAAAAAAATTGTTTTTCAATTCAATGCAACCATTTTAGATGATGCGAGCCTTACTGGTTGCAGAAGGATTGAGGGTTTCCCGGCATAGGGTTCGTGAGATGTTGGTCCGTATCAATCCAGCGGCTGCTGCAAGGAGATGGAGTAGCACAGTGGCTAGAAGAGTTTATCATGTGCCCTGTCCCAACAGTCTCTGGCACATTGATGGCAACATGCGCCTCATAAGGTTAATTTAATTGTAGTTTTTGTCCTGCTAATGCAGCATTTAAATGGTGTGACAGTGTGTTTCTGCGATACTAAATTATAGCCTAGTGTAGACTTGCATTAGAATCTACAGCCAAATATGTTCACACACATGCAATTACCACAACCTAAGCAGCCATTGTAAATCATAATACGACAATAACATTATAACAGTTCACCATATCGTCCTGGCCTAAAACGACTAAATGTTAAATCATTAAGACATTTTAGATCCAATGACGTTTTGTAAAGCTGGTTTGAAAGAGTATGTACTGCGAAACTGTACAAATGTTTCACTTGATGCATTTATTATATGAATTATTAATACATTACATACAATTATTCTAAGTATAACAATTCAATTCAATTCAAATTTATTTGTATAACGCTTTTCACAATACATATTGTTTCAAAGCAGCTTTACAGAAAGTGCATTTCAGAAATGTACATAGAAAAATACAGTTAGTTAATCATCATGTATTAATTTAGGGCATAACATATCGCCGGCGTTTAGTCGTCTCTTCACAGGAGTTTAGTCATCTCTTCACAGGCGTTTAGTTGTCTCATCGCAGGCGTTTAGTCGTCTCTTCACAGGCGTTTAGTCGTCTCATCGCAGGCGTTTAGTTGTCTCATCACAGGCGTTTAGTTGTCTCATCGCAGGCGTTTAGTCGTCTCATCGCAGGCGTTTAGTCGTCTCATCGCAGGCGTTTAGTCGTCTCTTCACAGGCGTTTAGTCGTCTCTTCACAGGCGTTTAGTCGTCTCATCGCAGGCGTTTAGTTGTCTCATCGCAGGCGTTTAGTCGTCTCTTCACAGGCGTTTAGTCGTCTCATCGCAGGCGTTTAGTCGTCTCTTCACAGGCGTTTAGTCGTCTCATCGCAGGCGTTTAGTTGTCTCTTCACAGGCGTTTAGTCGTCTCATCGCAGGCGTTTAGTTGTCTCTTCACAGGCGTTTAGTCGTCTCATCGCAGGCGTTTAGTCGTCTCATCGCAGGCGTTTAGTTGTCTCATCGCAGGCGTTTAGTTGTCTCATCGCAGGCGTTTAGTTGTCTCATCGCAGGCGTTTAGTCGTCTCTTCACAGGCGTTTAGTTGTCTCTTCACAGGCGTTTAGTTGTCTCTTCACAGGCGTTTAGTCGTCTCTTCACAGGCGTTTAGTTGTCTCTTCACAGGCGTTTAGTCGTCTCTTCACAGGCGTTTAGTTGTCTCATCGCAGGCGTTTAGTTGTCTCATCGCAGGCGTTTAGTTGTCTCATCGCAGGCGTTTAGTCGTCTCATCGCAGGCGTTTAGTTGTCTCATCGCAGGCGTTTAGTCGTCTCATCGCAGACGTTTAGTTGTCTCATCGCAGGCGTTTAGTCGTCTCTTCACAGGCGTTTAGTTGTCTCATCGCAGGCGTTTAGTTGTCTCATCACAGGCGTTTAGTTGTCTCATCGCAGGCGTTTAGTCGTCTCATCGCAGGCGTTTAGTTGTCTCATCGCAGGCGTTTAGTCGTCTCTTCACAGGCGTTTAGTTGTCTCATCGCAGGCGTTTAGTTGTCTCATCGCAGGCGTTTAGTCGTCTCATCGCAGGCGTTTAGTCGTCTCTTCACAGGCGTTTAGTTGTCTCATCGCAGGCGTTTAGTTGTCTCATCGCAGGCGTTTAGTTGTCTCTTCACAGGCGTTTAGTCGTCTCATCGCAGGCGTTTAGTTGTCTCATCGCAGGCGTTTAGTCGTCTCTTCACAGGCGTTTAGTTGTCTCATCGCAGGCGTTTAGTTGTCTCATCGCAGGCGTTTAGTTGTCTCATCGCAGGCGTTTAGTCGTCTCATTACAGGCGTTTAGTTGTCTCATCGCAGGCGTTTAGTCGTCTCATCGCAGGCGTTTAGTCGTCTCTTCACAGGCGTTTAGTCGTCTCATCGCAGGCGTTTAGTTGTCTCATCACAGGCGTTTAGTTGTCTCATCGCAGGCGTTTAGTTGTCTCATCGCAGGCGTTTAGTCGTCTCTTCACAGGCGTTTAGTTGTCTCATCGCAGGCGTTTAGTTGTCTCATCACAGGCGTTCAGTTGTCTCATCGCAGGCGTTTAGTCGTCTCTTCACAGGCGTTTAGTCGTCTCATCGCAGGCGTTTAGTCGTCTCTTCACAGGCGTTTAGTTGTCTCATCGCAGGCGTTTAGTCGTCTCTTCACAGGCGTTTAGTCGTCTCATCGCAGGCGTTTAGTCGTCTCATCGCAGGCGTTTAGTTGTCTCATCGCAGGCGTTTAGTTGTCTCATCGCAGGCGTTTAGTTGTCTCATCGCAGGCGTTTAGTCGTCTCTTCACAGGCGTTTAGTTGTCTCTTCACAGGCGTTTAGTTGTCTCTTCACAGGCGTTTAGTCGTCTCTTCACAGGCGTTTAGTTGTCTCTTCACAGGCGTTTAGTCGTCTCTTCACAGGCGTTTAGTTGTCTCATCGCAGGCGTTTAGTTGTCTCATCGCAGGCGTTTAGTTGTCTCATCGCAGGCGTTTAGTCGTCTCATCGCAGGCGTTTAGTTGTCTCATCGCAGGCGTTTAGTCGTCTCATCGCAGACGTTTAGTTGTCTCATCGCAGGCGTTTAGTCGTCTCTTCACAGGCGTTTAGTTGTCTCATCGCAGGCGTTTAGTTGTCTCATCACAGGCGTTTAGTTGTCTCATCGCAGGCGTTTAGTCGTCTCATCGCAGGCGTTTAGTTGTCTCATCGCAGGCGTTTAGTCGTCTCTTCACAGGCGTTTAGTTGTCTCATCGCAGGCGTTTAGTTGTCTCATCGCAGGCGTTTAGTCGTCTCATCGCAGGCGTTTAGTCGTCTCTTCACAGGCGTTTAGTTGTCTCATCGCAGGCGTTTAGTTGTCTCATCGCAGGCGTTTAGTTGTCTCTTCACAGGCGTTTAGTCGTCTCATCGCAGGCGTTTAGTTGTCTCATCGCAGGCGTTTAGTCGTCTCTTCACAGGCGTTTAGTTGTCTCATCGCAGGCGTTTAGTTGTCTCATCGCAGGCGTTTAGTTGTCTCATCGCAGGCGTTTAGTCGTCTCATTACAGGCGTTTAGTTGTCTCATCGCAGGCGTTTAGTCGTCTCATCGCAGGCGTTTAGTCGTCTCTTCACAGGCGTTTAGTCGTCTCATCGCAGGCGTTTAGTTGTCTCATCACAGGCGTTTAGTTGTCTCATCGCAGGCGTTTAGTTGTCTCATCGCAGGCGTTTAGTCGTCTCTTCACAGGCGTTTAGTTGTCTCATCGCAGGCGTTTAGTTGTCTCATCACAGGCGTTCAGTTGTCTCATCGCAGGCGTTTAGTCGTCTCTTCACAGGCGTTTAGTCGTCTCATCGCAGGCGTTTAGTCGTCTCTTCACAGGCGTTTAGTTGTCTCATCGCAGGCGTTTAGTCGTCTCTTCACAGGCGTTTAGTCGTCTCATCGCAGGCGTTTAGTCGTCTCTTCACAGGCGTTTATTTGTCTCATCACAGGCGTTTAGTCGTCTCTTCACAGGCGTTTAGTCGTCTCATCGCAGGCGTTTAGTCGTCTCTTCACAGGCGTTTAGTCGTCTCTTCACAGGCGTTTAGTTGTCTCATCGCAGGCGTTTAGTCGTCTCATCGCAGGCGTTTAGTCGTCTCATCGCAGGCGTTTAGTCGTCTCATCGCAGGCGTTTAGTCGTCTCATCGCAGGCGTTTAGTTGTCTCATCGCAGGCGTTTAGTCGTCTCATCGCAGGCGTTTAGTTGTCTCATCGCAGGCGTTTAGTCGTCTCTTCACAGGCGTTTAGTTGTCTCATCGCAGGCGTTTAGTTGTCTCATCGCAGGCGTTTAGTTGTCTCATCGCAGGCGTTTAGTTGTCTCATCGCAGGCGTTTAGTTGTCTCATCGCAGGCGTTTAGTTGTCTCATCGCAGGCGTTTAGTTGTCTCATCGCAGGCGTTTAGTTGTCTCATCGCAGGCGTTTAGTCGTCTCTTCACAGGCGTTTAGTTGTCTCATCGCAGGCGTTTAGTCGTCTCTTCACAGGCGTTTAGTTGTCTCATCGCAGGCGTTTAGTTGTCTCATCGCAGGCGTTTAGTCGTCTCATCGCAGGCGTTTAGTCGTCTCATCACAGGCGTTTAGTCGTCTCTTCACAGGCGTTTAGTTGTCTCATCACAGGCGTTTAGTCGTCTCATCGCAGGCGTTTAGTTGTCTCATCGCAGGCGTTTAGTCGTCTCATCGCAGGCGTTTAGTTGTCTCATCGCAGGCGTTTAGTTGTCTCTTCACAGGCGTTTAGTTGTCTCATCGCAGGCGTTTAGTTGTCTCTTCACAGGCGTTTAGTTGTCTCATCGCAGGCGTTTAGTTGTCTCATCGCAGGCGTTTAGTCGTCTCATCGCAGGCGTTTAGTTGTCTCATCGCAGGCGTTTAGTTGTCTCATCGCAGGCGTTTAGTTGTCTCATCGCAGGCGTTTAGTTGTCTCATCGCAGGCGTTTAGTTGTCTCATCGCAGGCGTTTAGTCGTCTCATCGCAGGCGTTTAGTCGTCTCTTCACAGGCGTTTAGTCGTCTCTTCACAGGCGTTTAGTCGTCTCTTCACAGGCGTTTAGTTGTCTCATCACAGGCGTTTAGTTGTCTCATCACAGGCGTTTAGTCGTCTCTTCACAGGCGTTTAGTTGTCTCATCGCAGGCGTTTAGTCGTCTCTTCACAGGCGTTTAGTCGTCTCTTCACAGGCGTTTAGTCGTCTCTTCACAGGCGTTTAGTCGTCTCTTCACAGGCGTTTAGTTGTCTCATCACAGGCGTTTAGTTGTCTCATCGCAGGCGTTTAGTCGTCTCATCACAGGCGTTTAGTTGTCTCATCACAGGCGTTTAGTTGTCTCATCGCAGGCGTTTAGTTGTCTCATCACAGGCGTTTAGTCGTCTCTTCACAGGCGTTTAGTTGTCTCTTCACAGGCGTTTAGTCGTCTCTTCACAGGCGTTTAGTTGTCTCATCGCAGGCGTTTAGTCGTCTCATCGCAGGCGTTTAGTCGTCTCATCGCAGGCGTTTAGTCGTCTCATCGCAGGCGTTTAGTCGTCTCTTCACAGGCGTTTAGTTGTCTCATCGCAGGCGTTTAGTCGTCTCATCGCAGGCGTTTAGTCGTCTCTTCACAGGCGTTTAGTTGTCTCATCGCAGGCGTTTAGTCGTCTCTTCACAGGCGTTTAGTCGTCTCATCGCAGGCGTTTAGTCGTCTCTTCACAGGCGTTTAGTCGTCTCTTCACAGGCGTTTAGTCGTCTCATCGCAGGCGTTTAGTCGTCTCATCACAGGCGTTTAGTTGTCTCAACGCAGGCGTTTAGTCGTCTCTTCACAGGCGTTTAGTTGTCTCATCGCAGGCGTTTAGTTGTCTCTTCACAGGCGTTTAGTCGTCTCATCGCAGGCGTTTAGTCGTCTCTTCACAGGCGTTTAGTCGTCTCATCGCAGGCGTTTAGTTGTCTCATCGCAGGCGTTTAGTTGTCTCTTCACAGGCGTTTAGTTGTCTCATCGCAGGCGTTTAGTTGTCTCTTCACAGGCGTTTAGTTGTCTCAACGCAGGCGTTTAGTCGTCTCTTCACAGGCGTTTAGTCGTCTCATCGCAGGCGTTTAGTCGTCTCTTCACAGGCGTTTAGTTGTCTCATCGCAGGCGTTTAGTCGTCTCATCGCAGGCGTTTAGTCGTCTCTTCACAGGCGTTTAGTTGTCTCATCGCAGGCGTTTAGTCGTCTCTTCACAGGCGTTTAGTCGTCTCTTCACAGGCGTTTAGTTGTCTCATCGCAGGCGTTTAGTTGTCTCATCGCAGGCGTTTAGTCGTCTCTTCACAGGCGTTTAGTTGTCTCATCGCAGGCGTTTAGTCGTCTCTTCACAGGCGTTTAGTCGTCTCATCGCAGGCGTTTAGTCGTCTCTTCACAGGCGTTTAGTCGTCTCTTCACAGGCGTTTAGTTGTCTCATCGCAGGCGTTTAGTCGTCTCTTCGCAGGCGTTTAGTCGTCTCTTCACAGGCGTTTAGTTGTCTCATCGCAGGCGTTTAGTTGTCTCATCGCAGGCGTTTAGTCGTCTCATCGCAGGCGTTTAGTCGTCTCTTCACAGGCGTTTAGTTGTCTCATCGCAGGCGTTTAGTTGTCTCATCGCAGGCGTTTAGTCGTCTCTTCACAGGCGTTTAGTTGTCTCATCGCAGGCGTTTAGTCGTCTCTTCACAGGCGTTTAGTTGTCTCATCGCAGGCGTTTAGTCGTCTCATCGCAGGCGTTTAGTCGTCTCTTCACAGGCGTTTAGTTGTCTCATCGCAGGCGTTTAGTTGTCTCATCGCAGGCGTTTAGTCGTCTCATCGCAGGCGTTTAGTCGTCTCTTCACAGGCGTTTAGTTGTCTCATCGCAGGCGTTTAGTCGTCTCTTCACAGGCGTTTAGTCGTCTCATCGCAGGCGTTTAGTTGTCTCATCGCAGGCGTTTAGTCGTCTCTTCACAGGCGTTTAGTTGTCTCATCGCAGGCGTTTAGTTGTCTCTTCACAGGCGTTTAGTCGTCTCATCGCAGGCGTTTAGTTGTCTCATCGCAGGCGTTTAGTCGTCTCTTCACAGGCGTTTAGTCGTCTCATCGCAGGCGTTTAGTCGTCTCATCGCAGGCGTTTAGTCGTCTCTTCACAGGCGTTTAGTCGTCTCATCGCAGGCGTTTAGTCGTCTCTTCACAGGCGTTTAGTCGTCTCTTCACAGGCGTTTAGTCGTCTCATCGCAGGCGTTTAGTCGTCTCATCACAGGCGTTTAGTTGTCTCAACGCAGGCGTTTAGTCGTCTCTTCACAGGCGTTTAGTTGTCTCATCGCAGGCGTTTAGTTGTCTCTTCACAGGCGTTTAGTCGTCTCATCGCAGGCGTTTAGTCGTCTCTTCACAGGCGTTTAGTCGTCTCATCGCAGGCGTTTAGTTGTCTCATCGCAGGCGTTTAGTTGTCTCTTCACAGGCGTTTAGTTGTCTCATCGCAGGCGTTTAGTTGTCTCTTCACAGGCGTTTAGTCGTCTCTTCACAGGCGTTTAGTTGTCTCATCGCAGGCGTTTAGTCGTCTCATCGCAGGCGTTTAGTCGTCTCTTCACAGGCGTTTAGTTGTCTCATCGCAGGCGTTTAGTCGTCTCTTCACAGGCGTTTAGTTGTCTCATCGCAGGCGTTTAGTTGTCTCTTCACAGGCGTTTAGTTGTCTCATCGCAGGCGTTTAGTTGTCTCTTCACAGGCGTTTAGTTGTCTCATCGCAGGCGTTTAGTCGTCTCTTCACAGGCGTTTAGTCGTCTCATCGCAGGCGTTTAGTCGTCTCTTCACAGGCGTTTAGTTGTCTCATCGCAGGCGTTTAGTCGTCTCATCGCAGGCGTTTAGTCGTCTCTTCACAGGCGTTTAGTTGTCTCATCGCAGGCGTTTAGTCGTCTCTTCACAGGCGTTTAGTTGTCTCATCGCAGGCGTTTAGTTGTCTCATCACAGGCGTTTAGTCGTCTCATCGCAGGCGTTTAGTTGTCTCATCGCAGGCGTTTAGTCGTCTCATCGCAGGCGTTTAGTTGTCTCATCGCAGGCGTTTAGTTGTCTCATCGCAGGCGTTTAGTTGTCTCATCACAGGCGTTTAGTTGTCTCATCACAGGCGTTTAGTCGTCTCTTCACAGGCGTTTAGTTGTCTCATCGCAGGCGTTTAGTCGTCTCTTCACAGGCGTTTAGTTGTCTCATCGCAGGCGTTTAGTTGTCTCATCGCAGGCGTTTAGTTGTCTCATCACAGGCGTTTAGTCGTCTCTTCACAGGCGTTTAGTTGTCTCATCGCAGGCGTTTAGTTGTCTCATCACAGGCGTTTAGTCGTCTCTTCACAGGCGTTTAGTTGTCTCATCGCAGGCGTTTAGTCGTCTCTTCACAGGCGTTTAGTTGTCTCATCGCAGGCGTTTAGTTGTCTCTTCACAGGCGTTTAGTCGTCTCATCGCAGGCGTTTAGTCGTCTCTTCACAGGCGTTTAGTCGTCTCTTCACAGGCGTTTAGTCGTCTCATCGCAGGCGTTTAGTCGTCTCATCACAGGCGTTTAGTTGTCTCAACGCAGGCGTTTAGTCGTCTCTTCACAGGCGTTTAGTTGTCTCATCGCAGGCGTTTAGTTGTCTCTTCACAGGCGTTTAGTCGTCTCATCGCAGGCGTTTAGTCGTCTCTTCACAGGCGTTTAGTCGTCTCATCGCAGGCGTTTAGTTGTCTCATCGCAGGCGTTTAGTTGTCTCTTCACAGGCGTTTAGTTGTCTCATCGCAGGCGTTTAGTTGTCTCTTCACAGGCGTTTAGTTGTCTCAACGCAGGCGTTTAGTCGTCTCTTCACAGGCGTTTAGTCGTCTCATCGCAGGCGTTTAGTCGTCTCTTCACAGGCGTTTAGTTGTCTCATCGCAGGCGTTTAGTCGTCTCATCGCAGGCGTTTAGTCGTCTCTTCACAGGCGTTTAGTTGTCTCATCGCAGGCGTTTAGTCGTCTCTTCACAGGCGTTTAGTTGTCTCATCGCAGGCGTTTAGTTGTCTCATCGCAGGCGTTTAGTTGTCTCATCGCAGGCGTTTAGTTGTCTCATCGCAGGCGTTTAGTCGTCTCTTCACAGGCGTTTAGTCGTCTCATCGCAGGCGTTTAGTCGTCTCTTCACAGGCGTTTAGTTGTCTCATCGCAGGCGTTTAGTCGTCTCATCGCAGGCGTTTAGTCGTCTCTTCACAGGCGTTTAGTCGTCTCATCGCAGGCGTTTAGTCGTCTCTTCACAGGCGTTTAGTTGTCTCATCGCAGGCGTTTAGTTGTCTCATCGCAGGCGTTTAGTTGTCTCATCGCAGGCGTTTAGTTGTCTCATCGCAGGCGTTTAGTTGTCTCATCGCAGGCGTTTAGTTGTCTCATCGCAGGCGTTTAGTTGTCTCATCGCAGGCGTTTAGTCGTCTCTTCACAGGCGTTTAGTCGTCTCATCGCAGGCGTTTAGTTGTCTCATCGCAGGCGTTTAGTCGTCTCATCGCAGGCGTTTAGTTGTCTCATCGCAGGCGTTTAGTCGTCTCATCGCAGGCGTTTAGTCGTCTCATTACAGGCGTTTAGTCGTCTCATCGCAGGCGTTTAGTCGTCTCTTCACAGGCGTTTAGTCGTCTCATCACAGGCGTTTAGTCGTCTCATCGCAGGCGTTTAGTTGTCTCATCGCAGGCGTTTAGTCGTCTCATCGCAGGCGTTTAGTCGTCTCATCGCAGGCGTTTAGTCGTCTCTTCACAGGCGTTTAGTTGTCTCATCGCAGGCGTTTAGTTGTCTCATCGCAGGCGTTTAGTCGTCTCATCGCAGGCGTTGGGGCATCAGAAGTCTCCGTGAGAGGCTGGATACAAACTGGAGCTGACGAACGCTATTTACCTCGACTAGCGTCCCGAGATAACAGCAGAAAAGCAGATGGGAAATAATTAGCGTAGCTGCTGTTCATAATATTAATGCATTTGATCTGATTCAACAGTAGTATAAAAGGTAAGCATTATGTGAATGCTTGGCTGAAGAGATGCGTCTTTAATCTAGTTTTGAACTGGGAGAGCGAGTCTGAGCAACGAACAGTATCAGGAAGGCTATTCCAGAGTTTAGGAGCTAAATGTGAGAACGCCCTCCCTCCTTTAGTGGACTTAGATATCCTAGGAATGACCAGAAGCCTCGAATTTAGGGATCTTAAAGAACGCGATGGATTGTAGGGCGATAGAAGGTCCATTAAATACACAGGAGCTAAACCATTTAGGGCTTTATATGCTGTGGTAACTTGCTTCATAACACAGTGTAGTTTGTATTTTACTCCTATAGTCCCTAATATTACAGTTGTCCTTATGTTGCCCTACATTTCCCCATTTCTTGATTATTAGACCCTGCTTTTTTCATCATTTATTCATGTAATAAAAAAAAAAAAGATTTGTTCACAATTACATTTAAAGTGTCTTGTGTGACGTCCAGCATAACAGAAACCTGGGAACTGTGGAAAAAGTGGGACCTGTAGGACCTCTTTGTTCTTCACACTTTACTACCTATAATATTTAACTTACATTTTGTATTTGTATTTTTACTTTTAGATGGGGCTTTGTGATTCATGGTGCAATCGATGGACATTCCCGACTAATCACATACCTAAATTGCAACACCAACAACTGTGCCAGTACTGTGCTGTCTCAGTTTATTCAAGCAACATGCCTTTACGGTCTGCCCTCTAGGGTAAGGTCAGATCACGGTGGTGAGAACTTACAAGTGGCCTTGTTTATGAACCTTGTACAAGGACTTCAGCGCCGGAGTCACATTACTGGGGAATCTGTCCACAACCAAAGGATAGAACGTTTGTGGAGGGATGTATTTTTACATGTGCTACAATCATTCTACAGCATGTTCTACAGTCTTGAAGATTCTGAACTGCTTGATCCCAGCAATGACCTTCACAAAGTTTCGCTCAGCATAGTTTTTCTTCCACAGATCCAAGCTAGACTACAGCACTTCAAAGAGGCATGGAATCACCATGCTTTGCGGACAGAAAACAATAAAACACCAACACAGATATGGACAGAAGGAATGCTGTCAATGATAGGAACTGACAGCACAGCCATCAACAATGTGTTTGGAGATGATCTCTACAGGCCAGAACATTTTAATGAACTCCTGGTTCAACATGGCATTGAGTCTTTGCCCACAGCTGAAAATGAAGAAATCCCAGCTGTAACTGTTGAACAGCCTCAAATTAACCTTACTCCTCAGCAAATGGAAACGGTTTCCCATGCTATTGACCATATTGCAGATTTGAAGCTTAAGTTTCAGGTATGTTGTACAGAAATTGCTAATGTTTTGGCAAACTAGTGTTGCAGATTAGAGTGTTATAAAGAATGTCATTCTTTTGTAATATTTTAATACGTAAAAGGTTTAACAACAAGAATGCTCTGTTGAAGAATTAATAGATGCTGACATTGAAAAAAGGATTTTCTATGAAAAGCTGGTGTACAAGTGAGAGAACCTGAACAAACAGTTAAAAATTAGCAATGTAACAGTTTTTCCACAATAAACACGAACATGCATAATGCAGAGAACAATGCATTTTATTTTGCAATGGATGCCCATCTCAAACATATTTGACTTCAAGGTGCTTCTTAAATGAAACTTTAAATTTATAAAAGCTGTACTCAGTTGTAACTACCTAAAATTACTTTGTGTAAAAAGGTAGGCTAATATTAAAGGTTAAAGGGATACTAATTAACTAACTAACCCTTTAAAGGATGAGACTTCTGTAAGTCATAAATCATTGACAACCTTTTATTTTCTTTGCTGAACTATTCCTTTAAAAAAGGAAAAATTAACATTCTTCTTTTCATAGCAAAAACAAAGAAACTAATAACCAACTAACTAATTGGTACCATCTGAGGGTGAGTGAACAGTGACAATTTTCATATTTGGGCTAAAACTCCTTTTAGCAACAGATACAAACTCACCACAATGCAACAAAACCCCATCCATTATGGATGCAGTTCTAGATTTAACCATTTCAGGCAACACCAAAATATGGGCTCTGTATGATTCCCTCTGTCATGTAGGTCTTGAACATTTCATATTCTGTGTGTATCGGCAGTCGCAGTATAATGAGGCAAGTATTGGCCTCTGGAAAGATTTTCCTGTCTTGATGGAGGAACTCTATTTCTGGGCGGTGGGGGAAACCCAGAGGTGGCACTGTGGAGGCTCCAGTGACAAACTCCATTATCATCTCAAGAGTGACTCCATCAGTCTCTCCCTCTGCAAAACATATGTACAGAAAATCACAAACCTCAAAAGACTAACCTATTATAAAATGTGGGGTACATGCAGTTATTTCACAGCGATATTTTGATCTAAACACAATTATCCAGTCTGTCTAATTATGACTACATCTAGCTGCATGGTTTCTATATTTTGTCTGATTACAAAAAAAAATAAAAAATACAATCTTAAGTATTTGTTCTGCATAATGGTTAGATTCACCACAAATAAGATAATTTTTCATTTCAAACACTTGTTTTCTTCAAATCGAAGTCACTGTTTTTATTAAGTACTCTTTGTTTATAGAGGACCAATAGCATAAAACAAATACAAATGACAAATTACAAGAGAATTAAGAGCTACATAAAGTAGCATTAGCATTCTAGCTATTAATTTAATTGCATGTGTCCTGCTCATAATGAAACAGTCTGAATATAAATATTTACTGTAATTGTAGTGATTCAGGACAAGGCACAAACACAATTTGGAAAATGGATTTAAGTATTCACCCATTTTACTGTAGAAATTTTAAACATTTTGAAAAAAAAATTTTTTTACATGGCATGCCTTTAACATTACATAAAAACATGTCATACCTTCAACATCGATCAACCAGTCCCTCCAGTAGCATATGGTCTGGTTTTCCTTTGCCCTTCTGTTGCTGCCTTGTGGGGAAAAGTTCACATAAAAAAGACTGCAGAGGTCCTTTGCTTGAAGGGGCCTCTGCTCATTGACGAACATGTCATAAAAAAGTGCAGGATATTTCTGCATCTCTTCCAGCAAACCGAGAGTTTGCAACCCTTCTGAAAACCTGCATAACAAATATAGCAGTCAATGGAAGTTTCAAGCTTATGATAGTTATGTTGTCAAAAAGGAAAGGCTTAAAATTTTACTTCACCCCAAAAAAATTTCAATTCTGTCATTAATTATGACGGTCTACCCATAAGACCTTCATATACTGTATGTTTTCAACACAAAAGGTGTTCTATCATGACAACTCTCAGGAGATGTTAGCATGGTAGTATCTTTATTTGTGTTCTGGAAGTTAACTTAAGTCCTGGGGTGTGGAAACCCATGCGGGTGAACAATTAACAACAGAATTTCAATATTTTGGGCAGACTAACCCTTTAAATCACTTACTGGTCCAAGGCAGCTCGCAGTCTCCCATTCACAAAGAACTCTGCAGCTGACTGGACAAGAGAGTTCCTTTCTGTCAGGTGTGATGTATATCTCAAGGCACCAATGATACTTAAGCTGTCTGCTGCTTCTGCAATGGCACAATTTGCCTCCTGAACAGTTGTTGCTTCCTGTATCTAAAACAGTTGCGAAAAATGCTATTTTACAATTGTGAGGAAAAACCATCTGTATCGGCACAGAATGAAACTGTTAAGCAAAGAGAACCGTTCGGCCTGATGATAGAAAAGCAGCTCTAGATGCCCTGTGTTCTGTATGACACTGATGCCTGCTCAAGCAGAGCTGAGCAACATGTACCCATTAACTGTTTATATATGTACTTTGAAAGCTGTAGCTCACAATTAGGGTAAGGGGCATTACATTTCTGACACACACTTGTGGGTGTTTGGTCAATCACAATGCACATAGAGGAGCTAAAATAATGCACTGCATATGAAAAATAATGTGTTTTTTTAACGTTGAAGCATGTCAACACATTTTCCAAATACACAAAATAATGATCTTTAATAATAGCATCATATAACACCTTTAAACAATTATTTAAATTCTCAAACATCTCCGTACCTTGATTAGTTGCTCCCTCAATGTATGACCTCCAACCTCATCCACTGAGGCAGAGGATGTTGGCATACCACAGATCTGCTGAAAAAGCCTTTCGGAGAAGAAATGTGGGCCAACTCCTCCATGGACGACACACATAGCAATCATCTTCCCCACTGATGCATACAACCTATTCTCCAAAGCTAACGTAAAACAGAAGAAATATTGATGTCAGAAATTCCTACAGAACCATTATAAATTTAAAAGTTCATATTTTACACCTCAGTCACCCCTGGCTTAATTTTTGTTATTAGAATTCAGGAGATCTGTTCATAATTGGACAATTTTAAATGCAGGTGAAAACAGGACTGTCATCCTTACATTCTACAGTCTTACATTTCTAATGTAACTGAGGAAAACTGAGACAATTTTTTAAACAGATTCATCTTTTTGACTCTTTGTAGGTCTCATCTTTGTCCAAATTATTTTTTCTTAGAATTGCATAATATGAACTAACAACTGCTAACAAACTAACAAAGTTATATAATCAAAATGGTGTACTATAAAGTCATGACTGTGAGAGATAAACTTTATAAGTCAACTCTATAAGCTTTATAATCACAATTGCAAGTTTATATCCCATAATTCTGAGAAAAAATATTGCACAATTGTGAGGAAAAAGTCAGAATTGTTAGATAAAAAGTCAGTTACCTTTTTTATTTTGTGGCAGCTTCCACAAAAACATCTTTGCATATGAAACAGTTATATATACACATATGTAACTTGAATACTTTACACATTTTTATTATAACAGCTGTATAGATTAACAAAGTGTGAGGTGTAGATTATAGGATTATATTTAGATCTACCCTCATCACCTGAAAGGTTGCAGGAAAGAGCACTGAGCATTGATCCAAGTGAATGCAGTGATCTCATCATTGCAACATGATTTCTGCGTTCTCACAAAATCCTTTTATCATAACTAATAGCGCAAACAAGGTGTAAATAGCATGAGACATATAGTACAGTGTAGCACTGTCATTATAACAGTTTACGAGTCTGGATTCAATAAAACCTTTTACTGGACTACCAAGTTAGATATTATTTCTAAAACAAGCAGAATGTTTTAATAGTACAATGTGAAACTTAGGAAATTTGATTTGTCAGTTTATGAACCCTTAAAAAAATACAAACACAAAAGATCAAAAAGACTATTCGACTGTTAAGGTGGAATCCAAAAAGCATAATCTGACCAGTAGTGGTGGGAGAAAAAAAATAGCAATTTTTTCCATGGATACCGAATAGCTGAATAGCATTACAACATAACCTGACACAAAAGCTTTCTGTTTTAACAGGAGTACTGACCTTGTGTGTCTAGAGCCAAACTCCGGTCTTTCTCATGGCCCTGAAAGACATTTGATTGATGGATGGCCCGCATCAACAACCGCAAGTATTCTCTAGTAGGGCCGCCTTCATCTATTGCCCCTTCCCCATTTTCCTCAGCATCAACAAACACTACATCTAATTTTGCTTGTGGGTTGAATCGTCGCCGCTTGACAGCTTGCAGGCTGCACTGTAGTATGTTTTCTCTGAACACATTTATTTGGTTTGCTGTTGGGCAAATGTTTCCATCAATTTTGCTTTGCAGTTTTTTTAGAATGGTCTGTAGGTCAACCCTGCAAGAGACAAAGATTGGATTGTTTTTAGTCAAATGCTGAACATTATGGTATATTTTAGAATATTGCTAGTTGCATAAAGCCCCGCTCACAGGGACTTCCAGTCACAAAGCAACCTCGTCCCATTATTTTTAAATGAAGAGTTGGTGGCTTTGTGTGTGTGTGTTTATGTTAATTTGCGAATGCATAAAAAGTATTTTTTTTAACTGTAAGTAAATAAGGATATATAGGAACATACTCATCTAGGGCCACAGACCTCCCTTGATCTATTAGGGATAGATCTACAATGTCTGATTGCTGGGGAGATGGAGAACTAAGTGGTGTCTCTTCATCAATATCAATGACAATTGGCTCTGTAGGTTGGTCTTCAAAATTAAAATGAATGAATGGAGTCTGGGCTGTGAACAAAGCCACAGAAGGCTGTACAGAGGGCAGAGCAACTGGAGACTGGACTCGGGATAGAGCGACTGAAGACTGGACTGGGGATAGAGCCACTGGAGACTGGACTGGGGATAGAGCCACTGGAGACTGGACTGGGGATAGAGCCACTGGAGACTGGACTGGGGATAGAGCCACTGGAGACTGGACTGGGGATAGAGCCACTGGAGTCTGGACTGGGGATAGAGCCACTGGAGACTGGACTGGGGATAGAGCCACTGGAGACTGGACTGGGGATAGAGCCACTGGAGACTGGACTGGGGATAGAGCCACTGGAGTCTGGACTGGGGATAGAGCCACTGGAGACTGGACTGGGGATAGAGCCACTGGAGTCTGGACTGGGGATAGAGCCACTGGAGACTGGACTGGGGATAGAGCCACTGGAGTCTGGACTGGGGATAGAGCCACTGGAGTCTGGACTGGGGATAGAGCCACTGGGGATAGAGCCACTGAAGACTGAACAAAGGGCGAATCCACTGGAGGCTGGGCAACATTTACAGGGTCACAGTCTTTTTCCTGAAACGAAAAGAACACAGAACTATAATGACAAAACTGTGATTTAATAAGTAGTGTTGTGTTAAAATTGTTGATTTCTCAAATTTAATAAATTCTCATTTAGACAATCTGATTCTTAAATCCCAAGAATTAACCTTTTACTCTATGCTGAGTATGCTCTATTCTGAGTTAAGCTTGAAGCACACTTTATGACTAGCTGAATCATTCTAAGAAGGAACTCAACAAATTTGAAGACTATATACTTACACTGGAAAAGATTCCAAACACTTACACACAGACATTAATGTAGACTGTAATCACAGACTGAACACACCTGTACTGACTCTATACATTCGGGCATGATGAGTTATAATCTGTCGTGTACTGGATTTTATTTGGTAAATGTTTCCATCTTAGTTTATGTGCATGTTTTCATGCAAAATGCACATAAAAATAGGTGGATGGACACATAGCGAGGTTTCAAACATGCAAGACCGATGGAGAGGGGGTTTGTAGTCACTAATAATACAAATTTCAACTGATAAAAATGTTTATTTAATGTTATCCATGTTATATTTCAACTTAACTAACAATGTGAACTTTTAAAAATATCCATTATGTCATCAAGTTTTAAATGCATCATTATGCATGAATTCTAGAAGAGTCTTTAGACTTTAGAGTCTTTACAGGCTTTCCTGTACTCAAACAGTAGAGCGTTGGCGCTAGCAACGCTCATGGGTTCGATTCCCAGGGAAAGCAAGAACTGACAAAATGTAAAATGTGTACCTTGAATGCAATGTAAGTCGCTTTGGATAAAAGCGTCTGCTAAATGCATAAATGTAAATGTCTTTACATGCAAGACCCATAATTTGCAGATCAACATACTACTTATTTCTCTCAGGCTAGTAGCAAATTAAATTAAATTAAATGTGGAGGATATTAACTGTGAAAAGATGATTGACAGGCCAGTTTATGGTGTCCGTTAAAGACACAGTTTTATGACTGGAAAGTATGTCCCAAAGCTTGCCTACTCTTGTCTCGCACACTCAAAAGTATGTACTTTTTCTTCACAAAAAGAGCACATACTTTTAGGGCATGGAATAATTAGTCAAACTGGGACGCAGGGATTCTTAACAAGCCTTAAGATCAAATTTAACAGGGACAATCAGGACAAAAATGATGTTAATTTATCAATAAAAGGTAATGCATATGGCCAAATTAAAATCATTATGAAAAAAAAAACTTGCTCAAGTCATACTGTGGTAGTAACTTACCAGATTATCAAAAGGTGATGTCCAAAGGACATACAATGTACAGAACGGTTTGATTCCATGATCTGAAATTGACCCAGTAGAAGTGCTCTCTATAGCATTTGAAGAAGTAGCTTCCTGGATTCTGAACACCTCACTGGCCATTTCATCTTTTCCAATAAAATCAAACAAGACCTAAAAACAAAGAGCCCATGATGGCAAATATTAATAAAATAAAGAAATCCAGAAATGAGGAAAAATAACTAAATAAAACATCTATGAAAAAAAACCTTAATCCTTCTTCACAATGAACGTCTTACTTGAATTGGATCAGACATGATGAACTTCCTCTTATTCACATCTCCATTTGGATATTTGGCTTTCAGATATTCTCCATCTAGAGGTTCAACACGGGCTGCCATTCGCTGGCGTCTTTCCTCAATGGCCTAAAAAAAATATGTATATGTATATATACAGTATATATAAAGAAAATTAAACAATAAAATATTTAGTGGCAGCACTAACCTTTTTGCGCTTTTCTTCCAGAACCTCATAGCAGCGCCTCCTTCTGTCCTGCAATACCATATATGTAATACACATTTTTGTTTTAAACAAAATTGAACCTTGGCAAGCAAACTGCGAATAGTCAAAAATTACCTTTTCTATATCTGCCAACAAAGAAGCATTATATTCTTCATCTTGCTGGGAACGTACAGCTCGCCACTCCTGAAGGAAATAAAGTACAACTATGAGTCACAAATCAGTCATATTTACAACCATTGACAACATCAAAAATAACTTCACTCACACACAGATTTACAGATTCTGTAGTCTCAGCACTGAAGGAGGTTTCATCAAGTGCTGTAGTGCTGGATGATTGTTGTGAGTTCTGGGGAATGGCTGTGGATGGTGTCATTACCTAAGAGAAGACAAAAAAATATAATGACAAAGAATTTGTTAGAGCCACTGCACAGTAAAGAAGTTACTTGAACTGTCACCTAACATTAAATGTGCACTGTGCATAAAGGCCATTTCAACTGAACATGTCTTAAAGAAATGGCTCGTTCATTTGTACATCTAGGGCCAGATTTACTAAACAGGACAAATTAGCATAAAAACAGAATCCCATAAATGCACTGATGGATTATACAGTTCTGTGGGTGATTTACATAAAATTACATTAAATAACTTCACTCACACACAGATTTACAGATTCTGTAGTCTCCGCACTGAAGGAGGTTTCATCAAGTGCTGTAGTGCTGGATGATTGTTGTGAGTTCTGGGGAATGGCTGTGGATGGTGTCATTACCTAAGAGAAGACAAAAAAAATACAATGACAACGAATTTTTTAAGAGTTACTGCACAGTAAAGAAGTTACTCGAAACGTCACCTAACATTAACCCCTGGTTTCACAGACAAGGCTTAAGGCTAGTCCCAGACTAAAATGCATGTTTGAACTGTCTCAACTGAAAATATCTTGCTCTGACAGATGTTAAAATATGTCAGCTCCATTGTTCTGTCACAATATGCACACATGTAACATTTTCTTGCACATCATTTTAACTAAGGCCTATTGGCTTAAGCTAAGCCCTGTCTGTGAAACCGGGCCTTAATGTGCACTGTGCAGAAACATATCATTTGTATTAAAGTTAAATTAAAGGCCAATTCAATTGAACATGTCTTAAAGATATCTCTCGTTCATTTAAACATTTAGGGCCAGATTTACTAAACAGAACAAATTAGCATGAGAACACAATGCACTGATGGAAGTGTAAAGTTCTGAGAAATACTAGTACATTGACGAACATTTGTGAATCACATCATAAAGTTTGGTTATGACAAAGGAGGGTTGTGCTGGAGCAAAAGTAAATCTGGCCCTTGGACTTTGTTTAACATGTAGTGATAGTCATACCTGTGAAACTTCAGCTCTTGGAACTATATAGAGCCTGCTCTTTCCAATTGCTTTTTTTAGGTCTTTCACACTATTTGCATGCACTTTTTCTATCTTCCGTCCTTTTCCTGCTCTTGCCAAATGAAAACCTATTAAGTTTAAATTCACAGTTGGGTAGCATTGGCAGACAAAATTGTTTAATTCAGACAGAGTCCAATTTAATTGAATTTTTGATCGTTGGATTCCTCTCCCTGTTGTTTCATGCAGTGGTCTACCTACAAAATTGAAAATACACATAAGCAACATAAAATAAACAACAGCTCATCAGCTAATCATATACTGTATGTAATAGATCAGGTTTAATATACAGATCACTACCAAGTTTGGTTAACAATAAGTAACATTTCCTGTTTTTAAAAGGATTATTTTCCTGTATTTAAAATACGTTTATGCCCACCAAGAAAATACAATAAGAAAGTATAATAAGAAAATCATTGCAGTGTAGAGAGCTCCATTGATTATGAGTTTTTGAAAGTGTACTATTTTGCATACCTCAAAATGACCTAAAGTAATAAACAGCTTCAATGATTATAATGCCAGCAATCTTTGCTCACTTTTTTAAGGTTGTATTAAGGTTTTTCATGCTAACTACAAAATAAAAAGTTTTTGCTTTAATAAACTCATTGAAATGTGCGGCTAAATCCAAGTGACTATGATGACCATAGCAATGGATGAAACAAAACAATCTGATACTGTGTGTCAAATCAAATGATCTGTGCATTAAGTCTTAGAGTGTAAAAGCTAAATTATAGAAAAAAATAAGAGTTCTCAATACTTGTTTTTATGATCTGTCATGACAGTAATTTCTTTTTATGAATAAACAGGATAAGCTAATGTTTTGAGCAACCTCCGTTACAAAATGGTTTTGAAATTTATTTTGGAATTACAATTCAAATAACACTGTGTTACATCTGAAATCCTTATGTATCAAGTATTTATTTACCCAATCCCATGTTCGCAACCCGTTCAAGCTCTGTTGCAGATGGTAAAATCTCAATATCTGGGCCAGAGAGGAGGAAAAGGTGTATTTGCCAGACAGAATTTTCTTGCCTTCCCGGTGGTCCTGGCATACACAAAAATACACAGTTAAATAATATCTTAAACATTGTTAAATCACTGTTAATTATGCAAATGGCTACCATAGCAAAGCCCGACTTACTGTGAAGTCCTTGGACCCGACGCCGGAAAAGGCGTCTAGTTGAAGTAAGGAGGTTGTTATTAGTGTTAGCTGAGAGCTGCTGTCTGGCTCTTGAGATGCTGTTAAAAATTCTGTCAAAGATCGCTGGCGGCATCTCTTGATCTGATGACATGGTAGGCTGAGAGAAACATTGCATTTGGTAGAAAAAGTTTTAAAAAATGTTTTAACAGAAAATAAAAAAATACGTAATAAATTGCAAGACAGAAAACAATGTGATAATGAACCAAATTAAAATTAAACTTAAATATTACATAGATTTGTGTGGATGAGCATGTACAGAATTGTCAAAATCTGAAGCTGTGTTAAAATTATTCAAATAATTGTTTTACTAAATATATACTGGTTTAAAGTGGATTAAATGACTGCAGGTTTGTCTCCTTGGAGTGAGATGTCATAAATACAGATTAAAAATTCACTGATTCCTCTTGTTCCTAAATCATATTATATTATTTACTACAAATGACATGTACTCGAGCCTTTCAGTAATTGTATTACTCCTGTTTGGTTAAAAGGATCTTGTCCTTTATACACATTGTTCTAAAAAAACATTTTTAATTCGAATCAAGAACTATTAGAATTTGTAACTGGCTTAAAACTTTTAGAAAAAAAGAACATACGGTAAACATACACGTTTTCTCAAACGCATCTTGGCCAGGAATTCAATAATGCCTAAAATATCAAGATTTGTTTTCTGTTTTCATACGCTTCTGTCTTGAATCATGTCTGCACAGACCGATCAGCTTATGACATTAAAGTAAGCAACAGGAAAACACATACTTTTGCAGCAATGCCACATTTTTATATTTAAAGATAACAGAAAATTGTACATTACCAGCATCGAACATGACGATGCATGGAGCCAAACAAGATAGCTATTTTATTAGCATTGGTCAAAACGCTCCTAGTGCTACACGAAATCCAAAGACATTTCCACTGACATGTAAGTTAACGTTAACGTTAATGACTAACGTTACATGGAGCAAATCCAACCATATGTACATGGATAAACGTTTAAAATCTAAAAAATAGCCTACACCAGATAACTTCTGTCTGATATATCACTTTGATATTACAATTTATCAAACATTTCGACAAAATGGAAAACATAAACGTATTTATTATGGGGCTAATAAGATGATTCCGACGGCATCTCTGACAACTTACCTTAGAAAACGGTTAATTGACAACGCAAAACAATCCCGTGATTTGCAAATAAAGCAGTTACTATTCCAGTGTTAATAACTTACACAGTTACTTTTACAGTAATTTTATTACCTGAAAACCAGGTCAGGCCGTTGGCGTTGCCGTTCTGAGATTTTTTGGCGCGCTCCTGAAGACAAAATGTTTAGAAAAGGCGGGGCTTAGCAAAGGGGTGGTTTGAGTACACAATTAAGATATCTATAAAATAATTTCGACTAGTCAGAATGTTCATTCAAGATATCTACACTGAAATTCTTCCTAGTCACAAAGCTGAATGCAGATATCTCCAAAGAAAGATCCTCCTAGTCAAAAAGCAGACTGAGATATCTATAATTAAATTGAATATATCTTTAAATGAGTTTTGACTAGGATGAGTTCCAATTCAAGATATCTCTAATTAAGTTTTGCCCAGTCAAAAATCCAGTTCAAGATATCTACAACTGTAATTTGACTAGTAATAAATTACTTAAAGATATCTACATATGTATTTCTGGATATCTTTAAAAACGATGAATTAATGATATCTCCAATTTGATTATGACTAGACAAAACCCAGTTAGAGATATCTAAAATTATAATTTGCACTAGTTACGATTAAATTAGAGATATCTCTAATTGAATTGCCACTAGTGCAAATTATAATTTTAGATATCTCTAATTAGAAATCCAGCGGAAATAAATTTTTTACAGATATGTTTATTTACAATTTCTACTAGTCAAAACTCATTTGTAGATATCTGAAAATATTTTCCAACTGAAGTCAATGGAAGAATATGACTAGTCATAAAAGCATTGTAGATATCTGTAATGTATATTATGACTAGTCAAATTAAAATTGCAGATATCTTCAATGCATATTATGACTAGTCACAATCACATTGTAGATATCTTAATTGCAATTACGACGAGTCAAAATTGCAGAAGGGATATCTGGAACTGGAATTATGACTAGTCAAAACTGATTTATGACTAGTACGGGAAGGTGTATTTAATGCTAAAACGGCTTGCCATACAGTTGTGCCTGTCTGACGATCCATCATATTAACCTTCAATGCCCTGGCACAACGAGCGTCGATCTCCTCCGATCTATACAACTGTTGTTTCATCAAAGATTCCTGATTTGAACGAGAAGTTTGAATGAATGACTCACTCATAAAGACAGTAACTTGCCACCATCTATGGCCGTTTTACTTTAATATTTAATCTATGACATGGAAGGGCAATGTCGGTCCTGGGTGCAGAGTTTAGCTCCTCCAACCCTAATCAAACACACCTGAGCCAGCTAATCATCATCTTTAGGATTATTAATACTGCTGCTAGGTTTTTATCGGAGTAGACGCTATGACAGCGGCACTCCAGAAACGACGTTTCCTATCCATGATCTTTTCAATAATTTTCATGTTGGTATATTAACAATTGAAGCTATATTTAAAACATCAATCCTAAAGTAATATGCAATTATGTAGCTATGTAAATGAACACAATAAGTATGTAGCCTAATAAATCACTGCATCAAATCCACCTGGTTTCTGAAATCTCCTCTGTACACTATCATTTTCATTAATCTTTTGTGATATTGTAGCTACATCTAGTCTTAGAATTAATTTACCAGGCTACCTATATGATCACTTAACAACAATTAAGAAAATATTTGAGGATGGCGTATTTAACTGTAACCGATCGCCAGGTAGGCTGTGCGTTTTTTTTCTTTTCTTTTACAAAGGCTACATGTTCATTTTAGTTATGTAATGGAACTAAAAAAAATTATATATATATATATATATATATATATATATATATATATATATATATATATATATAAAGGTAGGCTGTGTGTAGCGTTGACAGTTCAAAGTCCTAAATTCTTCAGACGGGTAAAATGGCCGTTTTTAACTTAATTTGTGCAAAGAAATGTAGTGTTTCAAAACTGCAAGATGTTTTAGAGCTGCCTTAGCATATTAACATCATGAGCCAAGTATTGTTTAACACCAATTACCAGCGTGCACATTAAAATGTAGGCTATCTCAAAAAAGAGGAATTTAATTATTTGTATATGTCCAGAGTTCAGATAGCTTTACTGCTTAAAAGTCCGTGTAACGTTTAAAATAAACTGTTGTCTTCCCCAGTACGAGTGAGCATCAGTAGCTTGAGTCGTGACGTCAACTCTCCTCTTCGATTGATTGGCTAGAGGAGGAGCTGTCAATCTAGAACTAGTGGACCAATGGTGACGCTTAAGCCCGCCCTAATTTACATGAAACTCGAACTGCAACATTTGGAAGAGCAAGCGCAGAACATGGAAAGAAGAGCGAAGAGAAAAACAGCACAAGCGTATACAAAAAAATTAATTATGAGCAGAAAATGAAAGAGAGCGCAAATTACAGAGTAATAAAACCAAGGAAAACATAATTTTAAAGAAAACATGAACAAGTTTGAGGGTTGGGGAAAAATATTTTTTTTATGTGTTTAAAGTTTTTATTCATGCTTGTTATTTTTTTATTCACGCTTATTATTTTTTAATCCGTGGCCGCAATAGATTTGGCGGGATTTTGATCCCATACTGATGGCAAACTGGAGTCCAAACATGGCATTCAGCATGGTGGATTTCCCAGAGCTCTGAATCCCTAAAACTGTCAGCACAAAGACTCTCTCTCTCAAGTTTACGCGCCAAATCATGGGCGCCGCCATAACTCTACTTAAATGCACTTCATTTCCGCCGGAAGAGGTTTGCACACAGCGTCTGCCGGTGTACACAGCGACGGTTCCACGACTGGAGATGGCGTTACTATCCCCCACCCGAATTCAGTGCAGAACACTAACATGACGACGTGGCCCAGCATAACGTACAGCGAGATTTGCTCCTACTTCGTGCAATCCATGGCAATAGATGGAAAAGCAATTGGACAATCTGAAAGCCGTCGAGGCATATCAATATCTGCACAGCAACAAAGTCGGTTGTGTCATGTCATACACTAGATAAAACAGACATAACGTGCAAATAACTATTAGTTTATGTCCGTAGTAATAGCAAATGTATCTGTGTGTTACTTTAATGTTTCTTTTAACATAATAACAACAATTGTGGCTAAATAAGTGTTTGCAGTTTATAGCTTAATCAGGGAAGACATTTACATGATTATAGGAAATAAAAGAAGCAAGTTGTTGCGGATGGAATACGTGTTTGTATTTGGAAAACGGACTGTAACCTATAACATGACTTACTGCTGAGCTATAAATAAAGACATGATCTCTTTTGCAATTATCCTTATGACTCTGCATTGTTTTACCTGCTGTGTACCAACCAACCATTTTACCGGTTAAAATACCTTTAAATGTCGAAACTAACCCCTTAAAATGCAGTAGCCTATTCTACTTACAACAAAACGATTGAAGCCTCTACTTATTGCAATAAATAATGCAATCACTTTTCGCCACCGTGCCGGATCTCCGGCGTGCGGCCGTGAGAAAAATATTTTCCCGATTCATTTTTGTCCAGCTTTAACGTGTTAAAATATTTAATGCAAACGCAACATCTGTTCTTTCTGTCATCCTTTTGCTAGGGTTATGACCATTCTCTTATTCACGCAAATGCTTTAACCACTCATGCGCGACAAGACAAAAGAGAACGCGCTGTCAGTGAATGTCCTCCTGACGATCCGAACTATATCATAGGCTTCTTAGCTAGAGTGCAAAGTGTGTGTGTGTGTGTGTGTGTGTGTGTGTGAGCCATGATGATAATAATTAGGCGATCGAACTGTGTGTGAGAGAGAGGCGCGGGCGCGATACTGTGTGAGTGTGTTTGTGTGTAAACAATGGAGCGCATGGACCTCTTCGTAGCTGGTTTGCGGTCGTAGAACTCTCTATCTAACCACTCGTTCAGGTGCTTTCTCGAGTGTTTACAACCAACTATCACACACATCGTTCCCGAACCACCTTTCTTCATGTTGTAATTGTTATGTCACTGCGATATCAGCGCTTTGTCGAAGCTAGCTAGCAAAACAAACCCAGACCGCCAGAACGGAAGTGGGTTGCATCGACGGGAGGAGTTTAGGATGTAGAGCGGAAACGGCTCATAAACTTGTGTATACGTTGTACTTACTTAATATTGTTGATTGGTAAATGCCCACTAGGGGGAGTTGTTGTAATATGTGCGGAACTGGTACACATGTACAGTAAGAGGTGAAGAGAAAGTCTGTATGTGAGCATGCAATGCTTAAATAAAGAGACATGTGCGTTTCCTGAATTTGATCTCTCTTGATGTGACTACACAACAACATTGAAGAGAAGAAAGTCAAACAGGTTTCAAACAACATGAGGGTGAGTAAATTATGACCCAATTTAATAAAAGTAAATGTACTTTCATGGCATCCCTAGCTGAAAATCAGTGCCTAAAGTGCATTTATATGCGACAAAAATGCTATATTAAATTTTAAAGAATTATATATATATCATTTTTGTTTCTGTCCTATTTTATTTATTAATTTATTTATCACAGCAAAACATTCAGGTGAATCCTTGGGCTGGATTTGTCCCTAAACTCAATTATCTTCTATCAGGACAGAGAAATCAAGGTGCAGAGAGCAGGAGACAAAGTGATGGAAAACATGAGTTTGAAAAAAGTTGGTTTATTGAATAATCTCATGACTATGTTTCAGTGCTCAAAATTTATTGTTTAGATGTCTGACTAGTGCACATCCAACCAGAGTTATTATAGCCAAGCAACAGCAATGGAAAATTACTGCATCACAACATCGTCCTGTGATGTTAAAAACCTTGACTTGATACATTCTCTTATCTCTTATTCATGAAGACAAACATCCCTTGAAAGCACACAATCATAAGATAAAACAGCAATAGCAATCATTGCAAGAGCAAGAAAATATGTAATAGGCCTACTAAATACAAAAAAACCCATAAAATTATAGAAATTAATAATACAATTATTCAATTATGTAAATCAAAAATGAATAATATGAATAAATGATACAATTATCTAAATCAAATAATAATGCAAATAATAAATGATTAAATTATCAATCAAATGACAACTACATAACTGACTAATGATTATAAGTGATTAAAAATTAAAATCATAATCAAAAACAAAGAAAATAATAGGACAACAACACAGAGGTTGCTATTGAGATTTCTTATACAATGTATAAATTATCCAAGCTCTGAATAGCATCTTCTTGTGTGTGATCTCTCCATTCAGGTGGAATCTCACCATCACCCTGGAATGTTTTATTATAACAATCTTCCAGGTCTTTCTGGAATCTGCACACAAACCATTTCCAGTAGGACAGTGCAGAGTCATCAGGGGTGATGCTCCACTTCGCATAATCTCCTCCTGCTTTTCTGTATTCTTTATATGGAAACCTCACATCAGATACATGAAATCTTTTATCACTTGCTACTGAAGTTGTGCAAAAATTCGCACTGAGATTCTCTGTTTGATGATAATGCCATCCATTAATTCCATCCACTCGATGGAAAGCAACACTGTGATCTCCATCATGGTTTTCTATGGTGTTGGTGCAGACGGCTCCACAGAACGGACACTGAACCCAACAGCACTGACAGAAGTGATCAGTCAGAAGCTCATCTGGCCTGAACTTATCGTCCAGCTTTACTGGAAAAGTGTCTGTGAATCCCCTGCTGATGTCCAATATTATATTAGGAAGTTCTTTCTTTATCACATCATCTAGGAGTTTCACATCAACATCGTCATGTTTCACTCCACTGAGGTCTTCTTCAGAGAAGATCAGCTCATCTGAGAGCTCCTGTGTGAAACTCTTCAACCACAAACCAACATCTCTGTTCACTTGAACATGTTCAGTAGATTCATGTGCAGCTCCCATGATCTTCTGCTGCAGGAGTTTAATGTTCTCCTCCATCTTGGGTAAAACACTGACACTGAACTTATCAGTGATGTACTGAATGACTTCATCTCTGATGAAACTCTTGAAGTGATCCCTGGGATGTTTTATGTAGTTCATGTATTTTTCAAAATCCTCCTCTTCTGCCAGTGTCTTCAGGATGTGTTTCTCCAGATTTGATCTGTTTCCATTCAGTGATTCACAGTTTGATGTTATTTCATTAGCCAGATCTCTGGCAGTCTTCTTGTAGACACTCTGCTCAATGGGCTCTTTAAGTTTCTGACAGATGATCTCACCAAAAATAGCAGCTGATGGTGATCCATGACAGTATTTCTGGAAAATACTATAGTACTCTTCTGTCTTCTTCTTAAAATACATTACAGGATCATTGGTTTCTCTAAATAGTCTGTGTTGGTCAGTGATCATCTTGTTTGCTCTCTTAAAGATGGAAAGAACCAAATCCCTGAAGAATTGCCTCTTGAACACATAATTCACTGGTCCTTCCTCATGTTGTACTACTCTTGCCTTGATGTAACCTGTGAGGTGTTGAATGCAGCTCTTGTTGTAGCCCATCTTTGAAATGTTAAATGATTGAATAATTCTGTCTGTCTGCTGAGCAATGTCTGTGACTAATGCTCTTATTTGAACTTCATCTTCTTTAGTTAGAGAACCGCGAACACATTTTTCAGCTGATCTGAAGGTATATGTTAACAATCCACTTGATCTTTTTACCTTTACATAATCTGAAAAACTGGGCACATAGAAAATATCTCTGCTCTCCATCCTTTGGTCCTCAGAAACACTTTTATAGGTGTCACTGAGGATCTCTCTCACATCTCTCATTATATCAATGCCTTTGATTTCAGGAGTATCTGACTTGATCCCATTCACACACTGTTTCCAAAAGAATTCAAACTCTTTATTCAGTGTTTCTTCATCATTTGCTTTATCTTTCAGTTTTAAGGCAAGTTCTTTGCTCTTTTCATAGAGAGTGTTTTCTTGATGTGTCCTCTGAGCATCAATCTTTCTTTTCAGGTCTCGCTGCTGAAGAACCTCATTTAATTCCCTCTTGGTTTCTCTCACAATGTTTTCCTGAAGCTCATTGATTTTGATTTCAAATGATGTTTTCCACTGAATCAGTATATCTTTATCTTTGTCTTTCTCAAAGAATCCAGACATTGATTTTTCCACTTCTTCTCTTGTCTTCTTCAGTTCTCTCTGAAGATCAGTTTCCTCAACCTCATGAATTGCTTTAATTTCTATTTGGTTGTGTAGTTTGTTCTCAGTTTCCATCATGGCACTGCGAAGACTCCAGGTCCACTTGCTGTATTTGGTCTCCAGTTTCCTGTAGGCTGAAATCTCCAGAGAATTTCTGAACCTGAAGACAAATCGTTCATTCAGTAAAGCCTCCCAGAGATCTTTAATACAGTCTTTTAAGTCTATTAGCATCATGCCATGTGAATTTGAGGCATGGAAAGTAATGGTTTTCTTTAGCTCTTGAATGTTCTCGCAGTAGTTTGGGTTTGGTGGTGCCATGGGTGGGCTTCCTTCCCAGAGCTGAGCAAAATACTTCACATCTTTCTGAACATCAAATCTAATGACATCACTGAAACATTCTGCGTCACAGACTTCCTCTTTAGCAGCGAGTTTGGTCATCTCATCCAGTTTATCCTGCAGTCGTCTCCTTCCCTCCATGTTTTTCTCTCCAGCTGCGATGTCTGAGACGTTCTGATGCACAAACACACAGCTGGGATTCAGTTTGACCTTCTTCATCCTCATGAAGGCCTGAACAACAGACTGAAGAATGTCCTGCATCTCAGATAGGTTTTCTCCAAATATGTTGATCAAGGTTAGATTACCAAGACCAACAACAAATGTGGCCAGTTCATTGTCATGATGCTGTATTGATTGTCCAGCCAGTTCTAGAGCTCGAAGACCCTCAGTATCAACAACCAGAATATAGTCAAAGTTCATCTGTGTCTTCATCTCGTCTGAGACTCTGTTCGTCTGTATCTTCATCTTGTCTGAGACTCTGACCAGCTGCATGAAAGCTCCTCTGGTGCACCTGCCAGCACTGACTGCAAACTCGAGTCCAAACATGGCATTCAGCATGGTGGATTTCCCAGAGCTCTGAAGCCCTAAAACTGACAGCACAAAGACTCTCTGGTCTCCCAGTTTCTCTCTGAGTTCATCTATAACAGCAGAGATCCAGATTACAGGAACATGAGCAGCATCTCCATCCATCAGCTCCAGTGGAAATCCAGAGATCATCATCTCTGCTGCGAGACTCGGGAGAGAAGAGAAGTGAAACTGCAGGTCTTTCTTGTTCTTCTTTACAGATGAACATGATTCATAGATCTGGCCGATCTCCCTCATGATGTGCTCCAAACCAAAGGATGCAGCTTGAAGATCCTCAGATATTCTCTCAAGGTCAGTTTGTTCTGCTTTGAATTGCTCAGGTTTTACATTGTTCTCTTTCAGTTTTAAAACTGCTGACCACTTTTCATCATAATTGTGATGTAGAGCAGAAAGGTCAGCAGATGTGTGTTCATCTAAGAGGATTTTGAGCCATTTAAGAAAAAACATCGTTTCACGTTGAGTATGGGAGTTCATATTTCTATTAAAGTGCATCATAAACTCACTGATATCACATTCATGCTGTTGTTCACGGATTTTCTTCATTTCTGTTTTTTTTCCACTTGTTTTCATTTCTATATTATCTCCTTGAGGTCGATGTAGTTCTTTGTTCTTCTGACTCCACTGATGCCACAGTTTCCCCTGATGAGGCAGAAAGGATTCTTTGATTTCTGTCAGATCTTTATCCTCCAGTAAACTCATCATCTGCTGTGCTGCTTCTCTTCCTCTCCTGCAGTCATCGTCATCTTCCTCATCTACTCTGATGTCTGAGTGTTTGGACAAATCTTCAAGTCCGAAAGTGGAAGATGATTCTGAGAGACAATCATTTATGGCTCTTCTGAGCTCTTCAGATACATCTGACTGATTTCTGTCTTTCAGGCCAATCTTGAATTTCCCTTTCTTCATCTTAGTTAAAGCAGATTCATCCTCTGTTAAAAGACAAATGAGTGGCTTTGAGTCCTTGTAAAGTTGTTGAAGTTTTATCATGTTTTTGTCATTCTTGTCCAGTTGTGGTAGAAGAACAACATTGACTGAGGCCATTTCAGTGAGGATCTGCAGCTGTTTCTCATGATCTCCTGCATCACCGTGTAGATTACAGAACGCAACACAGTCAGCAAATGTATCCGTGTTTTTCCCAGAGGGGCAGAACCAGGCGATCTCCACCACTCCATCCATCAGGACTCTGGTTCTGCTGCTGCCTGGGCAGTTCCTGTGGAAGAACGTGTTGTGTTGCTCATTGATCAGACTGTTCATCAGCTGAGACTTAGATGAAGACACAGAGCCAAACCTGAAGAAAGACACCATTGGAGTTTCTGCCTTGTAGACCGGCTGGGTTTGAATGATGGTTTCATTGTTGATGTTTCTCATCTTCCAGCTCTTGTTGATTTGTCTGAATGTCCAGAGAGGAAACTCAATCTGTTGTGTGAATGGATCAGGAACAAGCAGAGGCAGAGCGTACTGACACTGGGACAGTTTAGTGACCATCAGCTGCTTCAGGAAACCATCAGCACAATGAAACACAGCCATCTGAACATCCATCGGGTGAATGCGATCAGATTGACTTGTTCCATACATTGACACAGCTTGGAATATATCACCAATGTCTGCAGATGTGTCAGTGTCTCTTTGTTGTATTTTATCATGTTCATTGGCCTTATTAACATGAATGTATCTTGCTCTGTAGTCCATCATCAGTAGTTTTTGTATGAAAGTCTGAACCAGCTCCTCTTCAGCACAAGACTCATGGGACTGTAATGAATGTTCAGTTATCTGAAGAACGTCTTCAGCTCTCAGTTCATTGTGGCGCCCGTGAAGATGAAGTCTGCGAAATAGATGTGCTGTGACTCCTCCATTGTTTTCTCCCTGTTTAAAACACAATGATACAGTAAACTAAAACAAAAAAATTATATATTATCATTAATAAAAACAATAATATATTTGTTTTATTCAGGGTTTTCTATAGCTGTTTAAAGTGTTATATATATGTAAACGTTTATTCAGATAACTATGAATAGAAAGGTAGAATGTGAACTAGAGCTTTTGAGGGTTAAAGTGTTATAATGTAATAATGGATGAATAGTAAATATTATAATAGTGTTAAAATGGATGAACATGAACTAGTTTTCTCCAGGTTTCTCTGAACACTCACCTGTAGTGAATCATCAGTTTCAGTGCAGATCTTCATCTCCTCCTCTTTCTCTCTCTCATATTCCTCTCTCCACTCCTCTCGTCTTCTCTTCAGTTCATCTTCATGCTGTTCTTCAAGGAGTTTCTGTTTCTCTTCAAAAGTCTTTTGTTGATCTTCTCTCTTGTTTCTTTCTTCTTTCAGTCTCTTCTCTAAATCCTCTAGCTGTTCTTGTCTTTCTCTTTCTATTCTCTCTTTCTCTCTGACTATTCCCTCCATTTCACTCTTGAGTCTCTGAATCTCTTCACCAGAAATCTGTTTTTCTTTCTCTTCCTCTTCTTTTCTTGTTGTTTCCTCCAGTTTCTGTTTCTCCCTTTCCTCTCTTTCTCTACTCATCATGTCTCTCATCTGCACCTCAGTTTTTTCAATTTCTCTTTTAAATTGTTCTTCTCTCTCTCTGAGTTCTTCTTCTCTTCTCTTTCTCTCTTTCTCGTAACTCTGTATTTCTTCCTCCATCATAATCTTTATTCTCTCTTTCTCTCTGATTATTCCCTCCATTTCACTCTTTAGTCTCTGATACTGTTCATCAGAAATCAGTTTTTCTCTCTCCCACCTCTTTTTATCCTCCTCTTCTCTTCTCTTTCTCTCTTTGTCATGATTCTGTCGTTCTTCCTCGATCTTCATCTTCATTCTCTCTTTTTCTTCTTCATGTTTCTTCATCAGTTCTTCTCTTTCGCTAGTCATTTTCTCCATCCGAATCTTCATCTTGTTTTCTTCTGCTTCATGTTTAGATTGAATATCTTCTTTCTCTCTTTCCATTCTCTCTCTCTCTTGTTTCAGTCTCTCATTAAATTCATCCCAAACTCTCAGTTCTTTCTCTCTTCTTTTCTCATCCTCTTCTTCTCTTCTTGTCTTTTCCTCTAGTTTCTGTTTCGCCCATTCCTCTCGCTCTCTCTTCATCTCCTCACTGATCTCTCTCTCTTTCTTTTTTATTTGTGATTTATATTGTTCTTCTCTTTCTGTATATTCATCTAGTCTTTTCTTTGTCTGATTCTCTATTCTGTCTATTTCTGTGTTGTATTTGATCTGAAGTTTCTCTTTTTCTTGTCTCATTTCCTCTATTTCATGTTTAAATGTCTCTCGTTCTCGTATCATCTCGTCTCGTATCTCTCTCTGAAGTTTTTCTTGTTCTCTTATTTCTCTTTTGAGTTCCTCTTCTCTTCTCTTTCTCTCTTTCTCATGATTCTTTTGTTCTTCCTCCATCGTGATCTTCATTCTCTCTTTCTCTTCCTCTTGTTTCTTCATCAGTTCTTCTCTTTCTCTGTTCAGTTGCTCCACTCTGTCCATCAGGATCTTCATCTGTTGTTCTTGTTGTTCTCTCTCCATCTGTCTGAACATCTTACACGAGTAGAAACTCCCTCCGTTTGCGTTCACCATGTCGTCTATCTTCTCCAGTAGATCAGACACCTGTGTTCGGTCTCCAGTCTGATTATTATTGAACACATGATATCTGTTTCCACACGCTTCAATCAGGTTTCTGATCACAGATCCAGGTTTTCCCAAACACTGATCAATAATTTTGTCCTTCAGATCGTCTCCTCTGGTAAAGAGCACTATGGTGAACATTAAAGACTTCTCACCAAACGTCTCTTGGATGATTTTCACTGATTTTTGTTCTTCTCGAGTGAATCGTCCCAGTGGAACCAGTAAGAGAAACACATGCGGTCCAGGCAGGATCATGGAGATGCAGTGCTTGATTTCTCTCTGGATCTCTTCATTAGTGAGTTCAGTATCAAACAGTCCTGGAGTGTCGATCACAGTCACGCGTCGGCCGTTGATGTCAGATGTTTCTCTCTGACTCTCACTGGTCACTGATTCAAAAGATTGTTCCGCTTTAAAAGCGTTTCTTCCTAAGATGGTGTTTCCTGTTGCGCTTTTCCCAACTCCAGTTTTTCCCAGCAGCACAATCCTCAGATCATCTCGACTCTCTGTTGAACATGCAAAAGAGGAAATACATCAGTTTTAAAGTCTACAGGTGTTTTTTTTTAAGTTTGATTATGTAAGATGTAGTGATGCTTTTTATATCTACATAAACCTGTATTTTTATACGGTCTGCTTGTTTAGCCTGTTACAGTTTCATATTGTCTGGTATTAAGAGGTTTGTTTGTTTGTTATATTGTACTGTATAGTATATGCTATCGGTTGTAGCAATGTTATTGTTAGTGATAATTGGTTCTTGATAATTGACTTCAAAAAGTATATTGAAGAAGAAAAAGGACATTATCAAAGCTTCAGACAGACAGTTTGGTAACACTTAATATAGTGTATTAGACTGATTTCCTGGTGGCCATTACCTTGTGAGAATAAATGTGTCTCTAATGAATGACTTTTCTTTTTCATCTCTTCATATTTCATCAGTTTTTTCATCTGTGCCTCCAGAAATGTCTCTATGGAGAAAAACTCTCCTCTGTTTTCTTCCAGCATCTTCTCAATGTTCTCCATCAATGTGGACACTTGTGTGGTGGGACCAAAGAAATGATGTCGTCCTCCAAAACTCTCAATGACAGACTGTGTTTCTTCATTGAGTTCTGCTGTCTGATGCTCTGAATTCTGCATTATGAGGATCATGATGTGTTTGTTGATTCTGGAGCCGAAGATCCTATGGATCTCCTCCATTTCTGCTTTGTCTTCATCAGTCAGTGGAGGGTCAGGAATGATGAGGAGGAAAACATGAACTCCAGGATCACAGAGAGACACACAGCGGAGAGTCTGACGCATCACTTCCTGCTCTGAGAGTCGAGGGTTAAACAGAGCTGGAAGCTCCACCAAATTGATCACACGACCATGAAGATCCACGTCTGATCTTCTGTCTGTCTGCTGCAGGATCAGCTCTGATATGGAGGATTTTAATGTGCCGTCGCTCCCACACACAACCAGATTCAGCTTCACGCCCTCTGAAACTGATAGAAGAACATTTAAAAACTGTTCATTTATCACTAGAAACATCAAATATCATCACACTCACGTCTTTCTGTGTCCTGTTGCTTCATTGTGAAACACTGTGAAGCTTCAGCACAATCCAGGTGCCGTCCATAATTCATTTGCACAATGTCCTCAAACGTCTGCAGAAGATCATCAGGAGAGCTGCTTCTCTGAAGACTGAAGTGTCTGTTGCAGCATTTCTGAATGATTTTCTGTAGGATATCATTGGTTTCAGTCGGCTCTTGTGTGGTGATCACCATGGTGTGTTGACTAACCTGCTCAGAGAAAGAGTCCAGCACCTTCTCCACACACTCTTGATCTTCTGCTGAACACTGCCCATGTTTGAGGAGCAGAACGATCACATGAGGTCCTGGATCAGACAGAGACACACACTCTCTCACGGTCTTCGTGATCTGACGAAGTGACAGGTGTGTTTCGAGCAGCTGAGGACTGTTGATGATGGTCACGTGTCTGTCCTTCAGTCTTCCTCCGACTCTCTCTACAACATCTGGAGGAGCTTCACTGTCAAACGCTGCTCGCCCTAATACGAAGTTTCCCACTCGACTGTTTTCTGACACACTCTTCCCCAGCAGGACAATCCTCACTGCAAAGAGTAAAATCAGACATTTAATATTCACAATCCTCATATCAAAAAATAACACAGAGCACATGTGATATTAACGGTGATATGATGGCAAGATCAAAATCACAGATCAAAATAACCAGAATCTACCAGTAGAAGGTGTTTTTGAAGTTGACTTCAGGTTCAAAGAAGTTGCTAGCCCGTGAATGTTGAACCACGTCTGCGATATTTGAACCTAATGGCGGGCGTACACAGTGCGAGTTCGGACACGGGAGGTCGTGAGATATTTCACACGTTACGAGTCAGTTAACCTGATAATCGCGTCAAAGCAGCTGGCACAAGACTGTCCTGCACGAATTTATCCCGAGCCGGCGGCAATCACGTGAGCTTTCGCCCTGAACACAGAGACCGGAGCAGCGGAGCTTTCAATGTTGCAGGTAACTATTGGTATATTAAATTTACAGAAATGTGTGTGCAAATGATTTGTTGAAAAGCAAAGAATAGTAGCCATTCCTTTCAACATAAATAACTTGCGGGAGAGAGAGAGAGAGAGAGAGAGAGAGAGAGAGAGAGAGAGAGAGAGAGAGAGAGAGAGAGAGAGAGAGAGAGAAGTGTGTGTGTGTGTGTGTGGTTGTCTTTGAAACAGTGTTTACCAAAACACATAATTCGTTGCAAAAGAAAACCATAAACAAAGCTGATCAGGCGATATATATTTCATCATCATAAAGTGTTTGATAAAAGTCATCACTGATCAAAAGAGGTTACTTGTTATTTACTTGTTCGTTTTTACCATCAATATATATATTTTTTGCCACAGATCAAACATTCTGAATTTTAATTTCTAAATACATTGTGAGAAAAAAAAAAAACTATAGACACACACTAACATCAAGAATTAGCATATAAATCTCAACAACGGTTTAATGCAGAAATGCATGCTTTGGGCCATTAGTTTTATAATATGGTGACTCCCACCATGTATTGCTGCTTGAAGCATGTCACCATTGTTGAGATTCATATGTATTTTAAAAATCACAATTTACAATATCTGATCTGTGGCAAGAAATTATTGTTGGTGAAAATAATCTATTAATAACATAAACATTTTGGTCAGTGATGAGATTAGTGAATCATTCTACTTCATGATGGTTAAAACTATATCACCTGATCATCCTTGTTTCTGGCTTCTTTTGTAACAACATATGTGTTTTGGTAAACACTGTTAAAACACAACAAATTTGCATAAAAAAGCCAAGAGTCAAACGGCCCAACTACAGGAAACACTGATCACCATAATGGTGGTATTACAAAACCTATTATTTCCAATAATACATCAACATCTACACCTCTATTAATTATCAATAAGTAGTTAGTAATAAGTGAAGCTGGTAATGCTGTTTGTGGAGTTGTTTAATCCTCCTCTGCTAAGATCTCAGAGATTTAATGTTGTCTTTTATCTTCAGTTGATTTCATCTCCGGAAGTCAGTTGTATCTTGTGTTTCTCTTTTCTTCAGTGATTCTGCTTTTTATCACTAGGCGTCTTCAATGCTCAATCATCACTCAATTAATCACTTAATTATCTCATAAACTCTAACACTGCTTCAGTGTTACTTTTAACACCCTGCTGGTGGTTCCCATATAAACTATATCATTTAAACACCAGGGATTTTACTGTGCAGGAGCGATTCTATTCCATAGTATAATTTGTTTAAATAATTCACATAAGGTCCCAAGAATATGTTTTTTGTTTGTTTGTTTGTTTGTTTGTTTGTTTGTTTGTTTTCTAACAAAACTTAAGATAATAGGTGGATTAATGCATAGTGTGATGAATGTGGTGTTGATGGGCAAGCCAATGCCAGAATAAAGGCTATAATGGCTAAAATATAAACAAAAGAATAATGATAAAAGAATAATGAATATCAAGTCTCTTTCTGGCAGAAGTGTGAAAGGTTTGTCGATTGACAACAATAGAGCAAGAATGGAGCAGGTCTCTTTGCTAGACATCATACAATATACTGCAAATGGATGTTTATGCGGCAATACAATATTTGATAAGCATCTTATCTGCCTTCTCTTAAAAACTCCCCTGACATGCTCTTACAGAATGCTTGGTATGATGCATAAGTTTAGAGATATAATCCTCAGATTTGAAATGAAGCATGACCACACTACACTTCACTAAAGTGGCTTCACTTTAGGTGTGATTATAAGTTACTATATTCACATAATATGTTTTTACATTTAATAAATATATTCTTCATATTTTTTTTTCATTTAATAAATATATTCTTAATATTTTTTGTTTTTATGTTTGAGCTTATCTCCATATTAATAACAGTCTGTGTGAGTACTGTCAACTCTCAAGTGTTGTCTTTCTAAATACATGTGTATTATGTCTTTTCAGAATGATTTATGAGCAGCAACCTTTTTATTTTGGGTATGTTATTAATACTCCACTTAACTGAATGGTGGGTGTGGTCTGGTAAGGGGTTAATTACTTGTGTTTTGATAGGGATAAATTGCCCATAATTTCGAAACACTCTTCATGCATTTAAGTAGATAAAGACTTACTCATAGGAGGTTCGTCTTTGCTGTGTCTCCTGCGAGGAGGATTGTGAGCAACAATAACTGTATTGAAACACAAGTCTTGCATTATATTTGACTCATTCACAGTAATTGTATGAAAATATTCTTGATTAATTATTTTAAACTTTCATCCCTCTGATTCTCACCAGTGGTCGACATGTTGCTATTCTGTTTTCTTCTTTCTTTATTCTTCAGTCGATCATCTTCTCTGGTTTCTCGTCTGTCTGATCATCATCCTGTAAGAGATTCATCACAGTCCTGAGACTCAGAAAATGTGCAGTGGACATCTGCACATCTGTGGATGGATGTGAGCAGAAAGAATAGGGACTAGCTGTCTCACACTTAAGTGTGATATTGTACAGCTGATCATCTTCTCTGACTCCTGACATGTGATGTCTGTCTCTTCGTCGTCCTTTGAGAGATTTTAGGGATTTTCAAACAATAACACAGTCTATGTTCATTAGTCCGGACAATGTAAAGCTCCATCACAGTTCTGCAGTTTTGTGCATGTTGTTGCTGTTCAGTTTTCTATTTAACTAGGTTGAACTGGGAATCTCAACTAGAACATAAAGCTCTTCCTGAAAAGCTTCTGTGTGTCACAGGTTTGATTCCCACTGAACAAACACACACTACTGAAACACTCTCATATAGGATAGAAATACGCCACTCTTGGAATTACATAGAAAAGATTAAACTTAATTACACATCAGCAAATATTCATGCATCTCAACACTTAACACAATCTTTTATACACAGATTTGTTTCTGATACGGTTCTGTGACAGAAATGAAAGTGAAACTCTCTGATGTCCCTGCATGCTCACAGAGTTACTTGCATTCATGGTTAAAATAAGCTCATGTTTTAGTGCATTTCATACGTAAATGTCTTATTACATGCAGAGTATGTATAAGAAAGTATGTATCATACCTATAGGCTATAGTCTTCATTATGCTTATGTGTTAAATTCCCTGTTGCCATTTTGAGAGCAGGAAGAGATCTGTGTATGTGTGGGCGGAGTCAGTGACGTTTCAAAGCTGTCTTTCAGAAGGACAAAGTTCAAGCTACAATTCATGTGAGAATTAGTCTCTTAATGTGAATGAAGCACAATGACATCAGTATATTACCATAAACAAAAATATATGCATAATAAAACAGTACATCATTTGAATTGCATGCATGCTAATAAACAACTATAGCTAATAGTGAGAATTGGACCCTAAACTAAAGTGTTACCATGCTTTAATACTGTAATATCCAATGTTTGTGAAAGTATCATTATTCTCATGTAAGAATAGCAAGAGTAAATAGTGTTGTTTCGGATGTGAATGTGCACACTGTCCTCGAGTGGTGAGACTGTAGAACTGCAGCTTCAGATATTACAGTAGAAAAGACTGCAGTTACACACACTGTAGTCCTTATTTTATTCACTTATCAAGTTAAGTCATGATGTTTGTTTGATTCACACACAGCCATACATCTGTGCAGTCCATGTGGGTCAAAAGTATTGACTTAATAGAAATGGTATATTGCTATATATATTTGATTTATTTGTGTAAGTTAACTTTAAATTGCATGAACTGTAATGCATCGCTGCATACACTGTAAAAAAAAAAATCGTAAAATAACGGTAAAAAGTCTGGCAGCAAAGTTGCCAACCACTTACCGTCAAATTACAGTAAAAAAACATAAATTATTTTACGGAAAAATGTTGTTTTTTGAAAACGGATATTTACTGTAAACATTTTCTGTATTTTTACAGTCAAACTGCTGTAGAAAAAAAAAATCTCGTAAAAAGAAAAAATAATTTTATTTTAATATATAGTTGTTCTGTGTAAAATAACAATGAAATTATTCATAAAAATTCATTGAGTACATCAATTCAAATACAAATGTTTGTAAATTTATAGTTTTAATTTTTATTTGTATTTCACAACCTTGACCAATCTTTAATTAAGTACTTAATAGCAAATTTACAGTCAATTTCTGTTAAATTAACTAAATGTATAACACTGTTTAACTCAAGATTCCTTCAGGAAATACCAAATATGAGCATAACTGATGCATATGTATGCCATATGTAGGTTTACATAAATCAACGTTTATGTATGCATACTGCATAACAGAAATAATGATAATAATAATGCTCGGGACATACTGCATTTTCTTGTGACTTCCATATACAAATCAGCGTAGGACCGTTGAGCTGAACTAGAACAGATGCGAGCTGTTTTATACGAAAGCTTGTTTCTCAGGATGCTCCTTATTATCATGATGTCTGCATTTGCCCAAAGTACAGATAGATGGAATTACCAAACTAGAAACAAAGGCATCATTATATAATCTGACCAGAAATGTATTGAAATATTTTCTTTTATACATTAGTTAATATGACCTTTTTTAAATGATCAAAATGATTTGACTTTACATGGTTTTGCTTTTATAATAATAATTGTGGCCTTTGCCCCTTCATCTGAGACACACACACACACATATATCATTATTTATTTACTAATGTTATGTAATAATATTAAATTAAAGTAAAGTAACAAATGAGTTTATTTTTATGTGTAATGAGTGAATTTAATTTGTGTTTAGAATGTTACAAAACTAGTACTTAATAAAATATAAAAAGTTACTTGTGCACTTCCTAGGTCAAAGTTAGAGGACTAAATACACATTGTGATTTCCCTTCATCCTTGAAAAACTAATTTTGTTATTTATTTTTCAACTGCTTTTCAACTCCTTAAAAAAAAACCTTGAAACTGTTATAACTCAGCAACCGCAGCTGACTGAACCAATGCATGCTAGACGCTGTAGGTTTTACATATTTAAATATTTTTGAAGTGAATTTCTTTAAAACACATATTGTACATGAATCCTGCCCGACTCTCCCACCATTGTTTTTAAAATTATGAACTGGTGAAAACGGTGCGATGGTATTAGGACACTCGAAGGACAAATAGAAGAGAGGGGCCACTGGGGGAGTAAAGCAGAGTTTATTTTAGCTGTGGCAGGACATGTGGTCGGACTGGGGAACGTGTGGAGGTTTCCTTACCTCTGCTACAATACGGAGGAGGTGTGAGGCAGCAATAGTGTATTTCATCAAATTATTTTCAATGTATTTAACAGCACACTGTCTTAGCATTATGTCAGTGGTATTTTAAATAATGTTGTATTGAACTGGTGTGTTGTCAGGTGCGTTCCTGATACCCTACCTGGTGTTTGTGGCTGCTTGTGGGCTTCCTCTGTTCCTGCTAGACACAGCAATGGGACAGTTCACACAGGAGGGAGGCATTACATGTTGGCGTCGTCTCTGTCCTCTGGCTGAGGGTGAGAGTCATAAAGCAGCAAAACTGCTTCCTAAAGAGACCGTACAACTTTTAACAACATATGATTTCACTTTATGTCAGGCATCGGCTACACAGGACAGCTCATTCAGGTGTACAGCTGCATGTATTACATCATCATTCTGGCCTGGGCGCTTTTCTCATCTTCTCTTTCAGATCCCAACTTGCATGGGCCAGCTGTGACAACATGTGGAACACAGGTGATGATAAATAAATCAAACAGAACTCACATTACATGTGAATAATATGCTATAATAAAAAGTTCCCTATCAAGCTGCGTCGACTGACATCGAAATCAAAAATTATACATTAAAAATGAAAGCTGCAAGCAGCGATGAAAGGGCCCTCGCACCCGTGCCACCGCCACCCAGTGGCTTTAGGAAGACAGAGCACGATGGGCAATCTGCATTTGGGTAAATATAGTAAATACAGGAGTATGTAAAAGTATTTTGTATTTGCCACACTTCCTGCTACCAGCTGGTGGCACTATTGCTAAAACTGAATATTGTCATGTACCGGTAGAGGTGTTCAGGGCCGGACTTCTATCAAACATGTGAAGTTTGGGGCAAATCGGACATCGTATCCCTGAGTTACAACAACTTCCTGTTTGGTGGTGTTAATCGCATACATTAGCACTTAGGTAAGTGTTGCATGATTGAACATGTTTCTAATAGGTTTGGTACTTCATGGCATATTTAAATGTTTCTGGGAGTAAATTACAGACAGTGTAAAACATGTCACTTCCTGTTGGCAGGAGGTGGCGCTATGACAGTAACTGAATATTGGCATGTAGATACGTTCAGGACAGGACTCCTATCAACCATGTTTAGTTTATTGAACAAAGGCCTTTAGATTAGACTGACAAAATATGTGGATCTGCTTAAATCTCTAAGAGTTGGTTAAAGTACATCTGGAAATTTCAAAAACTGCACAAAATCAGAGAGGGAGTTCAAAATGGCTGACTTCCTGTTGTGTTTAGAGCTATGCTCCAAGAGACTTTTGTAGTTATTGGGTCATTGCATGCACCGAATTTCTTAACTGTACATGAAACGTAAAACCAGGGCAATACTGGGTGGCGCTAGAGCCATTTTGCCACCTACATCTGAAACCCATATCACATGTAAATTTTCACCACTTGAAGCGTGTGCAAAGTTTCATGAGTCTGAGCATGTTTAGGCCCTCAAAAAAGCGATTCATTTGGGAGGATGATAAACAGAACAAACAATAGAGTCCTCTCACCATCGGTGCTCGGACCCTAATAATCTCAAACGCATCTTTACAGAGTAATTGCAGAAAGCTGCAAAAATCACTAAAACCAGGACAATATTTTATTTCAACTTGGGAGTCAAGTTGACATTATCACCCTATTTCTACTCATTCCTCTAACAGGACAGAGACTTCCTGCAGGAGGAGCAATACTTCGGGTTTATGCAGGAATCATAGAGATGAATTTACTACCTTTTACTACCTTTTTTACTACCTCCAGAATATTTTTTACTACCAACACGACATCAAGCAGCAGCCCTTTTTTGGGGGGTGTGGGAGGGGTATGCAAAGCACCACTTACTACTTACTATAAGGTATAAGTGTGACACTGTCACACACATCATACATATTAGGTACACTAATGTTTAATTGTGATCATTACAAAAAAAACAACCATAATTGACAATGACAATATTAGTGTCGAGTTGAGTTTCAGTTGTCCTTATCTTAACCCTAGCCCTCGAGTTATCCTAACCATAACGTTAGCCCTTAGCCCTAATAAGGTGAAGAAAAACCTTGGCACTTCTTAAAAACAAATGACACTTAACAACAATAAACATTAAAAAAAAATTATAATAAAGTGTGTCACATCACACACACTTACCCACAAACACACATTCTCACACACGCAGACTTAAGCAGTGAAATTACTATCCAAAACAGCAATTTATTTCATCACATCTCTAAATGTGCTTCAAATATTGCACTGGTTTGCTGCTGAGATGGTGCGACGACAGCTAACCTTAAGTTGGCATGATTTGCCGTGATCTGTGTAGTGCTGCTAGCATCGCAAAACAACAAAATAGGGAGCTGCTCCCCCCTCACCCTCACCCATTAAATATTTTCAATTAGGGATGCACCGATACCACTTTTTGCAGAACGAGAACGAGACCGATACCAATACTTTCATTTGTGGTACTCGCCGATATCGATACCGTAACCGATCCCTGAATTTTCACTGCATTTGTAATTTTTAAATGTATTAGTAGATAAACCAAAAGAATATAAATCATATTAGTTGGCTTAATTTGTTCATCAAATATATATTTCCTTTAGATATTTTCATGCTTAATTAATCCTTCTAAAAAGCATGCTTCTGTTTCTGTCACTGTTCATTCTATTACTCTATCATATTTTATCTTGCATTTAATAGCACAGCACATATTTAGAGCTGCTCCAGCAGGGCTCAGCGCTGAGATTGGGTCAGTGGTACAAATGTTTAGACACCAGTGAAATACCAGTTATTTAATCCAATTTTGATACTACAACAAAAACTACCAGCCCAATAAAAGTAAGCAGTCAGTAACAAAATAAGAAAAAATAATCGAATTACAAATAGGACAAATAAATACAATAGAACAAAGAAAAGCTACAAATGAAATAAACAGTGTTTTTAGAGTTTTTCGGGTAGATTGGTACATACATTTGAATACAGTAATCAAATGTAAAAAAATTGCATATTCATTATTGTATAAATTAAATATAGATGGATATTTTTGTAAAGTTGAAAAGGGTAGACCATTTAATCAAGAGCAGTGAGTAATTTATTTGTCCTTTGTTTGATTAACATTAAAACACAGTAGCAGGTATATTAAAGTGCTGCCCCTTTAAGACCGAACGCACATTTGAACATGGCTACGTTCACATGAGATAACCAACTTTGTTTACTAGGATACTCGCCAAGACGGGCGTTTTTACATAATTTTGTGACGTGAAAGACAATTTTCAGTATTCGAGCGCTGAGGCGATGGTTTGCGGAGCGCGCTTTGGATGTTTGCGTTCATGGAACTTCTTGACCTGCACACGTCCAGTAATAATGTAGGGAACCATTTGTTATACATAAATCAGGTAACAGGTCATGTTTTACTTTACTAACATATACGATTTAGTTTTCATTCAAATAACACGTGCTGAGTGAACGATCAGGAGCATTCAACAGAAGTGTGCGCGCGCGCTCTCTCTCGTCAGTTAACGTAAATAATAAGCTAGATGACTCGTTATAATCTTCTTTGCCATTGACATCCGACTGAACTACAAACTTTCCACTGATGTCTGTTTGAAGGGATGTGCTCGAGCTCGACCAGCTCGCGCGTCTGTGCCGCTGCGCGCTCAATCCACTGCTCGCGCACCACAGCTAATGTTACTATATTGCGTTTAATATTCCACTAATAAGACACATTTACGTCATAGACAGCCTTATTTTTTTATGGAAACTCATATTGAGGTGGTGATGAAAAATTTACTACCAAGTCAAATTGCATTTATTACCTTTTACTACCTTTCAAGGGCCTTAATTTTGGTAGATTCTTTTTACTACCTTTTACTACCGCGCGGAAACCCTGTGGACACCCTGAAGAAAACATCATCCAACACATGACAGGAGGCATTCATATCTTTCTACAATGTTTATTCTCATCAAATAAAGCAGATTTCAGTTATTCTCATGGTCTGATGTCACTCTCCAACACTCACAGCCACTTCATTTCTGCAGAAAGTGGGAGAAAACTTAGTTTAATTAACCATTTAAAAAATAATTATTTTTATATTCTATATCATGTATTAAGCCTCAGGTTACCATAACTCAACATGTTTTTTCAGACAGGGATAACTTGTTTCATCACAGGCTTGAATGTCTAAACACTGATCTTGGGTCAGATTTGTTCCTTTATAACCCCAGAAACCATCAGAACTATTCTGACCCAAGAAAAAGCATTAAACTACACGTCTTAAATCTCTTTACTATAAACGCACTGTGATTGATACGTACCGCTGTGAATCAGGAGAAGCAGGAGCTCATGGTGTTTCTGCTCAAGAGAAGTGTTTCTGTGTTCTGTGAAGAGAAACAGGAGTGAGACGAGTTTCACACGGGATCACCGCTGCAGATTCACACTGGCTCTGGTTTCCTCAGAATATTTGGCCATCAGTTTAGGGGAGTTCAGAGGGCATCTCCAGCCGGGCCGGGACTCGGGCACATGGGGGGACAGAGGGTGGGTGGGCCCCAAAAATACCACAAGCACGACCCAGCTTTCAATGCAGAGTTTTCATCTCGGGAAGATCCAGCCGAACATGTGTGTGTGAACTGAGAGGATTGAGAAGAGGTGTTTACCTGCTCAGCACTGAGTCAGATCCAGACGCTCGCCTGGAGAGAGAGAGAGAGAGAGAGAGAGAGAGAGAGAGAGAGATGAGAGAGAGAGAGAGAGAGAGAGAGAGAGAGAGAGAGAGAGAGAGAGGAGAGAGAGAGAGAGAGAGAGAGAGATGAGAGAGAGAGAGAGAGAGAGAGAGAGAGATGAGAGTGAGAGAGAGAGAGAGAGAGAGAGAGAGAGAGAGAGAGAGAGGAGAGAGAGAGAGAGAGAGAGAGAGAGAGAGAGAGAGAGAGAGAGAGAGAGAGATGAGAGAGAGAGAGAGAGAGAGAGAGAGAGAGAGAGAGAGAGAGAGAGATCATGTGATCAGATTCAGCAGTTCAACAGTGATGACTTCATACCTGCACATTGTGTCTCAGAAAGAACTGGTTTGCCATCGTCAGTTATCGCATCAGACGGCACTTCCTGTCTCATCACAGAACACGGTCAACTTTACATATAAACACGACGCATAAATACTTTTGAACATGAAGTAACTCAAGGAAACTAGTGATCGGGGAAACAATGCTTTAGGAAACCAAAGCAAATGGTTCAATTGATACGAAGCACTCAAACGCCTCGACCCTGCTGGCCAGAACGCTGTTAAACAAACAGTCCAAACCAGCATAACACCTTTCACAAACCAACTGCTAATGTTTAACTGAAAGTATAGTTAATTAAATGCAACAACAAGTATTAAGTGTCTGTATAATACTAAATATTTCATTAATTACAGTGCTTGTTTACAGCAGTCACAAATCCTCGATTTTAAAAGTCCTAAATTGCAATTTACCGTGTCGATTATCTGGAACACACCGGAAGCGGTGCATTCAAAGCACGAGAACCCACGAACCGCATTAGACCGTTTAAAGCTTCACTAACACTCAGATTTTAAATGCGCTAATATATTTCAGTGCTATTGTGAATTCACAAAGGCTGCGGTTCGATTGAGTTAGTCTATGCGCTGCTGGTTTCAGAGTGAATAATTTACATGCGCGTGTGCAGGTTACGGGTTTCAGCGGCACAGTTCACAGTAAATGCCGCTCCACATGAACTCAGCCTCTGCATGGGAGTTTGGGTTTACATTAATGTGTGTTTGAGAACAGAGTCTGTCGTGCTTCAGGAATCACTGTTTATTTACACGCGTGGAGCGTCTCAAACTCCATCTCGGAGAGCTTGGGTTGCTTATAATGGTCATCTGGGAACGCAATGTGCGCCATTTCATTACATTTGTAACGCAAATTAATAAACCTACACAGGAAGATACATCAATACGTTTCTAAATATGCAAACGAGCGAGGGTTTCAACTTTTGAAATCGCCATGAACAAGAACAAGCACCTCAGTTCAAGAAGTTACAGCAGCTGCAACATTTCTATCAAAGTGGCCGAATATTAAAGATTAAGTGGACATTTGAATTAAGTGTTATTTAGCCAATATTAAACTGGGACTTGATCTGTGGAGCAAACACCAGTCCACTGGCGCCCTCTGCAGGCATTTGTTATACACATGGTCCATAAGTTGATAATATTCATATTATGCATGTCACATTACATACTTTAAAAGCATTCAATGAAACCATGATTATTTGCTTTTGATACTTTAATTACAGCCTCACCGTTTAAACTATTTAAAGGATAGTTTGATTAATCAGTCCAAGAAGAGACTAAAACTCATTTGACAAATTAAAAACATTTCCCAGAGTTTCAAACCAGTAATGATTAGAGATCTATACTGTGATTGATACGTACCGCTGTGAATCAGGAGAATCAGGAGCTCATGGTGTTTCTGCTCAAGAGAAGTGTTTCTGTGTTCTGTGAAGAGAAACAGGAGTGAGACGAGTTTCACACGGGATCACCGCTGCAGATTCACACTGGCTCTGGTTTCCTCAGAATATTTGGCCATCAGTTTAGGGGAGTTCAGAGGGCATCTCCAGCCGGGCCGGGACTCGGGCACATGGGGGGACAGAGGGTGGGTGGGCCCCAAAATACCACAAGCCACGACCCTGCTTTCAATGCAGAGTTTCATCTCGGGAAGATCCAGCCGAACATGTGTGTGTGAACAGAGTGAGGATTGAGAAGAGGTGTTTACCTGCTCAGCACTGAGTCAGATCCAGACGCTCGCCTGAAGAGAGAGAGAGAGAGATCATGTGATCAGATTCAGCGGTTCAACAGTGATGGACACAATATCTGCACATTTTGTCTCAGAATCATTCTGGTTTGCCATCGTCAGTTATCGCATCAGACGGCACTTCCTGTCTCATCACAGAACACGGTCAACTTTACACATACACATATATACATATATATATATATATATATATATATATACACACAATTTTTTTTTTAAACGCAATATTAAAAATGTATATAAATTGCAACACCCACCAATTCAGGGAACCCCGTGCCATAATCACAGTAAAACAGCCACCAGACAATCATGATGTAGTCACATTAGACCCGGCCTGCAGAAAGACAAACCGTGCAGTTTAACACTGACCGCCATTACTGCACGTGCACGAGTAAACCTAGTGCGATTAATAAAATCCCTGTAATCAGACTTACATAACTCAAGGTGGTCTGGAAGCGCTGTGCTCGCGTTTTCTTCGCGTGTGGTTCATAATGAACTCGTTTAAATCGCGAAAAACTCTTCTTTGGGTCCGAGAAGAGCTCACTATCCACGAGGGGCACGGAGAAAGAGAACGAGGAAGAGGGAGCGAGCGCCTTTATACAGCGGGAACGTCACGGCCCACGTGACACGGGGCGTAACCAATGGGCGTTACCCAGGGGTGTTCGAGTCCGGGGTTTTTGGAGTCGACTCCTATTCCCGACTCCTAATGAGTTGGCGGACTCGACTCCTCTACTCCATTTACTTTTAATCAAAAGGGTCAGGAATAAAATACAATTAAAACTTCTTTCCCACTCCAGTAATGGATGGGACATTCTGATCGACAAATTTTTATTTTTATTTTTTTTATAACAGTAATACGCAATACGCCCCCAACGGACGTCGTACACAGTGAAAAGCGTCGGAAGCGGGTAGAACAAAAATGGCGGAGAGATTAGAAGGTTTGATTCTGTCAATTCTGTATGATCTCTCTGATGAGGGTTATAGAGATATTAATAGGAAGGCTGCTGCGTGAGGAAAGTTGCTCAGGACGTTGACATGTCAGGTCGGCTAAAAAATGTGATATAGTGGTATAATTTATACCACTATATCATATTTAGTTCGATGTCTGCCTACAATTTAATTGTATTAACTGCCCTAATAACGTTAGCAAATCATGAAAATAAAAAAATTACATGACAACTTAACTTTTATTAAATTAAATAATGATTTTATAACGATAAGAATTCAGGTTTGTTTATCAGTATCATAGCAACGCTAACTTCCGCTGGAATTGTCGGATAGGAACCGTCCGTAGCTTTTCGCAAGAGTTCAATTTTTTGAACGCATCCGGATGACCAACGGACACGATTTTCTTCGCACCGCACTCGGTCGGACCCGTTTCGGACCCATTCGCATGCGGTCTGCGAATCTCCATAGGAAATGAATGACTTCCGGTCGTTTCGGAGCCGAATCGGAGATGATTTCAACTGCCAGTGTGAAGGCGGCGTAAGTTTTACGCTTTTTTCGTGTAATCGCGAGGTTGTGTCATGTTTATCAAAATACAACTAATAAAAAACATGGACGGCTACTTCATTGAAGACTTATGCTGAACTTTATTCTTGTGGAAACAGACGCTGTATTAAGGCTAGGCTACTAAAGTATTCAGTGTCTGAAACGAATTATTACATATATTTCACTTCAGCTGTGGTAAATCGGTAAAGTATGCAAACACAGCAGAAGCGTCACTACGGGAAGCAGAAAGTGTCCGACTTCATTTCTCCGTTTTCAGCTTCTCTCCTCCTGGAAAACTCTCACCGATTGGTTACAACCTTACAGTCTATGGTTACAACCTATGGTTACAACCAAAGTCCTTTTAGGCAAGTCATGCCACTCGGACCGCCATCTTGGCAACGCCTCCGGGCAGCTATTTCGGACCAACAAGACCAGGCTCCTCCTTTCTAAATGAATGGGCAGAGAGTCAGAACTGCACGTTCACTGGTAACATATGATAAAAATAGCTGAAAAGGTTTGATGACTTTGCCCCAAAATAAGGTTTAAAACGCCTTTTCCCCCACAGGTTATACTTTTACTACGCATGTGCAAGGGTTCACGACACCAACTTCATAAACGTCTCTATCCAGAATGCCGGTGTTTTCGTTTGAAAACGTATATTTTTCTCTCCGTTTTGCTCTTCCGTCCACACTGAGACGCCGTTTTAAGTCAACGAAAACGTAGCTTTTGGAATAGGCTCTCTAAAGCGGATAAATTTGAAAACGCCGTTTTCGCGTTGTAGTGGACTGTGAAGCCGGAGGTATCTGAAACCGATGACGTAAGTTACATTACATTTACATTTATTCATTTAGCAGACGCTTTTATCCAAAGCGACTTACAAATGAGAACAATAGAAGCAGTTAAACTAACAGTAGGACAACAATACGTAAGTGCTATAACCCCTCTCAGTTTAATTTTAGTGGAGATTCTTTTTTTTTTTTTTATAGAAGAGAAGAGAAAGTGTTAATTCTACTGAATCAAGTGCTGCCAAAAAAGATATGTCTTCAGCAGTTTCTTGAAAGTGGCTACTGACTCAGAAGTTTTGGTTGAGTTAGGCAGATCATTCCACCAACAGGGAACAGCCATGGTAAAGGTCCGAGAGAGAGATTTTGTGCCTCTTTGAGATGGTACCACAAGACGACGTTCGCTAGCAGAGCGCAGGTTTCTGGATGGCACATAAGTCTGAAGTAATGAGTTTAGGTAAGAGGGAGCAGTGCCAGTGGTTGTTCTGTAGGCAAACGTCAGTGCCTTGAATTTAATGCGAGCGGCAACTGGCAACCAGTGCAATTGTGTGAGGAGAGGAGTGACGTGTGCTCTCTTCGGCTCATTGAAGACTACTCTGGCTGCAGGATTCTGGATCAATTTTAGAGGTTTGACAGAGCAAGCTGGAAGACCAGCCAGGAGAGCATTACAATAGTCCAGTCTGGATAAAACAAGTGCTTGGACAAGGAGTTGTGTGGCATGCTCTGTAAGGAAGGGCCTGATCCTCCTAATGTTGTGCAAGGCAAATCTGCAGGACCGGGCGGTTCTAGCAATGTGGTCTGTGAATTTCAACTGATCATCAATTACAACCCCAAGGTTCTTAGCTGACCTTGATGGAGTTATGGATGACGAGCCTAGCTGAATGGAGAAGTTGTGATGAAGTGTTGGGTTGGCCGGGACCACAAGTAGCTCTGTCTTCGCAAGGTTTAGTTGAAGGTGGTGGTCCTTCATCCAGCCAGAGATGTCTGTCAGGCAGGCTGAGATACGAGCAGCTACCGTCGGATCGTCAGGCTGGAATGAGAGGTAGAGTTGCGTGTCATCAGCGTAGCAATGATAGGAAAAGCCATGTTTCTGAATCACAGATCCTAGTGATGTCATGTAGATGGAGAAGAGGAGTGGTCCAAGCACTGAGCCCTGAGGCACCCCAGTAGCTAGATGTTGGGTCTTAGATGCCACACCTCTCCACGACACCCTAAAGGACCTACCTGAGAGGTAAGACTCGAACCATTGGAGTGCAAGTTTAGTCATGTGATCCATGTTGTACCAATAGATATTCATGTTTACCGGTATTGTGACTGTTATGTGCTATTAACTTTTACACTATTGCTAAAATGTTACTTTGCACACAGTCCTGCAAAGATGACAGAAAATGTACTCACATTTGCTGTCCTGTGGCACAACATGAGAGCGGTTGCGTTTTAGACCAAACATATGGTGACTGAGTGTGACCTGGACGCATCAGTGATGGTGAGATATTTTGCTAAATAAAATTATCCTGTTAGAAGAATTGACCGACAAGTTTATTATTTATTTTTCCATCTGTATCATCTCGGTGAGCTTTTGTGAGGTTTCACGCATGCGCAGTAAGGTGAATTTAAAAGTTTCTCATCCACACTGAAACGTCGGAAAACACGAGTGTGGACGGAGAGCGTTTTTAAACGAAAACGACATTTTCAAATGTATCTGGATTAATGTCGCAAACCTGAACTGTGCGCATGCGTCAGTGGAACCAGACGATAGGCTTAAATGTTTCCCGGCTTGACTGTTAAAAGCAGACGATTGGCTTTCCAGCGGGAGGGGCGGGGCATGTGCATACAACCGCCATCTTTGGCATTACGGGTTTTCCCTATATAGTTGTATTGAGGATTGAGGAAGTGGCATGTCTCTATATAAATTGTCTCTGTTACAGCTTACATCCGATGAGGCCAAGGTTGAACCAAGAACCATAAACTGGAACATTTTAATACAAAAAATAACACAAAAAAATACAGAATCTATAGGCCTACTGGTAGTCGATTCCTGTCCTGGAGTCGATTCCGACACGGCTATTGAGAGTCGAGGAATCGACTCCCCATCAACCATCCAGAAGACTTCGCCTTGAGTTTTGGAAGGTTAAAAGTTGTAGGGCTCTAGAATAACAAAACGTGAGTGAAAACTCTGTGGAACGATCCCACAGCGTATTAATTTTTCCCCTTCCAAGTGCCCTAAGAAGCCTATAAAGGTCAATCAATGCAATTAATTGACATTTGATTTTAACAATCATAGCTGCACACAAACTGATAAAAGCCAGTGATTATTTATTGTAGTCAATAATTGAATCCCTTAAAAAATCCCCACCAAAATGACACATTTAAACGTTTTTTCCTTGAAAAAAATCTTCATGCCTTAAAATAGCTTGAATTTAACTCGACACCCTTGCCTCACGTAGTATACGTGGTTCTATGAATATGCAAATGAGCCCCGCCTCCACTCACTCATTCAGCTCAGAGATCCACTGGTTGACGATCACACGCTGATCTGATTGGTTACAAGGTAGTGTGTGACGTCAGAAATACCAGCGATTTCAAACCGTGTTTTTGAGACTGTCTTTGAGAAGTGTATTACACTTACTCCGATTTTGATATTTTGAACTTTCTGATAACTGAGTGCTGCAAATAGTCCAGTCATTTTATGAAAAAAGGTTGAACAAATTGCAACAGAAAAGCAAACTCAACTGATTTTGTATCCTCAATATGTCCTGAGTAAGGGAAAAAAAGCCCCAAAGAATCCCATTAGGGGAAAGTTTAGAAAAAGACCCAAATATATCCCATTCATACGCCTATTCATTCTTTTTCTATATATATATATATATATATATATATATACACTCACCGGCCACTTTATTAGGTACCCCATGCTAGTAATGGGTTGGACCCCCTTTTGCCTTCAGAACTGCCTCAATTCTTCGTGGCATAGATTCAACAAGGTGCTGGAAGCATTCCTCAGGGAGTTTGGTCCATATTGACATGATGGCATCACACAGTTGCCGCAGATTTGTCGGCTGCACATCCATGATGCGAATCTCCCGTTCCACCACATCCCAAAGATGCTCTATTGGGTTGAGATCTGGTGACTGTGGAGGCCATTTTAGTACAGTGAACTCATTGTCATGTTCAAGAAACCAATTTGAAATGATTAGAGCTTTGTGACATGGTGGAAGTAGCCATCAGAGGAT